TACCACATGATAAACATTATAATAAATTGTTATGTAATATATGTAAATAAAACATAGTTATCGTAAAAAATATCAATAGTGTGTATAAAAAATGTGTATCTAATGAAATTTGGAATATTTATACCTCGTTTATTCATCGTGTAAAGACTAGTCGAAAATGTTTCCATAATTAGGTAACGTTAGGTATAAGTGTAATTTTTATAAATTTAAATTATTGTGGATCTTAACAGAAGCCTTAAGTAGTTACTGTCTACTATGTGAAATCCCCCGGTACTATTTTCATTAGCTTCCTTACTAAAAATATAGTTACTTGACTCATTTAATATTAAACATTTATTTTGCATGGAAATGCGTTTACTCCTACGTCTCTATCTACCTGCAAAGTCATCTACAACATAACAAATCTCTTTCACGGGTGTAACATTCCTTTCCTTACGGCGTGTAATCATAATCATAAGTCGAGAAATCTCGATTGTCGATCTCTTTGGACAGCGGTGCTGTCGTCGCGAAATTCGATTTATCGTTGGTTGGCACAACGCATTCGTTGTCTTGTTCCGCCTCTTTACTCGCAGGGCTATCGACACGCGATATCGACGCCTCCACTGAGGAACTCGTTTGCACGCTTCTAAAATCTGATATTTCTATCAGTAATATTTACTAGATTTTAATATATAACAAGATATATTTTGATTTGATATTTGGTTCGATAAGCTTGTGTGATCTTATATAAATAAATTAAAATGAATCGCTAAATATTTTACTAAGCGTAAAATTCGGGAAACTTTAGATTAATTCGGCTACTATTATTATTATTACTTAATTATTACTGTTAGTTATTTCAAATATTCGGAAAAATCCCAGGAAAGTTCTTATGAAATTAAAAGAGGTAATTCTGCCTTAAAAAAATGTAAAAACCACATTTTTTGTTTTCTCACACAAATTGTTTCTAGCTATCAACATTTTAATTAAATATTAACGACAAATATATTTTTTGACAGAATGCGATCAGTTAGTATTTTAAGATATATAAATAATGTAATAGTGATATGTTCTCTAGAAACAATGGGAAGAGGATTGCTTAAACATTATTGTGTTTAAGTGGCAATTAGATGGCCTACCATGAAATATTTTCCGAAATTTCGAGGCAGAACAAAACACAAATCAGATTTTAGAATTACATAAAACATACACTGTTTATAAATATTTAAAATGTTAAGATATCGTTACTTTGGACTATTATGGTAGGATTTATGATGAACGAAATGTTAAGCTCTATTTACTGCGTCGACTTCGGTACGAACAAAAACATGAAATTGAGCCCGAAAATTCGGAATGTCATTTTATGGTAGATCCCCAACTCTTATGTCGCGGCTTGCTATAGGTTCCGATTACCGCCTACTATCCGGCGAGCCGTGCGCGTGGTTACTCACATGTGTCTCACATACGTATATCCGTATATAAATGTGCAGAATTTTTTAACCCATACAAAAATAATAGAAATAGACTTTAAGTACAAAAATTTAAAAGGTGCTAGCCCTGTATTGTGAGGCCGCGAATTAGAAGCGAAGATTGGATATAAGAGGTGTCAAATTACGAGCGTCTGACTATCGAGAGCCTTGGCCCAACCTTCTGACAAGTATTTGCTCCCCTTATTTAGTTATATCATTATGTTTAATATTCAGAAAAGGAGGAGAATATCAATTCGATTATATTTCTGTTGGTGAGTACTTCATGTGATATTTTTGTCAATTATGAATTTTTGTATATTATTTTTTATTGTACTTCCCAGAGATATCTGGTGTTCCCTCAGTTCCATATAAATTTTGTAAAATATTTAGACTTATTTATGTAAAAATACATAAATTGTATTTGATAGGTAGGTTTTATTAGCTGTTGTAAGATGAATATGATTCCAGTAAAACTTTCTTAACTAATGAAAGTATAAGACAAATATTACAACAAATTATAATTTAAGGTGACATATATTGATTCTTGCCGTTATGATGAACATAAAACTCGCCTACACACGCATTTTTTTAAATTGATTTTTCGGCCATTCTTTTATTATTAACTTAATTGATATACGTATTGCTGCGCAGGCAGTATAACAAGGTACTCGTAGTTTGTATATATGAGTACTTTGTTGTTTTCTGTAATTCATTTCTAAAAAAAAAAATAGTTTTCTAAAATAGGATACCTAATGAAATAACATACTTGTTATTTTAAATTAACATAGCCAAAGTTATGGGTCACAGCTAGTGTTATTACATTATCATGTATGAACTTATTATTATGATGCGATATTGTAAAATAAAAATTGGTACTTAAAACGGTATATTGCTTGCGTATAAAATCAAAGTAAAAATTATACTCTTTTCCCACTAATGACGGAGTAATTACCTCTGGTATATTCATCTCCGGACTGCACTCGACGTGTAAGTATGGTAAATTAGCAAAAAATAATGAAGAAAGACCGCAGCGAGGCGCATGCGCGGCTTCCTACAGCCGCATCCTCCACGTAATGCGAATGTATCTACCTCGCCACACGATGTACGAATGAAATATAATATTTACCTATAATTGTTTTTTATTTTCAGTGATGTAGGTTCCTCTTTGTAAGACTTTGAATTAATTCAACAAAAACTATTAAGAGTATTAAAATCACTTTCTTATATTACTTAATACAAAATTAGTTTATAGCCTAACTGCATGTTACAAATTTAAAATTTGGTTGCGAGTGGAAGTTAAACGGTTCTAATTTTAATTATTGATATCTTAAATAAACCTTTTTTTTTTCATAAAAAAAAAATACTAAAGTGTATAAGTAGTCATATCAAAATGAAGTTAAGAATCAGGGTAGATTAAGTATATATAATAATGTACAATTCTGTATTTTACGAACCTTTTTCATATCTTCTCTCACAGCTTTTCCAATTATGGAGTACAAAAATATTTGTTAATATAGTTAATATACGTAGGGAGTTTTAAGGTATAACGTCATCTGAGCTTTAATTGGTACTTTGTGCCAGTAGATATTCTGATGGAAAGAGGCACTCTGAAGAAAATAATAATAGTAAAACTTTGACCTACAATTGTCTATTAATTAATTATCCCTATAATTTTTTCTTCATCCCCAATTATAATTTTCTCTTATTTTATTGGTGGTGTAGCTTGGCTGTATACCAGTATCTTGTAAACCTATTTATTTACCAGCGTTTTGCAGAAGTGGCGAATTCCCTATAATTCATTTCCATTTTATCAAGTGAACTGTTTGCTTGTTTGGCATTCATCTCTGAATCTCTACGAGTAAATTTATCCTTATTAAATAAATCTAACAACAAACTCAAACTATATTCATAACTCCGTGTCTGAGTATCTGGTATCAATGACGTTCTGTATAATGCGTATATTTTGATACAATGCGCCTCATGTGGCCGCGCAAGGCTGCTGACCCAGCGATGTGTGCTTCAATAATCACCGACATTCTTAAAACCGGTCATGAACTTCAGCGGCAAGCATAATAATCACTGAAAGTATTAACGTTGTTTATATACAAGTTTTTCTTTTTATTTATGAATGAATTCAAATTCTTTATTGTCAATCCTCGTCTAAGAATAATACAGATTATAAAGATTAACAATATGTACACAAACAAAATTAATTCTTAATTACATAAAATGCAAAAAATATGTAAAAATATGTATCTCTAAAATAAAAAAAATGGTACTATTAAGGTAAAGTAATAACTTTTCACGATAAAAGACTGATTTTAAAATTGGATTAAATTTGGAAAGTGTGCGTAAGAGTTGCATTTTCTTATTCCTTCTGCAACCTATTTCTATTGAAAGGATTTTATTTCTACATGTTGAAGTTTTGCTTCGCTTCTTCATCTTTTATTCGAAAAATAGGGAATATTCTTATAATTTTTATGAGTCTTTTAATCGATCGTTCTTCAAGACTAGAAAGAATAAATAATATTTAGATCTGTGTGTTCCATCTTCAACCACGTCATAATATCATGTAAGTGGTCAAACGCAGACAAGTTTTAAAGTAATAAATAAATAAAATTATGAAATTCCTTTTAACAAATTTACCCTTGAAATTACTGTTGTCGAAATGGAAACATTGTATAAAGTCAACGGGATATATACATCTGTCTCTTCCATATCTTTCACCGAGACTAAGGAATACTAAGGTTACATTCTATAGATTAAAAGGCTCATTTCTCTTAATAAACCGCGACTTGTCAATGAACGACAATTCTTTAATTTAAAAAGGATTACTTTATTAACAGTATGTAATTATTTTGTGACATTATACTTGTCAATATACCTACTCATGTATCGGTCGATTCTTTTTGAACAGACATAGGACAATCCAGTTGTCTTATTAAATTTAGAATTTAGAAGGGAATTTATTCGTCGTGTCCAGGTCCCTACACAAGGGAGTATATATATAAAATTATACCAGAGCATCCAATGCAGTTTAATTAGACAAAAGTAAAAAATATAAACATACGTTAATATCTGGCATTTGAAACACATACCGATATCACATCAAAAACAAAAACTAGAATAAGGAGAACATAATAAGAAATATTGTTTCTGTCTAATGATTATTATTATATAGATTTGTTACGGAAGTGTACGGATTTATACAAACAACTTAGTTTAAAAGTTGTACATCTGCGTTAACAACCAAAAGGGATGCTTCAATCACTGCCTAGTGTGGCGTTTTCTTTGATGTACCCAACACAAAGCTATTTGGCTATTAGTATTTGTGTTATGCCACCATGCGGAGGTTTTAATTTTGGAAAACTCTCGTAATTTTAAAAAGTTATAGCGAAAATAGTATATGAAATTTATCTGATTTACAAAATAGAAATTTACAACTAAACCGATTTAAATAAAAATTTAGCAAATGATTAGCTTAAACACCTAATGTGTCAATATTTAAAATATTGCTTAGACGAAGTAAAAAGTAAATATAAAAAATACTACTTGTTAGTTTGTAATTTTATTTCTATTTTTTATACGTACAATAGTCTCTTTTGGTTGTAAAATCACAAAATAAGTTATAAAACACGTAATACTTAACATTAAACTGACTATAATCACATATAATACATATTTTTTCCACCAATGATGCAAATTATTATCCAGGGCAACCCACAGTCCTGTAAAAAGTATAGTCTCTATCATACACACTATGCTCCAAAATAAATGCCACACACGAACATGGCGGAAACGTATTTTGAATTCCATTATACAGAATAAGTACACAAATGCAAGAAAAAAATAAAATGTTCTTTTCACTGTACTTGCTTGTGGTATAATTAAAAACAGAAGCATAACTTGATAATGTGAGAATAGAATGATTACAGAACCTATAATAGTTAGGTTTATGAAGGCTGCCATTGACAGAAGGCGCGCAACGAAGAATGCATACCAACCCATGCAGTGTACTAGTGCAGCTGGTAGGTCCTGAGGTTCAAGGCCACGTATATACGATCTGGGAACTCGTATTGGAATATCCGGCTCATCTCGGACCACCTCATCGCAATATTTACGTCTCGGAGGAGCGGACAACCACATAGGTATGGATTCAGCATTTTCTACCATTCTCTCTGCCCACGCTGCTATCGACCCTGGCCGTGGTGCTGGTATTGCTGGCGGCGGTGGGATATATACTTCTTGTATTGTATAATGTTTATCGGATCTTCGAGGTGCCACGCGATCCACAATTGATATTGGCCGAATATATTCATCATCACTCTCCAATTCAGGTGGTGGTAACCCATCACGCATTGTAACACCCGGTTGGTAGTCAGAGCTACTTTCTGAATCTGTTACTATATCATCATAGTACATTGTTGTGCTTGGAGAAAACTGTATCAAATCACTATTGAGTTTAGATCTACCTATTTCTGATTGTTTTCTTGTTGTAACTTCCTCATAAATTGGTTCTTCTTTATATTTTTGTCGTGCTGCTGCATTGTTATTAACTGCTTCGATGTTTTCGTTATTGACATTTTCAAGCTCTTCCTTCGTTTTACTCCACGGATACTTCCGTCCGTTAATTTTTTCTCTTTCAAATCTTCTGTACATAGTTGCAGTACTAGCCATTCGTAAAGAAGATGCAATTATACTTACAAATTGAATTGACCCTGTAAATAAATTTAAACTTTATAACTAGGTTTTAACCGCGATATCGTCCTTGTGAATCAGGATATTCTATGTCCTTATCCATCTCATATAGAATATGCGTAACGAAGGTTATAGTGATTGCTTCAGTTGTTAAGGCCCTAAGAAGTAACAAACAAACTCACTTCCACATTTACAATGTTAATAAGGATTATTGTAGCGCTAGCATAACACGTAATTAAAATGTATATTGTTTGCCACCATGAAAAAAGAATTATTTATTATCGCAAAATATTGAAAAAATAAATATAGTTCGAATAATACAGATAATATTTTTACTTTATACATATCATAAAATTCGTGACACTTATGTAGATTGTAGTTAGTCAAGTTGAAAAATAATAAAAGTGATCAAATAATTTTGATTCGAATACGTTTCACATGCGTTATGACGATCTATTCAATTATTTGAGGGCGCGTTCCCCTTAGTAACAAGAAAACGAACATAGGAAATGAACTCTGTGTCTTCTGTCATAGAGTTTGTTTGTTATCCATGGAATGTAAGCAAACAATTTTTATTTTTAAGTGGCATATGCAATAAAAAGCTGTGTACCATAATGTCACGATATTTGCTGTCAAACTCTTTCTTAAAATTGCGACAGTGCTCTCTGTGCAGAATAAGCTAAAATTGCTATTATGAATTAAATTATTTCAGGCCATCAGAGTCGAAACAATGACTCGATGGTAGTTATCCTCAAGAATACTGAAGCTAAGGGATTTATTTCGAGGCTCCTACCCGCCCCCATTTCGAAGGGTTAAAAAAATCATATGCATTAATTTATTTAATTTCATCTGAGTATTTAGGAACGCATGGAGAGTATTATAAACGAAACAGTGTACTTTGTTATGTCCATGGTACTGTTCGTGTCTATAGGCAACGGTTACCACTTTCCATTAGGTGAGCCATCAGCTTGTTTGCCATTCTAAGTTGCATAAAAAAAAAATTAATAGCTCTATTTGCTATTATTCATGATTAATATTATTCGTGTATGAAAAAAGAAAATGTGTATGGACCTACATAATGTTTTTTTCAATATATCATCAAATCAGCCACGTGCTCTATCGCTTGTACAAAGAACTGTGCTCTGAGGAACTGTTCAGTATGATGCCGACAGCCACTTTCTACAATCTCGCCATCGACAGGGAGTTCACCTTAGAGCCTAGATGGTCGCGTACAGCGCAGTTTTAGAGATGTTTTCTCCCACGAACGCTCAGGTTATGGAATGAACTTCCTGTCGAGCATTTTCCAAGAGTATGGGGTTTTTAAAAACAGCTAAAAATGGTTTCATCAAGGTTGCCAGCACACGCGTAATGTCCCTGCTATCGTAAGCGGTTGTAGGCTATAGTAACCGCTTACCATCAGGTAGGCCGTATACTTGTTTGCCACGTCAGTGATATAAAAAACAAGTATTAAATATTCATATTAAAATTTTGTTATACAGTTGTAAAAATGCGATTAAAGAGGCAATGTAAAAATTAAAAATGACATTTTATAATCAATTCAATAACCTATATTCATTTCACTTACTTTTGCTGTAAGCAGGATTGTCATAACGGGCCATCAGGTCGAGAATGTTGACAATAGCATGGGGCGCCGCATGGATAAACGACTGCAAGAACAGGTAGAGTTCCATAGAGGATGGTGCCCGCGCATTTAAAAGCGCCTCTCGAACGCGCTCTTCGTCTTCATGGCGACACGCGTACACCACTTCCACCCACCAAAAAATTAAGTAACAATATCTGGAAGAATTCGATCACAATAAAATTGATCATGGAACAAAGGCATCGTCTTTATGATGAAATTAATTAAATGGCAATGGGTTCAATATTTTAGATTATCATAATAGCCTGATATGTTATTATTATTAAATGGCAATACATAGCTATTATGAACGTTTAAATAGTTGAATAAGCATTATAACTACATATATAATATCCAAGATGTTATTCATATCTATAGATCTCAGTAACTACTTCCCATTAGTTGAACCAGTAATCCATCCATCTGTATAAAAAAGTACTTCATCATCATTAACTCAGCCATTATCTGTACACTGCTTATCATAGATATCCCCCCAAAGACTGCCGTAAGGGACTGTTCTGAGCCACCTGCATCCACTGACTCCTACAATGCATTTTAAGTCTTTATTCCGTTTAGTCTAATGGGTCATTCTACATTGCGTTTTTCCCTTACAATTCCGCCACTCATGAACTTTTATTCTTGAAAAAAGTATTTATTTTATTTATTTTCTTTAAATGTTTATCTTTTTCTTTATAGCTAATATAATAAATTTAAAATAGCCAAAACGCCTGAAAAAATCTAAAAGCAAAAAGTAATATGTAGAGAACAAATAGAGGAAATAAACTTTTTCAGCTTCAGTTATTCGTCGTTAGCTATATTACCAGCGACTTTATCCGCGTGACCGGCATCTGGCAGATACCAGGTCACTCAGAAAGTATTGCGAGAAAAAGTTTTCATGTATGTGAGACTGGCCAGTTATAATTTATTTAAAAATATGATTAATTATAAGTAAAAATAAGTACGTTCTAAATTCAACACTTCTCTCCACATTTTTTGCTAACTAATTAAAACGAAACTTTGTATAGAGGCTGATGGAGGGTACTTTGAAAAGATTTAATAAAAATATATTTATTTATAGAACATTTTTAGTGTCGTAAAACTTTCTGAGTGTCCCACGTACATTGACCGTGATAAATAGACTTGTCTTTCTCTGACCCATATAGTACTTACAATTTTCCTATTGTTTGTTTGAGCTGTTATTGCATTAGGAGGTAACAAACAAACAAACTCACTTTCATATTTATAATACTTACTTATATTTATAATAAGGATGTCTACATCGAATATTTTATTTTCATTATAATCGGTACTAATCAGTACTTAGATCATTATTTTCTTATCTAATTCTAAATACAAAGAGATTGATAGGTGATAAATATCGGACGGTATATGAAATATTAAATACGTATTACCAGATATAAATCTAATTATATGTATTATTTCTAAAGGACTTACCTGCCAATGGTAGCTATAGGGAAAAAGATACAGTTTGCGAACTGTGTTAATAACCATTTAATATCATTTTTTTCTACAGAAATATCGTAAGCCGAAAGATCTGTTTCTAGTCCAGGTGGAGGTGAAGCAAGTGTGAATATAAAAGATAATAGTGCTGGCATCGTAATCAGTATTAGACAAAAGATTCCTAATCTGAAACAAAAGAATTGTTGTAAAACATCCTTTCGTCTTCCTCACGTAGACAAGTGACAAACCAATCTGACGATCGATATATTTTCCGATATAAGCGGACATTGCAGTTTTTCTTTTACGTCTTTTACGTGAAATAGCGAAAACGTATCTATTGACTGATTAATTTATCACTTGTCTAGTCCCTTACGGGTTAGACAAGGAAAATAAGCCTTTATCTTTATATACAACTATTTTCTTTTTATTTAATAGGAGCTTACGGGAGGGAAAAGTAATGGGATTTAATAGCCCCTTTGCTAGTAATATACCCTCATCAGGTCGACCTCCACGCGGTCCCCCTTGGAAACTATCATGACTAATTTATCGTTGAATTCGTCACGATGGGCTAATTGGCCTTTTCATCTTCATCTATCACCTCTCATTAGTACCCCGCCAGTGTATACCGATAGCGCAGATGGGGTTACCATGCCATTTTCACCCATTAAAAAAAAGAAGCCTACGTAAAAAATTCTGAGCATGTTAATCATGTTTGTATTTAAATAATTCGAAGGGATGATGAGTGGAGGGAGAAATTGATAGAACCAACAAACAAATCTTACATACGGTAACAAGACCTACATTTTGATTTTTGCCATTTTCGACTAGTACGCAGTAATGTGTAACTTATTCTATTTCAGACCTTAGAGTCTAAAATAGCATAAATCACTGTGCTATCTTATAGCTGATACAACCTATAACACATTAGTACATATAAAAAAATTCATGATAAAAAAATTATTAATCGTGAAAAAATTTGTATGGGCCTACTCATAGCGAAGAGATCTCATAACAAAGATTTTGATGTAACTTACTTACCCATCTTCTCCATTTGCGAAGTGTTCGTAAACAAGGGCGAAATCAAAACAAATCAGAGTGAGGTACAAAATAAGTCCACCGCACGACGGTACCACTCGGTGCAACAAAAGTGCCTGCCATGCTGACAATTTCCATCCGAGAACTTCCCCTGATATTTCTTTGTCCAATTCACATGTTACCATTTTATTTACTTTACAACAATCATCATCAGCAAACTTAAGTCCCGTTTTACCTTTTAAAGTCACTTTATAACTACATAGCTAGCAAACAGACTACAGAAAGTTTATTTAAGTTATAAACTTTAAAATCACAGCAAAAAAATTTTGTTTTTTGTATTTTGCACACAATAATATCAATTATTCTTTTGGAAGTATAAAGAAACAACTGCAATTTGTACAACCAAGCACGCCCAATGATAACGTTGATAAGATAGTATTAATGTTTAATCAGCCAATATTGATGACACAGTTCTGTAAAATCGTACCTAGTTACGTACCCAGTCTACCTACTTGTGCATATGTGTTATGCCTAATATTATGCTTCCTTTTTAACTCTCTTATGATAAGTCCTGACCGTTTTCGGTGATGACGACGACTTCGCTATTATTAATTAATCACACACCTAGAAGGCTATTAGATTATCTATTGTTGGCGTTAGTATACTCCAATGTGACTTACACAGTCATTTATTTTGTGAAGGTTTTCGCACAAAGCGAGCATAGGAGCACATAATCGCCTATATAGTTGTAATATATTACTGATGGTGATTGGATGATGATGATTATTATTTCATCTTTCTTTGCGTGATATTTCAAATTTCATTTTTTTATATTACTAAGGTGGCAAACAAACTATCCACTAATTAGTAATCAATTATCTTTATATATGGACACCTTCAGTAGCAAAGTTGCTGAGCACGCGTTACCAATTCTGAAGAAACCTCTTTGTATTATATAACAACCACAAGTTTTAAACTTTACAATAAAAAAAAAAACCCTTTGTATCTGTCATTACATACAATACTGAAACATAGACACTAACATATAGATTAGTCCTTCACTTGTAACTATAAAAGATCATTAGCGAGCTATGAAAAAAGTTATGCTTGGAATTTTTGTATGATATCGACTCCAAAACGAAGTAATTCGCCAGAAGAACAAAATTATCGATATAGCTTAGGGGATTTGCAAACTAAAGGGGCAGTGGAACAATCAATGCTGCCGTAGAACCAATAACCGTTGGAACAGATATATTCTGGAATCAACGTGTATTGACAAGCGTAGTGTAGAACGACTTGCGGTTAGGTGTAGCGATATATGTAGAATAGATGGTAAAAACTGAAAACGAAGACACGTAAATCGTACACAGTGGCATGCCTATGTCCAGCGGTGCATCGCAATAGGTTGATTACAATTATTGTGACGAATTTACTACGATAGTTTCCAGGACGAACCGCGTGAAAATCAAGCGGTTAGGGTAACATATATTGCTAGTAATAGAGACATAGTCCCCATTAACAGCGATCTCTTCCCCCAATCTTATATATTGTATCTTGTACCTATATAGTTTTGGCTTAATTACGATTTTCTCTAAAGTGGATCTATTCTAGATATATACTTGGGGGAAAAGGATTATTAGTAATACGGTCTATCAGTCCCATTGCTAGCAAATTACCCTATCATGTCGACCTCCGTGTGGTTCCCCGTGGAAACCATCGTGCTGATTTCCTGGTGTATTCATTACAATGAGCTAACTGACCTGCTTTTTCATTTCACCTATCTTTTCTCGCTAATGCCCCGCTAGCGTATACCGTTAGCGCAAGTGGGGTTACCACACCATCGTCATCAATTAAAAAAAAGTATATACTTGTGTATATATATAACCGTGTGGTCCCAGCATAGAATAGGCCACTCTTTCCTTTTCCGTGGGTGTCATAAGAAGCGACTAAGGGAAGGCAAGCAGCAACAACGCTCTTAAAACATCTTTCAAGCCTAACTGCGCCTGCCAATCCGCTTGACAAGCGTGACAACTACTCGCAAAACCCTCCAAGTGGGAGGCTTATGTTCAGCAATGGATAGTTAAAGGCTGATATGGTGATGATATAATACTAATGTTATAACGGTATACCAAGTCTATGGGTATATATCAACATTTGTTTTCTTTAGGTAACAATCAAAGTCAAATATAAAATATAAATTTGTTTCTAAACTTAAATAATATTGACATATATGTCATTCATTATGTCAAAGTCAAATCTAAAAAAATTGACATTGACATTACAAATTTGTATTAGGTTAGGATTTTTTTTATCAAAATCAATTACCTATTCAAAATTTTTTTTTTTATTTTGTTATGTGGAAATTTTTATAATTGTAGAAAGTAAATAAGCTGCCTACATAATCTATCAAATCATGTCATTATGTAGGAACATTTTGTCAAGGACCCTTGTGAAGTATAATCGTAATAGGTTTATTTTAGCATACGCCAATGATCTAAAGATCAACAGACAAATATGTTGTGGAGTTTGCTTAAGAAATCCTAGACAAATACCAAAACCAGATCACGTCACTTCTCCAGCAATAGCCAACAAGTACCAGGTGATAACAGAGGCCAACGCGCAAGTAATTGAAAATACTGCGGAAGAAATTCATTCTGTGGATAAATATCCTGTGTTAAGTGATGAATTTGATGGTATAAATCTTGAAAGTAAGCATCTATATTATCTTGTGTTTAAGATTAACAATACACAATTATTTATGTGTAGGTGATGACACTGTTTAAAAAAAATGTTAATTAGTGCATAAACCATAACCAAATTTTAAAATCTTGCAGAAATGGATCTTTATTATTAGTTATTTAGATTTTTTTATAATTATAATATCAAATATTTATTATAATGTATAAAAACTGTGATCCTACTTATTTAATAAGTTACATAAAAACTATAAAGATACTTAATATGTAAAATTTATGATTTTATTTTTTAGGAGGTAAAACTGGTGTTTTTGATATAGAAGAACTGGTTAGCTTACTCCAGAGAGAAAACTCTAAAGATATATTTGTAGTGACAGTCCCTCAAGATATTCGCTATGTTAGTTATATTTGTATAGTTAGTGGTCGCAGCAAAAGACACATTCAAGCTTTAGCTGAATTTGTAAGGAAGGTTTACAAGAAAAAGTGTAATAAGAACGACCCCATACCAAGAATTGAAGGAAAAGGCTCGGTTGAATGGATGGCTTTGGATTTAGGTACTTTTTTTTTTTTGTTTTCCTCATTATATTCACAGTTATAGACTCGCTTCTAAGTCTACTATTGTCACTTGGATGAATATCAATGCCACTCAAATTTATTTATAAAGGCTTAGTGAGAATATTCATAAAACAAAAATAACTATCTCAAAGGAATCTAGTTATGCAGTCAATTGAATATGAAGGATTCAATATTTATTTTTGATTTTTATAACTTATTTTGACATGTTCAGAATAGTTTCATGAATATTATAATTTTTATTGTAATATTAGATTCTACAATTAGTACTGTATAACAAGTTTTGTTTGTTTCAGGTAACATAGCATTACACATTTTCTCAGATACAGTTAGACAGACATATGATTTGGAAACACTTTGGGCTGTTGGACCTGAATATGATGAACAAATCCGGAAGAAGAGTGATGTTGTTGATGTATTTGAAAATTATAGTAAATATTTGAAGGATCTTAAACCATTAGCATAATCTAATTTTTTAAGGTTTTAATTTTCTTTATTAAATATAACTTGATAAGAATTTTTTTTTTATATGTTATCCCTTAGATTAAGATTTATTATTTGTATGAAGTACAGTTCAATATAAGATTAACTCTCTTGCAATTCATATAAATTATCTAGTAAATACTTTTATTGTTCATAATAACTAAACCATCCTCAATTTCAATATAAGATAAAGTATGGCAGTGCAAACTACTGAGTAGAAGGTTACAAATTGTTTATATATTAGAATAAAAGAAATAGTTCATACTGTAATCCTTAAAATTTTGTTGAGTTCATTAATTATATGAAGAACAGATTTTGTGATCAATTAATAAATTTTATAAATACATGGAAATATTTTCTATATTGACATACTGAATAATAAAAGTAAACCCCATTAAAAGTCTCATATAAAATGTTTATTTCTGCTTAATTACATTACGATACATAAAGTATGGATTGTATAAGTATTTCAATCACATTCTTAATAATGACATATTGTATTCATTCACATTGTTCAAAAATAAAATTGGCATAAATTGACTTATTACAAATACTTATTGTTAATTGCTGAAACATATTATCTGTTTATTACAGATCATATATAATTTGTAATAAAAAATAACAATTTGGCATAATTTTATATTTTATAACTAGATCAGAGTTCTAAATGCATTACATTAGTGTAAAATTATATTAAAAACAGCTGTTGACTACATAAAACATTCGTACCACAATCACAAGATCCTTATATCAGTCAAATTTTGTTACACATCCTATTATATCTACATATATACTAATTAGCATACATTTGGAAGCAACCTATTTAATAATCTTAGTGCTTCTATTGTGTTAAATAAAAGATACAAAATAAAATGAAAGCGAACAATGATTATAAACATTAAATTAGCAACTTGGCAATTATTTTATGTAAAAACCAATTAATTGGACCACATACAAGTCTTTAATTAATAGTGACTATCATAAGTGCTGTAATTAATTTGTGAGAAAGACTATATAATGTGACAATGCAATATATTTAATTTAAATTCTTAGCCATTTTCACAGCATTTGCATTGTTTAACTAGTATAAAATAAAAACTAAATGTATACATAAAACTGTACCAGTCATCCAGTCATCATATATTTAAAGGAGATTTCAACATAAAAACTTGGCAACTAGTCATTAAATCTCATGCATATATAAAAAAAATACCTGGTGCAAAACTTCTAAATACATTCTTATACAAAATACACAAATGTTGCCTCTGTAATTTGTGTTATGTGTACGTCTCATTCAGTTTGCTGATGTCATAATCAACATATTATGACAATATGGCCACACTCCTCCTAACACCAGCACCTGAGTTAACATTGTCCAAGCTTGACCATTTTTTTATTCCATTTTTAACCATTTCAGCAGCTATTTTGTCTTCCATGACTCTTGACATAGCTTCCAATTTTTGTGCTCTCTCTTTACTAAGTGGTTCACTAGGAAATGCAAGGTCATTGGCTTCAGCAAGTGTACGTAAGTCAAAGTAATACTTAGCATAAACACTAGATGGTACATTTATGTTAAATTGCAACATTTCTAAAAATTGACGTTCCAATTCATTCATATCCTCCACAGTTATATCTTTTAGTATCTGACAATAGTCCACATTCCATACTGCTTGATCATCCCACACCTTACTTGCCAATAAAATTGCTCCCAATACTATTCTTTTCCAATTTGATGGAGCTATATCAAGTTCAGCACAAATGAGCAGTCGTTCCAAATACACCAATGTAATAATAGCACATTCTGCTGTCAGTTGAGCAGCATTGAAAAGAGTTCTAACAAATTTATATATCTGTTTATGCTCTGGATTATATTTATCATAATCATCACTGACTCCTTCTTTGCACAATGGGTGGAGTTTTTCATCAAATATATCCAATCTACGCTCAGAGGTTCTGTTCTTTATGTGATAATAAATAGCAAGTGCAACACACTTAACAGTATTTTTTAAGTTTGGCTGTGACACAGTACTGTCATCTAAGTAAATTGTGGAACAGGAACTGCTTTTTTTGAGCTTATTGTCAGCGATTTGATGTTGACTACGTTTTCTGGTTATTCCATTTTCAATTGATGCTTTAGATCTTTCCATAAAAATCGTCCCTGCGATTGGATCCTGAGAAGGATCAATGTCTCCATCATCAGGTTCTCTTTCACTAATATGTTGAATATTATTAGAACTTACTTCACCTTCTGGAAGGTAATCTTCTAGCTTAACGATGTCTTTTCTGATAGGTGATGGACTGCGGTAACAACAACAGCTATTTTGGTTACCCATGATAGAATGATAAATAAATAGCGTCAAATACAACTAGTTATCATTCTACAGAAACTGCTATGGCATCTAGACACACCTAAATCGTATGCCGATTCTTAAGAATGACGAATGTTCATAGTAACTGAAACAAAAGGGAACTGCATATATTAATGTTCTAGGAAATTAGCATTGATCAAATATTTAATTTTTGAAGTAGAAGATATATACCTGAATAACATACCTTAGCATTTTATGATCTTCATAATAATTTACTTTTATCTCAAGAAAATGTAGAGCAAATGTGATGAGCAAAATTATTCATTTTGATTTGAGAACAAAATGTACTTATTTACTCTATGATTTTGACATTATGTTGACAAGTCTTTTTTTTTTTTTTTTTTTAAAAATTTCCCACATTTTAATCTATGGATTAGTCTAGGATGTTGCGGATGCAAATTTTTTCGCATCTGCGGATAACGGATTTTATAAGGCTTTTATCCGTGGATGTGGATGCGGATCTGTACAAAGAAACTTAAACGTGGTTAAAAAATTAAAAGTCAGTAACAATTATTCTTTCTTTATTTAAACAGTAGTGAGAGTTTTTGGAATTAAATTTGAATATTGGAGCATCATATTTAATGAAAAATAGGACTGCTGCTTTTTTGGGCTCCAGTCTGTTTTGCAAAGGTTCATATATTAATATTGTTCACTTGGAACACTGGCTGGTAGAACTATATTATAATTTGCGTTCTATTTTAAATAATCTTGTAGATCTAAATAAGGGCATTTAGGTCTATGAGACTTAACATCATTTGACGATGTATTTGACGAGTAATGGATTCATTTTGTAACTGGAATAAATTAATTCTATATAAAAGCCAATAATTGCGAGAAGAAATTACGTAACTAAATTTTTAGTAGTAGCTGGCGAATTAATGCTAATGACTCTCTTGTTATAATCTAGTTATCTTTTTTTACTAGATTGCATATGTCTGTAGGAAAAAAGTACATTTAACACTTGTAACCATGATATAATTTTTTCTCTAAACGTTCATGCACTTTGCTGGACGTAATCAACCTCATGTGGTCGTTTCTGAAGTGATAAAATTTTAATTTGATATTACAACGAAATATTTATTCAAAAGACTAATTTGAATTATATTTTAAATAGATTTTAGTAAATATAATTGTAAATTTATTTTATTTATCGTCCATAAACATGTGTGGATATTTAAAATTAAATAAATTAGTGGTATTTAAAAATATTTTTTATTTCTTGTTGTTTTGTAGCACTGAATACTGATTTCGTACCATAGATTAAACCGTAGAGTAGATAAACAGGCAGAGACGGAGAAAAAGAATAAAACAAAAACAAAATGGCGGATTATTGGCTTCTGTGAAGAAGCACGCTGTAATTTTTTAAATTGTATTGTAAACGATATAAGAGTCTACATTTTGTTATATTTTACAAAAAGGTAATGAATCGTAATTTTATAAATATATGCTTTTCCTTTTAAGGGTTTGTAAATAATTATTATGTGTCTATTTTAGAAGGATGCGTCGCAAAAGTGATCGAAATGCAAGCAAAAAGCTGAAATCTTCACCTGAAAAGAAAGTCGAAAAAGTAAAGCGTACACGTTCACGTCGTAGAAAATCTACTTCTTCTGAAAATGAATCTGCAGAGGAGACAATTGCTCAAGAGTCGGAACCTGTAGTTAATACCGATCTAGAAAAAAAAACTCTACAAGCAACTGTAAAAGCCGATAGTCCTGAGGAGGCACAAGACCAGGTATGGCATGTCAAAGCCACAGAGAGTGGTGATATGGGCGAGATACAGAAATTAAAAATTTGTTTAACACGCCCGTCCTCTACTCCTGAAAGAGTGGATAGATCTCCACGAAGCAAGAGGAAACATTCTCGCGCTACTAGTTCTAGTGATACACCGAGTATCGAAGGAGTGGATGATCGAAAGAAAAGTAAACATCGCACTAAACGTGCTACACGTGAATCTAAAGATGGATCAGAAAAGAATCACGATAGTCAAGAAGAACAGGACAGGGAAGTAGATGCGGTCTACGCAGATGGTGATACTCAGGTAACCCAAAGCACTGAAAAAATACAGGATACAGTTCTAGATGAGATTCCCATGTCTACTACTAGTGATGACCCCAAAATAAATGATAATTTAAATGATGCTAATGAAATACAAAAGGAAGAAATGAAAATAGATGTGGAACAAAGTAAGCCATCTGATGCTGACACAACTGTTGTTTCTCCAAGAGCTGAGCCAACAGCAGTGGTTGCATTAGTTACTGAAACAGTAATGGGTTCACAAGAAATTGAAACAACAGTAGTATCAGCTAAGATTGACATAAAAGATTCTGAAGATAAAATATCTGAAAAAGATAGTTCCGAGTCAAATTTAAGTATGTCTATTGACAAATCTGAGGTTCTTGAAATTCATGCAGAGGAAAGTAAGTGTGAGTCATCAGATAATGAGATGAAGACACGAGAGGTTTCTGTGGAAAAGGCTGTTGATGAAGACAAGGAATTAATTTGTGAAAAGGTAAGTAAAATAGAAGAACAAAACAGCAGTCTTACAAAGGATGCAGAGTCTGTTCACCAAGAAGATAATAAAGATACTAATCAATCTGATGTTGTAGAGAAATCAGATACCATGGATATAGAAAGGATAAGGAAAAATTCATCTGATGCTGGTGATAAGGTAGAGAGTAGTGAAGTAAGGCATAAAAGTAGAGACATTGAACACTCTGATTTAATACAATCTACACATGAAGAAATTGTACAAAATGGTGCAGCCGCACCTATCACATTTAACAGAAAACGAAGGTGGGGCTCCCGTCCTTCAAAAGTTACAACGCAAAAGTCTATAACTATATCTACTGATGTTCTTAAAGAGATAATACCTGATGTTAAACCTGTAGAATTTGCCGAAGTTATTGAGGAGAAAAAAAATAAAAGGGAAGTGAGTGAAAAAGTGGATAGACCTGTATTGCCAAAAATTATTATAGATAACACAGAGAATTTAGAACACAATAGAAAGGTAAAGGAAAATGATGAAAGTGATAAAGACAGATCTAGAGACTCGCATTTGGCATCAAATAGAAAAATATCAATAGTTAAAGACAACGATAGCATTATTGCAAGGCCACCAAGTCCACCCAGACATAAACAGTCAAATATATTGTACATAACAAATTTGGTGAGGCCATTTACTTTACCACAATTAAAAAATTTGTTACAAAGAACAGGAAGAATTGAAGAAAATGGATTTTGGATAGATAGAATAAAATCAAAATGTTTTGTTAAATATGGGACTGAAGAGTAAGTATACCAATTGTTTAACACTTATGTAATAGTTATTAATTTATTATATATATTTTCAAATAATTTATGAAAAATGAATGGATCTTAATATTTCCCTTGATTATCTATGAAATTCAGAAAAATGTGTGTTCCATATTTTTGCAGTAATATTTGAAGCAACATTATTATAAAGGCCTATAGTTAGTACTATCTTGCAGATTTTCTTCATATAATTCAGTATATATAGTATTATATATATTAAGTTAGCATGTAATTTACCTGTGTACCAAATTTTATTCAGATCTATTCAGTTTTTGTGTGTAGGAGTAACAAACATCCATCCATTAGTTTATTCTTTTAAACTTTGCATTTATGATATTAATAGGATTATAATGTACTTATAACAATTGAGAGTTATATCTTTCAGTGAAGCAGTGGAGACCAGACATGCACTTCATGGTGTTACATGGCCTGTCTCAAATCCTAAGACATTGCAAGTAGATTTCTCTACCCAAGAAGCTTTTGATAAGGCTAAGCTGAATGAAGAAACGGACAACAATCAGACTTCAACAATACCAGGCACAGTGGAGGATTGGCTACGGGAGCAGGACATCAAACGTGAAAGAGGAGAACTGGTTTGTTAATTCTAATTACTAATCAGTACCTAATTTGACATGTGATAAAATTGGATTTCTATTAAAAAGGCAATGTATTTATTAGTGGCAGAATAGATTAGCCCCCTTATTCATAAAAATGTCAAACATCTCGTAACCCTTCTGTAGCTATTGTTTTGTCTTTTTATTTTGCATTAAATTCTCATCTTTAAAGAAAGTAACAAAGCACTTAAATATTTACAACAGTTAAAATTTCTATTTTGTGTAACAACTTTTATAAATTAATTTTAATACTTTATTACTACTAAATCCTTCTGCTTATAAATAGCTGTATCCCAGAGCTTGACCCATGTGAATCAGTAAATAAAGTATTCTGTGTGCTAAGTTAATATAAAACCTACCTGTGTATTGTAATGACAAACACCCATTTATCCATCCATTAATAGGATATAATTATAATAAAAAATGTTTCTTATTTGGTTAATTTTGTCATATAATGATTTTCAATATACTTCATAGGAGAAACCATGGGAACGGAAGGCAGCAATGCGAGAATGGGACCTTGGTAAAGGTGAAAAAGATAAGGAAAAGGATAAACTGAGAAAGGATGACCGGTTACCTGACAAGAGACGACATCGTAGTCTTGAAAGGAGCCCAGAACCAGGTACATTTCGATACAAAAATAATGTGTATTTTTGAACCATTAGAAGGAATTTGTATTTTTATTACTAATAGTGCCAACATTTTTGTTACAAAATTTTTTATACATTTTTATTGGTTTAACATCTTACTATATATACTATATATATACTAATATATAATTGAAACTAGATGAAAGTATATATACATGTAGAAGTAGTCTATTTGATAATTTTTTTTAAATCCACTAGTACAAAGTAGTGGGCACAAAACTAGTGTAGGTACTATAAAAAAACAAAATATAATTAAACATGAATATTGAACATAGTCTAATTTCTACTAATTTAATGCTCATTTCTGAGCTCACTTAGTATGGTCATTGATTACTCATCTTAAAACCAATGGTAGTTAGGGTTTGGTGTTTTGTATTGTATTGTATTGTGTTGTGTGTAATATTGTATTGTGTGTGGTAATTGTATCTGAAGTGCCATTTCTCTAAACTTTTATTCTTCTATTATTTTATTCTTTTATTATTATAATAAATAATAATTTTTACTTAAATTTACTACAAATTTTAATCATCTTAGTTCTTAGAATAAGGATTTCGTTTTGATATCAAATTGAAATTTTAATTTCAGAGATAGAGTCAGAGATATGGTGCATCAGAATCAATTCTGCTGCTATCAATTGCTGTAGTTATTATAGTCATGATATATTTATACGTTTTGCGTGCCTTTGGTGTTGTAATAGTAAGTAAATATACTCTGTATTCTGTATTTATATATTTTTTGTTTGCAGCAAGAAAATTCAAGAAGAAGGAAGAGGAAGCACCCGCCAAACTACTTGATGATCTATTTAGAAAGACTAAAACTACACCCTGCATATATTGGTTGCCGCTGTCTGCTGAAACTGTTAGTATTTATGTTTACATATATATTATTAACTTTCTAATATCCTAGTTATAAGTACTATTTGCAGAGCTTTGCTAATACTGTATTTTATTTTTATTTTTTGTGCCTTGAAAAATTCTTTTTTAATTATCCTCTCTTTATCTATACTTATAATAAATCTGTAGAGAGGTCAATTCTGTACATGAAATATATTTCCAAAATAACTATCAGGGGGTGATTAGTGATCGATACTGATGTCAAAAATGCAATCAGTAAAATTTTTGCCTGTCTGTATGTTCGTTATAGAAACAAAAATTACTAGACGGATTTTAACGAAACTTGGTATAATTATTCTTCATACTCCTGGGCAGGTTATAGTATATTTTTCATCACGCTACGATACAGAGCAGTGAAGGGAAATGTTAGGAAAACGGGAGAAGTTATTCCATTTTTAAGCTTCCGTCGCGTGTGCAGCCTTAATGGCCACTTTTTAAAATGTAAAAATGTCCACCCGTGCGACGCCGGGACGGGCCGCTAGTAGTTAATAATATTGTTTTCAAAGTTGTATTTGTAATTTGTTTCTTTAATATTTTTAAACTATTTCATACTTCCTTAAATATCCATTATTATCGTACCTACTTGTACAACAATTAATACGTTACTCTAAGATAGTCTTAAAAAGATTTTTCTCAGATATAAAACAATAAGGTGGTATTGTACTTATACAATTGTATAGTTACATTTATTAGTTGTCTTTATTCCTATGTTGTATAATGCAAGTAAAGAATATTCATTTATTCATTATAAATATATCTGGCTTTCCATTTCAGATCGCAGTAAAGGAGGAACAGAGGCGACAACATATGGCGGAGCATGAACGGCGATTGCAGGAAATGCGCAGAATTCATCGTCGGCACTAGCATGGTCCGTCCCACAGACATTCATTCATCAATCATCACACCATCCCATACATACCTATCAACTGATACATAATATACACCCATACACCACTCTCACATACAATCATTTAAAACGAACTCATATTCATACTCTTCATTTTACACAATCATGTCATCCATTTTTAAATAAGGTTAGGTCGTTATAACGATATTTCTTTCCAGGTGATATAATTGTCTTACAAGATGATTATGTCCATTTCATTTATTAAAGGAAAACTGTATTTAGTTATACGTTTTGTTAGTTTATTATAATATAGGTTAAAAGGCGATATAATCAGACACATGAGAATGGATTAATAGGAGCTGAAACTATAATTTTATACAAAATGTTATAGAAAGGCACGCTTGGAGGAAATCATATGATTTAATTCATCGTCGGAGTGACGCAGTCACTTGATCCAAGTGAGATGGAACACTGTTGGAACTCCGCATTGGGAATGAGACGCTGCGATCGCGCTGATTCACCCTTGCAGCTAGACGTCGAAGGGGTGAATTTCTACATACCCAAACTAGCCTATTTGGTCATACTTTATATGTCTTTATTGTATGACTTAATGGCTCTATGATGAACCACTTTTGATATTGACGAGAATGTCACGGAAAACAAATGAAGATATTGCAGTCAACTGTAGTGTTCAGAGGAAATTACTAGTGATGGACATCATGAAGCTAGAGGACCTGCAATGATCTCCCATATGGAATGTCATCAAATGAAAATTATAATAGAATAATTGGTAATGAAAATATTGAATTCAGAATTTAAGTTATCATCGACAAATATAGACAGTGATATTATGTTACAGTATATAGCCAGGTCGATGAATATTATGAATGATTTTTTTTTATGAAAATTGTTTTTGTGAGGACTGTACTGTTTCCATTGATGTTCAATATAAATTTCCCTGTCTGAAACATTCTGTTTTATTTTTATTATATTTAGTTTCCTCATAATCTATATAAACTCTCATGTTATCTCAAAATACTATTTATTATTTTACTCATAAATAAATTGGAGAAAGAAGAAACCTTGGAGAAGTTACGTAATGTCATTCAATCATGAACTAAGCATAGCTTATGTAGTACAATATATGGTATTGTTTCACATATTTACATTTTTTTTTTATAAATAAAGATAAATAAAAATTTTCGATACACGTAATAATAATTCATTCCTATTTAAGAGATTCCCTCTTATCGGTGGAACTTTTGCTGCTAGGATTTTAAGCGACTTTCTTTACATCTTGATACGACATGACACGAAGTTTTAACTGGAATTGCCTGATCTAACTATTCCTTCATATCCTTTCCCTTTTTCCCATATATTACCTTCTATTATGATGTTCATAATTTCTTTGTGTCGTATCAAGTGTCCCGAATTTTTTTTTTTCTGACCTCAATACTATATATACATGACAATATTTTCATATCAATGAATATTAGAATGGTAATCCTATTAAGATTTCTTTTTCAATTAATTCTTTACTTTTGTATGTAGATGTATTTATGTGCTAATAAATAAGCATTTTTTTTTATTATGACGCTTTTGAAAAATCTGCACTAGGTAATAGAAAAAGATGTGGTTCACCCGATTACGCTATCCGTGTACAATGGAAGAGCGGAGGATGGAATAGTAGACCTACCATGGCGAATTCATCGAAAATTAACCACAACGGTTTCCAGGGACTTTTGATATTATCAATAATGGCAACTATCGTCCCTGTTATTAATAATCTCTTCTATAAACCCAGCAGTTTGGGAACAGCTACAAAACTGCACTAGTCTGTTGAGAATGCGAGATAACTAAAACTGCATGTTATTCGAAACGATACGTGTTAAGTAGCTTTCTGTCACTTCAAATGGAGCTAGATTTACTCTGTCTTTCTTACAGAATGCATTTAATTAAAATTTTTGATTAGAAGGGACTGGATAATGAGCGTAATTGGCTTTTTCTTCATCGAAGTATTCTTGTTCTTACAACTATACCAAAGAGAGTAGATAGTTAATAATACCTATATATCTGTTAATTTTAGTGCATTAGATAATAATATGACTATGCAAATCTATGTAAACCTATATTATTAGTACGATTACATATTATAATCCCAAGAATTTGGACAAGTAATTATTTTATCTGCAAGGTGATAATTTTATCACTGGGATAAGATTATTATTGTGATAGTTTAAGGCCAGTCGTTCTAGTGGATTACAATCGCCGACCGCTACTGGGTGATTTCTCTTTAATAAAATGGTAAGTGCATAATATTAAGAGTAATATTCAATCTTATGATTTTTATATTATTTTGCAATTTTATCTAATGGATATATACTACTGGCAAAATCCCCCAAGGGGCAGGTCTATGTTCAACAGTGGACAATTAACTGATAAGATGATGATAAATTTTTTTTTTAATCTAATAAGTTATAGTAGTTTGATCTTCAAGTTTGGATTCCGTGTGTATGTTATGTATGTGTAATTTAACAGTTACCAGTAAATGAAATATTTTTGTTATACTTTGTTTTATGTAACATACAATGGCAAACGAGCTCACGGCTTACTTGATGGAAAATAGTAACCATCGCCTATAGACATGAATATTACATGGACATAACATACTGGTAGTTGTCCTGCGGATTTCTCCGCTTGAATTAGAATAAAAGTCGCCTAGTAGTATTACATGTTAGGTAATTTATCTTACGGTCTATCAATATAAATATTAAATTAACATTGATGCTTCTTTCTTTCTTGGGTTTTCTGGAAGAAAACTAGTTGGGAGTTAAGCTCGCCTTTGTACATATCGTAATAGTCGTAGAATACTGACGGATATATATATATATATATATATATATATATATATATATATATATATATATATATATATATATATATATATATATATATATATATATATATATATATATATATATATATATATATATATATTTGTCATTCGTCAGTATTCTAATCTGACGATATGCTTACCTCTGTCATATTTTTTATGTATTATTAGTGTGTACAATAAAGTGCAAAATAAATAAATACTGAATTGTTTGGATGTTTATTTATCTATTTACTCTTTATTGCACCGCTTAAAGAATAATACAAAGATAAATATGTATATAGTATATTTATGGAGTACATAACTAGGTCTTATCGCTAAAGCAATCTCTTCCAGACAACCTTTAGGTAGAGGAGACAGAAAAAAATTTCGATATTCGATTAGCGTTTAAAGGTGGCTGAAAGACTATTAAATATTCTATACAGACTGACCATTTCCTGTACCGCGCAAAGTCATGGGGCACAGCTACTTTATAATATTATACGAATAAAGATAATAGTATGTAAAAGTGTGACAGTATAAGGCAGTATTGTGGTATTATGATACCACATTAAGATTAAGAAAGTACGATTCCAAACTTGTGTGAAAAAAATTGGGTTCTGAAATCTAAGTTTGAGATATGTGCATAACATGTAGACACAACATCCAATTAATAATTTAGGTATATAAGTGCGCATGAGCCCGAGCCTATATACCTATTTTTCCTGAATATTAAGAAAAAGTAGGAATGTAAAAACTGACACATTTCATGTATGTACGTAATATCTTTATAGCGTATAAAGATTATAAGTTATATCTAATTGTATAATTATTTAATGTCGCATAATTATTGATATGATAGATAATAAAAACCATTCATATTAAATGGGCTTAAGAATACGAGTATAGATGTCTAAATATTTTTAATGACAGAAATAATTTTCAAAATCGGTTCTCAATTTTTTTGCGTATAAATTCAGATAATACATAAAAAAATGAGGTGAATTAATAAACTCCTGATTTTCAAAGATTTTTTTGCACTATTTACTTTAGTATATATTAGTTCCCAAGTTATAAGATAAACGTATATCTGAAGATATCGTATAAACTCGGACATGGAGCCGATTTGCAAAATTGTCTCGTTATAGTTAGGTAACATTGATGTATATAAGATTTTTTCAGATGATGTCGAGGGGGAGAAGTGGGAGGGGGCGGGCTAAACTACAAACTTCACAAACATTTTATTTATAATTTTTTTGTGAATTAAATTGTAACTACACTATTATTTAAAAAAATGCACCAAATTTGCTGCCCTATACCTACCTAAATCTACCGCTCTTCAAATTTGGAATTTGCCTTCAAATTTCCAATTTGAAAGGACAATGGCTCGGGGTAGATCACTCTTTCTGCCCCCTCCGCACCTCTTTCCCTCTGTACATACTCAGTAACGCTTGACTGCGGTATAGAAAGAGATCGAATCCCAGCTTAAGTTTCTGAATTATCAAATGCAAGTTTGGATCGTTTGAAGAGATTGTCATTGTTTCGCGCTTCCGAGGGCACGTTAAGCTGTATTATTTTTAATGGATGATAATGGAATGATAACCCCGCGTACGCTAACACTATACGCCGATTGGGCATCAATGAGAGATGATAGGTGAGAATTAAAAGGCAGGTTAGTTAGTCCATCGTGATGAATACACCTCGAATTCAACACGATAGCTTTCAGGAGGGACTGCGTGGAGGTCGACCTGATAGGGTATATAGCTAGCAATGGGACTTGTAATCCATTATTATTAATTACTAACAATCCCTTCCCCCCACGTAAAGCTGTTGTCCGATAAGCAGAGGATTAAGTGTATAATCTATCCAAGTGTTCTGAACCCTCCCAGGGGGGCTCATATGGGGGCTTCGGGGCGAGCCCTTTTGCTCCGCATTCATTACCAGGGGCTACTACTCCTGGGTCTCTGGCGTTATTACCTTTAATAGTTGACATTTTTTCTTTGAAAGTTTCAATAGGGGAATTAAATCTCTTCCTCTTCTCGATAATGATAGGGTATTTTTTTAAATAAATAGCTAAATGGGCTATTGTATTATTAATTAAATTCTAATAGATGTATAATGGCTAATAAAGTTGGCTTTGAAATTCATAACACTAGAGGAGACGCGCTCATGGATATAGCAGTGGTAGCTAGTGTGTAGGAATGTTGTGTGTCAACTTAGTCAACTCTGAACCGATTTGGATAGAACTTTTTTAATACTTTCGATGAAGCGATTCTAATTATAAAGAACATTCTAACTTGCAGTTCCGGTGAGCAGTTTGCTCCTTGTCACTTTGATTAGGTATTTAATACAAAAGTGTAACATTATTTGCGTTGTATTAAGGTGTGGGACACACGATGGTACGTTCTGGCAGTGCTAGCAGCAACTGCTGCTGCTCAAGATCCATTCACTCTCAGAGAATTTGTGAATGGAAATTTTGCACAGAGGGGTTTCAACGGGACCTGGATTTCAGGTTAGTTTTAATATTTTATTTGTTTATTGTTGAGCAAAAACTTCTATAATAAAAATTAAGTTAATTAATAATAAAAATTAATTAATTAAATTAAATTAAATTAAAATCCTATAATAATATAATTGAAGAACCTATAACCGATGAGGAAGAAAGGTTCTAGAGTGGCGACCTCGTACGGGCAAATGCAGTGTAGGACGACCCCCACTAGGTGGAGTGACGACCTCAAATGCATTATAGGAAGTCAGTGGATGGAGATGGCTTAGGACTGATACTTATGAGAGTCTATGGGGGAGGCCTATATTCATCAGTGGATAGGTAATGGCTGAAATAATGATGATAAAAAAGTTTTTTTTTTTTCGGAAAATAAAAATGGTAAACAAGTTCTAATAGAAAGTGGTAAACGTCGTCTATAAACATCAAGAGCACTATGATCATCACAGAATATACAGATACGACGGCTATTGTATTCCTCGTGCGTTGCCATTCTTGAGAACTAAGATGTTATGTCCTTCAAACCCAAATAGCCGTGCGAAAAGAACTGACTGAAATATAAGTGTGACAGAGATACCCAACCCAAGTGGACGACTTTTGTACAAAGTTTCCCTCTGGTAACATTTAGCTCGTACTCTACCTGTGTTTACTTATCTATGATCAACCTAGTTCTAATATATTTTAGCGATACTAATGATTTTACGATATAAGTTTTATATCCTTGACTGTTTAATGTTAATAAATTAATGATTTTTCCATAATGTAAATTTTGGGTTTGTTTAATTTTCTTACAGATACGGAGTTCACATATACCATTTCAGGCGAGGACGGTATTTATTTATTTAATGTGGAAACTCTTAACAGTACCGACCTTGTTGATCCAGAGTTATTGGTTCGTAATGCATATTGTTTTTATTTTCATAGGACACCATTTTCATAGGATAGGATATAATAGTTTTTTTTATATAACTTAGAATGGCAAACAAGCTGACGGCCCACCTGATGGAAAGTGGTAACCGTCGCCTATAAAGTATAAAAGTTCTTGAGTAGCGAAATCGTAAGGGAAAAACGCAATGTAGAATGACCCATTAGACTAGATGGAGTAAAGACCTAAAATGCATTGCAGGGGAGTCAGTGGATGCAGGTGGCTCAGGGCCGTTCCTTATGGCAGTCTTTGGGGGAAGGTTTTTTTTTACAACCTAGAATGGCAAACAAGCTGACGGTCCACCTGATGGAAAGTGGTAACCGTCGCCTATAAACATGAGCAGTACCATGGACATAACAGAGTATACTGTTTCGAAGTAGTAGTATATATGTAGTATGAATAAATACTTTTTATAAAAAAATCCATGAAATATATCACATCACTTATATACTTTTAGTATCTATATACTCTAATAAGTATCTTTCGGTGCACAGAAATATGTGACCACTAACCTATTGCTCGCAGCTTCGTCCGCGTACCCGGGATATATTCACTGACCGGGACAAAAAGTAGTCTATATATATATAACTAGCGACCCGCCCCAGCTTCGCACGGGTGCACATTACATTACATCACATTGGAAACCTTTAAAATTATCACTGTTTCTCTACTATATTATACCTGTATTATACATAAAAACCTTCCTCATGAGTTACTCTATCTATTAAAAAAAACCGCATCAAAATCCGTTGCGTAGTTTTAAAGATTTAAGCGTTCATAGGGACATACAACATGACAGAAAAAGCGACTTTGTTTTATACTATGTAGTGATACGTGTATAACCAACTTCAATGTAATTGATTAAGCTGCTAATATTGTAAGAGATCACAAATAAACAAACAAACTCACGTTCACATGTATAATGTGAGGTTTTCCCTAAAGACTAAAGTATGTGGTTTCAAAAAAGGTATATTAAGGTTTCTTCAGAGTCGGCAACGTGCACGTGGTACCCCTAGTGTTGTATATATATATATATATATATATATATATATATATATATATATATATATATATATATATATATATATATATATATATATATATATATATATCTTACTAATATACATACATATAGATTAGTAAGGACTGATGCTGTATAACGAAGACTTCTTTGCCTTATGTATCTTTAACCACGAACTAAATATACTACAACATTATAACAATTATTTGGTTTTAATCAATTTTGGTCCACAGTCCACACTTATGGTAATAGACAAACTTTACTTACAGAAACTACTAAACACCACTCGGCCTGTATTATCTGCTGATAGAAACTACATTTTGGCTGCTAGTGAAGTTCAAGGAGTAAGTATTTCATTTAGTCATAATAATAAACATTATAGTAGACGGGCTGTTTGTTTGCTACCTTCGTGGTATGAAAAAAAATGGTCTGATATATTCCTAGATGAGAAAAGGATCTTTTTTTTTGATGGGTGAAAATGGTATGGTAATCCCGCCTGCGCTAACGAGATATGCTGGCGGAGCACCAGTGAAGGGTGATAGATGAGAATGAAAACAGGCCAGTTAGCCCATCATGATGAATTCATCAGGAATTAATCATGATAGTTTCCAGGGAGAACCGCGAGGAGGTTGACCTGATTGGATATATTACTAGTAATAGGATTCTCAGTCTCCATTACTAACAATCCCTTTCCCCCCTGAGAAAAGGATCGTATGTTTCTATTATCATCCTGACCATAACTGTTTCTCATATTGCAATTTATACTTTCCGACCAAATTCAAAAGAAGGCGGTTTCACATCGATTGTATTTTTTTAAGTTTGAATGAATGAATAAAAATTCTTTATCGTTTCATTCAAATTCTTTGAAGATACAGTATTCGAGTATTCTGACACTTCCCTATGGTTGACTGGGAGAGAATGCTTTTAGCATTAAGTCCGCCATGTATACATATTTGTACTAATGAATAAATAAATAAATACAGATTATAAAAATTAACAATATATACACAAACAAAATTAATACTTAATTACATAAAAGCAAGATAAATAGGCAACAACGGGCGCCTTATCGCTAAATAGTGATCTCTTTCAGGCAACCTTAGGATGGTGACGAATAATTAAAATTGTCTCTGGTCAATGCTCTACCTTAAAAGACCCATCTTCCTACATTAAAATGAAAGGCTACAAGAAAATTAGACAGATTCACTTAATCTTTGTGATCACTTAATTATGGCTTCTGCCTTACCAAAAAGTTTTTTGCCATACCTTAAACTTGGCTCTAGCGATAGCATTGATATACTTACAGATTGGTCTCATAAATTTTTAATCAAAATCGATGGATTAGCTTAATTTTTAAATCGAAATAACTGGGTTTTTCGCCATTAAAGTACTTTTCTTGTAGAATATAATTTTAAATTATTGAAGGTAAGTACGATTTTTACTATATCCATCAAGTTTCAAACGAAAGTAATATTTGTATCTCTAAACGTACCCGTAAGTATAATCTAAATACAGTAGATACTCTCTGAAAAAAAAAAAATAGTAGGTATGTTTTGAAATATAAAATATAATATGCTTCGAAAGCTGTTCTGTTTTTAATATAACTTAATAAAATAAATAATCATAGTAAAATCTGTATTAGATCATTCGTCAATTTATTAAAGTTTACAATTTAATGGTTATATACTTACTTACCCATTACTTACAGATATAAATCTTATTTGCTCTGATTGTCATCACTGAATATTGACAATTATGATGATATCCACTCATCATCATCATCATAATTGTTTTTTATGGCAAGTTGTGGAAATAATCATATTTATTTTTTAGGTCTATCGATATTCAACTACGGCCAAATATACGCTTTACAATATTGAAACAAAGTAAGTTGCTGTATTACCTTGTAAGTTATATCATCATAATCATAACAGCCGTTCTGCTGTCTACTGCTGAAGCCTCTTCCTCTAATGGGGGGGTTTTGCCAGTAGTTTTCAGGCTCGGCGAGCGGGTTGGCAACCTCAGACTTTGGTGATGTTTTAAGAGGGACACTGCTGCCCATTTTTCGATTTACTGTACTATTATATTATACTGAAGTATAAACTGAAATTTCGTAAGAAATATTCGTACTTCTACTTTAGATGTGTAGGAAAGGACAGTGAAATTATAGGGTTGAGGCATATCATCATAATTCTCAAGCGTAGGCAAAAGCAAAGTATTAGTATAACGTAGAGAATCCTGTCTTAAGAATGCAATGCCCATAACAGGATATTCTGCGATATCCATAATATTTTTCATGTTACTTTTCATCAGGAAAGCCGTTAACTTGTCTACCATTTTAAGTTGCATAAAAATATATATATATATGTAGTGGTCATTTATTTATATACTAATGCAACTTCTGCATTAGTAATTTTACTAGTTACTTATTTTAACTAGTAAAATTATTATCACTGGCTTAGTATAGCCGTTAATTTGAAAACATGCAACGGTTTTTAATACGGGATTTTTTGAAAATTTGTGTTTACAATGCACCTATAGCACATATGCGCCTATAGCACACATACAATAGCACCTATGTGCTGTTCACCCAGGTCGGTAATAAATATTATTTTTGATATTGTGTATAATTTTAGCTTGTTACGTACAATTTATCGGTCCTTGAATGTAATACGCTTTTTGTTTTTTTTAGTGATATATTCGAGATAGCTGGTCACCAACGCTTGCAGCTTTGTATCTTCGGCCGGGGACACTCACTTGCTTATGTGCTGAACAACACTTTGTATTATTTGCCTGAGAACAGTATCAATCCAATAAAACTCACAGACGATGGCATAGACGGAGTTATATACAACGGACACACAGACTGGGTGTATGAAGGTACTTACGACAAACTTAATTTGGAAATCTATTGAAATTATATTATTATTTAATGTCAGTTACTAAAAATCTTTGAATTTTTTTAATGGAAGACAATGGAGAGTTAAAGGTAAATACTGTATTTTATGCACGAAAATTATTAATTCACTCTTGCGTCACCTGCCCTTTTCTATCTGTTCTCCCTTAACTAAAGGTTGTCTGTAAGAGATTGCCCTAGCGGTAAGACCGCCTTTTGTACCTTTATGTGTATATTTCAATCTGTATTTATGTTACTGTATTTCATTTGAATTATTCACTTGTCATTTTATATTTTTATTTATGGTGCAATAAAGAGTTAAATAAATAAATAAATAAATACTGCCTGCGCCAAAGGTATACGGGTATGGCGGGGCACCAATGAATGATGACAGACTCATTGTGATGTTATACACCAGGAATTCAACACGATGGTTTCCAGGGGGAACCAAGTAAAGGTCGATCTGATAGGGTATATTGCTAGCAATGTGACTGGTAGTTCGCATTCGCTAACAAACCCTTCTCCGCAATCTTTGGGTGTTTGTTATTCAATTATTCAAAAACGACTGTACGGATTTGGTAGGATTTGACAGATAGGTAGATTATTGTCCTTATTCTTGCGGGAAGAACCTCGGGGTTCTTAAGGTTATTTTCCGGGGTACGCCTAGTTTTTTAAAAAAGGTGAATATATGTACTTTTAGACATGTCTTTTTTAAACTTTCTTTGCATCATGTGGTGGGCACCAAATAATTTTGAGGTGAGCACACCCCACCCGGCGCCCTTTTAAATACACCTATGCTCGGGATACTAAAATATCGAGATGTCTGAATATTAAGCTTATTTTTCAAAAAAGAGTCAAGATTAAGCCTACAAAGCGATGAAACATAGTACTAATAATTGGTACCAGGAGAATAACAGGTGAGGGTGAAGTTAGGTCATATTGACTCGTTGTGATGATTTCACCAGGAATTATTTAATGGCTATGTACGATAATTTCTAGGGACGAACACGTGGTGGTAAATTGATTTGACAAGGTATATTTTTAGTAATGGGGCAGCTAGTCCCTTTTACTAACTTATATTTTAATTGGGTGAAAATGAAATAGTAACTCATTTTACTTGCACTATCGCTATACACTGGCGGGGCAACAGTGAAGGATGATAGGTGAGGATGAAGCAGGTTAATTGGCTCATCGTGACAAATTCAACAATAATTACCTAAGATGGTTTTCTTGGACCTCATGGTGATTAACCTAATAGAACCCATATAGGGAGCTGTTCTCCGTTAAATAGTGAAAGGTAGTATGACGATAAATAGTGGCTAATATACATCTACTTGTTACAGAGGATGTCATGTACACAGGACAAGCTACTTGGTTTTCTACGAATGGTTCTTACTTGGCTTTTGCTAGTTTCAATGACACAGAGGTTGAAACTTACTCGTATTACCACTACACGGGCACGTCGGACCCAGACGATCTTTACCCTGAGCTGTATCATCTGAAATATCCTAAGGTACAATTCGTCTTTGAAAATCCAACTTTATTAATAATGATCAAAGTCGAATATGTAATGTACTGAACCTTACACAATCGATTTTATTAGATTTTGTTGAAGTAGGTAGTTATATAATAATAATATTTATTTATTTAGACAACATAAGGCCCAATTTGTTAGTTATATATGTATTTGTTTAACCTATGTTAATAAATGAACGGTCATGACGCTCTTGCATTGATAACCTGTCCCATCCAATATTTTAGGATGGAACAGTCCCTTTTACCGTCAATTATCTTTACAGAACACTATTTGAGTGTTGAATGGTGTGGATGACAGTAGATATTTTGGCAGTTTCTACTGTAAAAAGAAGTATTGAGTGAAATTTTTTAATTAACGCAGTGAACTAGTTTAAGCAAACAAACTGGGGAGTCATTTGGGTGAAATGTGGTAACCATTACCTATAGAACAGCACCGACTAAGGGAACAAAGCTCAATATGTTACTAGTACAACGAAAGAAGAACCTGAAATAAATCTCTATAATCCAACTCAAACCGCCTAGCCAGCGAAATTGTAATTATATGTACTTCTTATAAAGAGAAACCCATGGCCAGAAGTGGAACATTAATGGGTTGTTAAGATAAGGTCTATATCATATATAAATGAATATATAAATTTTCAAATATAGTATAAATTATCATTGTCAAACTCACTATTCACAGAGGGAATTTTTAGTCTTCTCACAAAAAATTACTTATTTTGTTTTGTAGTTTGAGATTCAAATGTTTAATGTGCTACAGCGTCTTCTAATAACTATAATAATATATTGTAGCTGTAATTTTACTTACTGAACATTTTTTATAAATCTTTGTAGCTTAAACTTATTAAAATTATTGTTTTAGGTCGGTCGTGTGAATCCTTCAGTAAGTTTATACGTAGTTGACCTCAATTCTCTGGTTGAAGATAATAATTTGAATTTCTTGAGGTTGAATGCTCCCGAAGAGGTAACCGAAGACCACATACTCGGTGGAGTGACATGGCCCACCGATAATGAAATCGCTGTTCACTGGCTTAACAGGCGGCAGAATTACACTATTCTTAGAATTTACAACGTGCTCAATATCAGCGATTATGTTGTAAGTGAATATGGTTTCTAAAAATAAAAATAGTCGATATTATAATTTGACCGTTTCTTTGTGACTTTGATGACAATTATACCTAATTAATAATTAAATGAAGAGTTTTTATAAGTATGTTAATTTTCTCGGATTTAAGGCCATTATTATTATCTAGTAGGCAACTATGAGTAGGGATATATGAAACCAACATAAGTTTAGGGATTTTGTTAATACTATATGTATTATTAATAATTGTTGCGGCGGTAGTCACTTATCATCAGGGGAGCCGCATGCTCGTTTGTCTCCTGTGTTGTAAAAAAAAATACTAGATTTTGCTCGTAACTTCATCCGCGTGATTCGAATATGCTCACTAATCGGGATTAAAAGCAGCCTATTTCCTTCTCTATTCCATATTGTATTAAAATTTTTAATTATTGGTTCAGCCGTTAAGGCGCTAAGAGCAATGTAAACAAATAAACAAAAGGATTACACCTTCGGTAGATCTATATTTACTAAAGCGAAAGTCCTGTGACCACTTTCTGACTGCCTCACACACGTTGCGATTAGTTTATAAATAATTCGAAAGGTTACGAAATTATAGTATAAAGTACCAACACTATTTTCCTAAGAATATTGTATCAGATAACTGAGGGGTAAAAACATGGAATACTAATGTAGACGAAGAATAATTCGAAATAGAATTCCCATGCCGATTCGTCTGGTCAGCGTGATGGTAATAATCCTTCTCTTATGAAGAAAAATCCGAGATCAACATAGGTTTTTACGACACAACCAAGATAGAAATTTTATTTTATATTGTTATTTGGATTTTATATATGTAAATCAGTAAACACTATTATTAGACATTTTATTATTTTAAAGTTTTATTTTACCTACGGGTAAAATAAAACTTAATAATTTTATTATTTTAAAAGGTTTATTTACTTCAATATAAATTTATAAGTTTTACTAATGTAATTAAATTGTAACTAGATAATGTCTGAACATAATGTTACACATGTTAACATGTGGTAGATAATAAAAAAAATATAAGGAGTCTTAATAAAATAAATAGATGCCAAGACAATATTTTATAGAAATTTTGTCTATTTGTATGTTTGTTCCGGTATCACGCAAAAATGCAGTAGGTATTTTCTTGAAAGCGGTTTTCAATTGTATTTCTAAAGGTGTAACTTAAAATTAGATCGGCAACGCACGCGTAATATCCCTGGTATTACAGGCGTTCATAGGCTACGGTTATCGCTTACCATCAGGTGGGCCGTATGCTTGTTTGCCACCTCAGTGATATAAAAAAAATCGGTCATATGATTATATTTATACGTCATCTAAAAGTGATGTGTTTCACTGGTTTACCTGCTTTTGAAATCCACGCTTAAGAAGTAGCGAGCAAAAAATTAGTAGGTATATAATAAAAAGTAAATTAAATAAAATACTTGGAATAATGTACTACCTGGGATAGGTATATAAGACAATACATATTTTCTTCATAATAGGTGTTATTTTAAATTAAAATACAGGATGAACGAAGAGCGGAACCTAATGGCTGGGTTCCGATTGCATTGCCTCAATTTAGTAGCGATGGTTCATACTACGTGTCCACCCGCTGGTCCCATCCTCAAATTGATGGAAGAATATGGCAACATCTCTACCTCAGCTTGAGAATCGGCAACAAGATCGAATCCAGTTCAATAACACCGGGATTGGCTACTGTTAACAGTTTTGTCGGGGTGAACGAGGACGGTCCATATTTGTAAGTGATATAAAATTACATGCACGCTACAATACTCAATTATACCATATCTGAGTCACAGGAGTGGCTTTTTGTTTCAGTTTGTATTGTAATCAATAATTATTTATTAGTGCAAAAGCGGATTTAACTCAGCATTCTATCTGTCAACTTTTAGGATAACAGAAATTTTATTTAATTTTATATTATTATATTTTATTTATTTGGCGCCCTTAACAGAAGTTTACAAATACAAACTTTAAGTATAACATTAATGTATTGATCAGGTAAACTTGCCACAACATGTGCACACAGCATGATCCAATAATAAATGCGACTGCAACAAAGCCATTCGGTTACAATTATTAGTGCTAAAAATTAAACATATAAAAGAAAGTTAAATAAAAAACAAAACATAAGTTAAATAAGAAGATAAATATTACATTATTAAAATAATTTTATACAGGTGTCTACGATATTGATTGAATATGATGGTCCAATCAAAAATATTGAAGATTGTTGTAGGTAAAAAGTTAGAGATGTGTTTATTATATACCTACACGCGATTTATATAATACATACAATGACAACGAAGAACTACGACACATACTGATCTTCACTTCATAGATCAGATTTTTTCATTTATTAAATCAGTCAAAGCCAATAAAATAAAGCTACTTATTCAATAACACAATGCATGGGCAAGGCCGTATCTCTTGAGGTCCTTCTGTTCCTGTTTCTTATACTACTATCATCCATTTGCAAATATAGCTCTCTGGTGTTGAGTTTCTAGGTAGCCTTCGTTATATATATATATATATATATATATATATATATATATATATATATATATATATATATATATATAGGTATATGCGAAGGCGTATTCATCTATTAACATCAGAGGATGAATATAAAATTATTAAAAAAAGCAGTATGGGGTTTTCATATAAAAACCATGCTATTTAAGTTTCTTCGGAGTTGGAAACAGGCACGATTATAATCTTAAAATAATATTTTTTCAAAATTTTCAATTTGCTTTTTTATTCAATATCTGTATCATTGCTTACTTTCTTTTTGTAAGCATTCATTAGGTACTGTTTATCATCAGACAAACTGTTGTTATATAAAAAAATTGTACTGCGTAGTTACTACACACGCACGGTTCCCGGGAGTCAGTGGCGGTCTGAACTCCGTCGTGGGGGCGCGAGGGACGGGTGTATCAGCTGTAACATTCAGCTGCCAGAGGGAGGACCGTGCACTTGGGTTACGGCCACCGCGAGTCGCGGCGGTAGATACCTGTCTGTCACCTGTTCTTCGCCCAATGAACCCTCAGCCACTTATATAGTCGACCCGTTACAAACCAGTGTGGTGAGTAAACTATCTTAACATATTAATGTAAAGTAGAGAAGGTGATTATTAGTAATCCCCATTTTTAGTAATGTACCCTTTCTTTTTTATGGGATGAAAAAGGAATAGTAATTCTACCTATGTTGACGGTTTAAGCTGGCAGTGTACCAGAAAAGGATGATTATTAAGGATAAAGTTAGATTAATCGGCTCATAATGATGAGTTCCACATGAATTAGCAATGATGATTTAGTTTTTGGGTGACCGCGTGTAGGGTTACTTAACCCCAGTATCCTTTTTCCTCTACGATAGGGTGTAGAACTAACGTGTTATTTTTTTTTATTTATTTTTTTTTCTATAGAACTTAGAATGGCAAACAAGCTGACGGCCCACCTGATGGAAAGTGGTAACCGTCGCCTATAAACATGAGCAGTACCATGGACATAACAGAGTATACTGTTGAAATATATATTGGTTGAGTATAATGGTGAAATGTTAGTGCCAGATACATTGCATAAAAACGTTTTAGATTTGATTTTTGATCGAATTATTTTCGGTAAATTAACTTTTACACTTTGACACAACCCAGGCTTAAACCCGTGCCGAGGTTTCTCATAACAAAAAGTATCCTGCTTTGAGAACCAAATGTACACTCATATAGTGACACTCATGATTGAATATAAGACAATTGATGATAATGTGTTTTATTAACACTTAATATTTCCTGTGGCTTCGTCCGCGCGTATCAGTACATATAATATTCTATGTGTTAAATTAGGATATAAACTGTGTACCAAATATAATTTAAATCCATTTAGTAGTTTTTGTGTGAAAAGCTAACAAACATACATACATTCATCTTTACTAACTTTTACATTTATAATACTAATATGATTAACAAAATACAGATTGTTAAAATTGGTATTTTTACCAATTGCATATTTTTTTTAATAGATATTACCCTTTGGTAATATCTATTTAGATGAATTGTACTAGTGATGAAGAGGGAAAGGGTTGGTTAGTAATGGGGTCTAACACCCCCCTGATAACACCCCACACCACGCGTTTTTCCCCTGGAAATAATCGTGGTTAATTCTTGTCGAATTCTTCACGATGAGCCAACTGTCCTGCCTTAATCATCACCTTTAATCTATCACTGGTGCTTTGTCAGCATATACCGATAGCGTAGGCGAAGTTACAATTCCAATTTTTACCATTAGAAAAAAAAAAACTAATAACAGATTATCAATTGCTTATCATCATTCTGCTTATTTTAAAACAACTAATTTCTTTTGTTTAGACCAATGCAATTCTTTATGTATGGGAGACAAACAGTATAGTGCGAGAACGGCTTGTTGAGAAGTCTCGTCCGGAAAGCGTTATATTCACGGTGCCACTGGAGAACGGTATTCAAGCGCCTGTCCGATTGCACATTCCACCCGGCGTCGATTTGAATGATACCTCGACGCAGTACCCCCTGATCTACTACGTATACTCCGGCCCTAATACCAATACAGTGTATGATACATTTACAGTTGGTAAGTATTAGATAAACACTGTTATCTGTACATATAATAAAACTGTACTAACTGTAGGTCGAATGTCTGTCTGTAGAAAAAAAAACCCTAAAAATGAAATAAAACACAAGATTTTATCTTTTTTTTTTGTTTCTCTGTCTGTTTGTCTGTTCGTACAGGCTAATCGCCGAGATTGTTGGACCGATTTAAATGAAATTTTACATGGTGTTGCCTTACATCCTCGGTCAACATTTAAGAATCACGGAAAATTAAAGTTTTTTTTTTATACAATTTAGAATGGCAAACAAGCTGACGGCCCACCTGATGGAAAGTGGTAACAGTTGCCTATAGACATAAGCAGTACCATGGATATAACAGAATGTACTGTTTCGCCCATGATACCCCCCATGCGTTGCCATTCCTGAGGACTTATGTGTTATTCCTCTGTACCCTGAAAATTCACGCCATATCTCACCCTTCAAACTGAAACACAGCCATGCAAACACAACTGCTTTGTCCTTTTAAGGTAGCCAAAAAAGTATCTAAGTAAACGACTTTTGTACAAAGTATCCCTTTTTATTTTTGTCATATTTCGAGTAGTTACTTTGGTGTTCAGTTTTACTGGCAGAATTACTTTTATTAAAAAATGCTTATAATTCATTTTCACTTTACATGACTACACTGTGACTATACAAATATGATTTTTTAGGATATCATTCATATATTACAACAAATCACAATGCGATCTACATGATAGCGGACGGCCGCGGCGCCGGTCTCAACGGCCAAGATATTCTGTATTCACTGAACAACAGACTTGGTACTGTGGAGATAGAGGACCACTTGGTGATTCTCAGGTATGTTCACTCATTTTTTATTAGGTGCAGCTCTTTCCTTACCACGATTTTAGGATAATCTCTTCACCTTTTGATACATCACCACATCAAATGTTTCTTTAATCTGTCGCTGTATTTGTCTGTTATAACTATGCATTTATCTCACTCTTTTTCTATCTTAATTAAAAGCCAATACAAAACTTTATTTAAATAGTCTTATACTAATTTTAAATCGTTATTTTTTCTGATTCTACAGTAGTTTCGGGAAGTTCTCTGTTGGGAAGAAACTATAAAAAACTCAACGGTTAATTATATTTTAAAAATTAAAAATCTCTATTAACATTACGTATATTTAAAATAACGTGGTCTTTGAATATTTAATAGCTTTTCTATTTTATTTTCTGAACTAATGTCAAACTGTTTATATTGTACGCTAATTCAGCCATTAAAAATTCTGTACTTGTCAAACCGCTTGGTGTAAGGGGGGAAGAGATTGTTAGGAATGAAGGTCTAACATCTCCGATGCTAGCAATATACCCTATCAGGTCGACCTCCACGCGGTTCCCCCAGGAAACCATCGTGGTTTATTTTTGTGGATTTCGTCACGATGGGTTAACTGACCAGCCTATTCATTCTCACCTATCATCCCTCACTGGTGCCTGGCCAGCGTATATAGTTAGCAATCGGGATTACCATTCCATTATCATCCATTCACCGTTTGATGTAATGTTCTATTTCGAACTTTTATTAATATATTACAACATTATTATTAGTTATTATTATTAACAAAAATTGTCAGAGATCAAATTTGGTAATCTAAAGATACCTACTTAAAACTAACATTTCGTAACTGTATCAGTGTGTGACCCAGATAAATAATTTATTTCAATTTAGCAATCATAAAGATGTGTATACGAAATATTTTTTTATGGATCTTAATTATTTTATTTCATAAAAAATCATATTATAAGAATACAACATTTAATAAATTCTAAATAAGTACTCTTCGTTTACGTATACCCCGTACGGGCAAATGCAAACTCGGACGACTCCCACTAGATGGATTGACGACCTAAAATGCATTGCTGGGAGTCAGTGGATGCTGATGGCTCAGGACCGTTATTTTTGGCAGTCTATGGGGGAGGCTTACGTTCAGCAGTGGACGGATAATGGCTGAAATAATGATGATGATGAAGTGTTCTTCTTAAAATACATATAAATAGAGAAACGTACTACGAGTAACGGAATAGATAATAGTTAAGTCCGTTAGTCCATCGTGAGAAATTAACCAGAACTTAAACACAAAAGGGAACTTAATTGATCGAGGTATGGGCAGCAGCGTCCCTCTTAGAACATAATAAAAACTCAATTGCAATTGCCAATTCGCCTGCCAAGAGTGCCAATAACTGGCAAAAACCCTTTTTGATGATGATATGATAAACACAATGGTTTTTGCATGGAAGTCAAACTGATAGAAGTGGCAGTTACTTGTCCCTTTACTAACAACCCCTTTTCCCTACAAAGTTAGGTCTAACAGGCGAAACTTGTTCTGCCAAATACTAATAATATTCAATAGTAAAATATTTGATCTTACCTTCACAGACAAGTCCTGGATCGATACCCAGCAATCGATCGCGATCGTATCGGCATTTGGGGTCACAGTTACGGTGGCTACGCAACTCTGCTGACACTCATCAAAGATGAAGAGCATCTGTTCAGGTGCGGTGTTGCTTCGGCCCTTGTTACTTCGTGGATATATTACAGTAAGTTGTCACGCTATATGGCGGTGCTAGATGACGTATGAGATTTTTCACGGACAGCATTCATGCAAAGTTCATCTTTTAAATATATTTCTGATATGGAAAGCAGTATCGGGTCAGTTGGAGAAGCTTTTTTTTGTAACATAGAAGGTAAATGAGCATGCAGCTCACCTGATCATAAGTGACTACCTACGAGCACCCGCAGTACTGGAAGATTGCTGCCGGTCTTTTAAATAGTAATATGCTCATTCCTTGAAAGTTACGTTGTCGTATAGGTTTGGAAATATTGCGCTTTGAGATTCTCAATATTGAATCCCAGGCCAAACCTGTCATTTTTCCAAATAATATTATAATTTGGATCATTTATAAATGTTAGTTACTTTGTAATTTAGTGGGTAACTTAATATGTTTTATATAGAACATAGACGGCCTGCCGTGTAGTCATCCCTTTCTTTCCTGTAAGTGTTGTAAAAGGCGACTAAAGGAACTTTACGGTCGAGGGACGATTAGCAGCGTCCCTCTTAAAACATCACCAAAGCCTATCTGTGGTTGTCAACCTTCCTGCCAAGCGAGGCAATTACTGGTAAAACCCCTCAAGAGGGAGGCTTATGTTCAGCAGTGGCCAAATAAAGGCTGATATGATGATGGCGATGATGATGATGCAGTCTAGAAATTTGATATCTAAAAAGCGCTACCTACAATGTTATGATGGAATATGAGTGTAACGTGCTGATTTTCTATTCATTTTAGAATATATTAAGAAAAATAATGCACAAAAAACAATTGCGAAAGAGTGAACATTTATTTGAGGTTTTCTTAATTGGTTTTAATATGTTAGTACGCTAGCATTTCAGTACTAATTTTGTATTCTCTTTTTATAATGAGAAATCCATGCCCACGTGAGAATCACGTGGGATATATCGGTTATTTCGTTATAGGAAATGATGGTATTTGTGTACAAATCGTTTCATTCAATGCTTAATCATTTCATTACTTATTCAGATACAATGTATACGGAGCGATACATGGGGCTGCCTACTGAAGAAGACAATCTATCAGGCTACGAAAACGGCGACATAACATTGTTGGCTGAGAAACTGAGAGGGCATGACTTCTTTATAATTCACGGCAACGCTGACGACAATGTGCACTATCAGAACGCAGCCAAACTGCTGCGAGCGCTTCAGCAGCTAGATATACCATTCAGGCAAATGGTAAATAACTTTTTTATAAGTTGTATATGTGTAAATTGAATTAAGCCCGTCTTTTGTATCAAGTTTCATTATAGTGGTAATCGATATGAATGGTAGGACATCGAAGAATTAATTATGAAGACTACGGTATCACTCATGAGTTGCCATTACCACAGATAATACAATACCATTATTGGGAATATGAAGTATCTTTGGTACAGATACGGGTCTATTTGAGAATTTATATTTATTTTTTAAACCTATTTGCATTAATAAAAAAGTTCAAAGTAAATTAACAGGACTTTTATAACTAAAGAAATTAATCAAAAGATGAATTAAAAGACAATATGTAACAAGAAAAATACAAAAGAAAATAGAAAAAAAAATAGGTAACATTTCGCCATCGCATCGCAGTGATACAAATGAGCCATAGCTTTGTGATAGACTGGTTTACGCCTGCGACCTGAAGCCACTGTTACGGACGGACGCGAGCAATGAATCTGCTGTTATTGTGTGTTTGTGTGTGTGTGTATATATACAAAACACTACCTACTACCCTACATTTTACTCCAATTTGTTACCCCAATCGCCCTTTTCTCCCCTCACTTCGGGTGTCCCATCGTCCGTATCAAATAGCGAAGACAAACAGCTACATATATCTGTACAGCAAACTCTTAAAAAACCCATCTATCTATCTTAAAAAGATTCAAACAGTTTGTACCTTTAAATAAAAAAAAATATATAGCCAAATAAACGCAACCGTTCTGAAGTGGTGGGCTTATATATTATACATAATTGGCAATTGATTTTTATTTATATAAATATGCTAGCTTTTTGCGTGCTACTTTATATGTGTGAATTTCAAAAGTAACAAAACCCCATATACGGCCATTATCCAGTTACAAATTAATATATAATTATTATACTAAATAAAAAAAAATATTATGTCATACTGTTTGGTCAGCACGAGGTAATTAAGTGCAACCTGACATTTGTGAATAAGTTAAATTTTAATATTTCTTTTAAATTTACGTTGTTTTTAGTCTTTGCGTACAAATATCGCAAGTGACCCGACCAGAATTATAAGAAACTAGAAACGACAGGTGCTGTTAAATTGTATTTTGATATCTCCAGTATGGAAATTATTATAGATTAAAAAAATTATTCAATTTTATATTCGTAACCACTACGCAGGAAATTCAACGTGTTTCTCAAGATTCGTTGAGACATACAGATTTATGGTTTTTTTTTTATTGTTGATCTAAATAAAGCATTCACATTTCAAACATCCTTGAGATATATCATATTTAATCAACCGACTTCCAAAAGGAGGAGGTTCTCAATTCGGTTGTTTTTTTATGTTTGTTACTTCATAACTCCGTCAGTTATGAACCGATTTGGAAAATTCTTTTTTTTTTTATTTGAGAGCATATGTGTTATTATATGAGCACATATGTTATCAAATGTTATCAAAATAGATTCAGTATTTTAGTTTTTATATCAAAATAATTGGTTTTATTACAAACTAGCGGCCCGTACCGGCGTCGCACGGGTGGACATTTTTACATTTTAAAAAGTAGCTATTAAAGCTGCACATGCGACGGAAGCTTAAAAATGGAGTAACTTCTCCCGTTTTCCCATCATTTCCCTTCACTGCTCTGCTCCTATTGATCGTAGCGTGATGAAAAGTATACTATAATTCGCCCAGGAGTATGAAGAATAATTGTACCAAGTTTTGTTAAAATCTGTCGAGTAGTTTTTGTTTCTATAACGAACATACAGACAGACAGACAAAATTTTTACTGATTACATTTTTGGCATCAGTCTCGATCACTAATCACTCCCTGATAGTTATTTTGGAAATATATTTCATGTACAGAATTAACCCCTCTACAGATTTATTATAAATATAGATATAGTTATTTTTTTTATGAAACACAATCTTATTTATTTGCTATGTGGAGTTATAGAAAAATAGAAGTGTTAAGAAGTTTTTATAATTTGACGTAGCACGATACGCTTTATCGACATGATATAATAGAGAAGTAATGATTAGGTATTTTTTACGCAATTTTGAGTAAAAATTGTTGGAAGAAATTTGTAGAGAATAATTTAAGATGTTGTTTCACACAAAAGGTGACTTCAGTCGTAGCCAAGCAGTTATTTTAATTTAAAAACTAAACTACTAAATTGATTCTGTTAAAGTATCTGTAAGACCAATCTGAAAGTAATTTTTCTTTTAGATAAAAAAAAAAGATTTTTCTTAATTGGTTTATACTGACGGAGTTATGAGGTACAAATCTTTTTTTGACAGTTTTGGTATTTGTAAACAATATATAGCAGTATATAGGTCTATAGAATCTACCAGAAGAAGTTACTACCTTCCTAATGTTTAATATTACTTTATGAGGCGAAGACATTAGAGTAGAGATCGGAGTTTCTTTTTTTGTCGTTTACGTAGTGGTTACATGGTAAAACGTAATAAAAAATCTGCAACAAGTTTGTAATTAGGTAAAGTGAAGGAACACGTATTAATTAGGAGAAAAAATATTTGGTAGTTTGGTAGAAATAAAAATCGCATCTGGCAATGTATATAATTGCATAAAGATACTTTTCATTTAAAAAACAAATAAAGGAATCTATTGTAACGTACATTTTATTTTTTAAATATTTTTTGCCGTATTATTCTCAAGACAATAAAATACATTTGCCATTCAATTAAATATTGTAGACATGTCTGGAACATGTGGTAGTCATAAAAAATAATCTTTCAAATAAGAATATTTTATATCATTGAAGGAATTTTGGATTGTCTTTTACTGAAGCTATAAGCCAGAATCAGCTTTCCTGTCTTTTCGTCTCAATTTTACTCAATTTTTACATATCTACTTCAAACAGCAGGATAATAAATAGGAAACCATCAAGTTTGCAATAGATATTGTACAGGCAAATCGCAACCTGGCAATTCTTAGTAAGTATTTTACTGAACTGGGTATAATCTTGCGGAATACCTTGGTTATTTGGATAAAATCATTTTATTGAAATCCGCTACTATTAGTATGTGTGTGACTGCCAACATTCGAAAATTTACCACCACTATTGCTCCCAGAAATTTCATAACCTTCCATAGTAGGTAGCCATAAATCCTCCTAAAAATTTTTAAAAAGAAATCTACACCCATTGATATAATTTTTGGTCACCAGTATCAATTAACGTCAGTAGGGTTTTTAATATACTTGTATATAATTTTTTTATTATTAAAAAAAAATTAACTGATACTTGTTTTTACAGAGTTATCCAGATGAGGCGCACTCCCTCGCAGGCGTGAACTGGCATAGATATGACGTAATGAATCGCTACTGGCAACAATGTTTGAACATACCTTAAATGAATTTCGTAAAATGCTCTACTGGGATGTGTTCCATACAAGTACAGTCATCTGTATATGCAAATATTTTTCTATTTTGTTAAAATAACAATTTATTATAATTATTATTGGCTAATCAATGCATCTATAGGTATGAGTATACAAAAAAAGTAAGATACATTGGTAAAGATACTACATAGCATTGAACACGTCATTTGTATAATATTTATATTGAAATAAAATATAAATATTATACATTCCATTGTACGTTAAGAGTTTTTATTCATTCATTCCCATTCAAGGTTATAGTTGAAACTGAAATTTAAAAAATGAACGTGTATAAGTATATGTAGTATAATATAATAAATTCTATTACTTACCTACTTATTTCTTTTTTTTGTTTCGTTTAAACATGTATAAAATTGAATATAGGTATTGCACAATCCGTGTAATATTATTGTTAATCATTATTTATTTAAATTCAGTGTTAAATAAAATAAATATTATTCTATAACGAGTATTAATTGATTATACCTTATTAATGTCAAAAACAAGAAAACATTACATAAGGGGGCTTTATGAGAGCAACAGAAATCTAAAACAATTATTTTTAGAAATTTTATCCATCTGTATATCTGTTGCGGTATACCATAAAAGTACTACAGTAAATTAGGCGCAATTTCGTCATATTTTTAAAGATTTAACTAAAAATCTAGTGTATGTATTATCTTGAAACACCAGAAAGTGATCTATTTCGTTGTTTTTTTTCTTTTTACGCGACAAAAACAGCGTAACTAAGTGTAGCGTAACTGCTTTATTTTAACAATGAAACCTACTTCTAAAATCTAGGCGTACAGAGACGCAGACAAAAAGTAGTTGTTAAATAAATAACAGGGTCAATGTAACAAGTCTTCTAAGGTAAATCTACGTAATCAGTAACGAAATTATCATATTTTTGCCAAATTGTTGGAGTAAAAGTGTACAATCCACTTTTATTGCTTACTAGTTTTTGCCCGTTACTTCGTTCTCATAGATTTCAGAAGCAGGAAAACCACTGGCAAAAACTAGACTTCTCCTAAATTGTGTACCAAAATAAAACATACACCAGATTTTAAGTTCAGGAATACAACTGTGAGAACCGTGTCCAACTTGGTGCTTAGTTTTTAAGCGATGTCGAAACAAACAAACATAGACAAAATTTCTAAAAACGGTGCTTAAAATTTTTTATTAATATATTTCCAAGTCAAATATCGTCTAGTTATAATTTTATTATATTAATAAGGTAACTACTTTAACTAAAATAGGTTATATTTTTTTATGGGTGAAAATGGAATGATAACCCCACATGTAATAATGGTACCTATACGTCGGCAGGACACCAGTGAGGGATGATAGATGAAGGTTAATTAGGACAGTTTGGCTGATTATGACGAATTACCCAAGAAACAACTACGATGGTTTCCAGGGAAGTCGCGTGGAAGTCGACCTGATGTGACCTATCCAATGGGACAGTTTCATTCTAATTATTAACAATCCCTTTCTTCCATCAGGCTGTGTTAAGTTATTTAAAAAAAAAATGGCATTTATTTCAAACTAGCTTTTCCTCACAATTTCATACGCGTACATTTTTGGGTTGGACCTACACCAAATAAGTTCGTCTTTCAGGAATAAATTAAATATTTCCTATACAAACATGGTGTAGTTATAATTTTATGATATTTATATAGATATGATAAATAAAAGATCAAGAGTTATACTATAGCGACTAGTTTTTTTTTAATATATGTGTATTCAATGTACGAGTATATATATTATTCAAGATTGCGGACATATATGTCTAATAATAAACATAACTATTTGACATTCTAAAATAGAAATAAAATAACATATTTTTTAAATAATAATAAATAGTAATTTTATTAAATACTTATGTGTAAAGTTAATTTTATGGAGCAGGTATTTATGTACTATTTACAGCAAATTTTTCATCGAGTTTAATCCCGAGAGTATATTTAAAACTATGCATATGTTTAATAAAAATGATTTAAAAAATGAGGGTTCCCATTTTCGTGGAATCCTTTTGTATTGTACGTTATGCACACGATAACTATGCCAATACAGAAATAATGATTCTGATTCGAGTCAATGCAATATACTAGTATGTTAGTCTAGTATTGAAATACCTCTACAATAAGTAAACATATAAAAACGAAATATAAAAAAAAAAACTTTAATTCAGAAATTTTTATCTTAAAGTATAATAATTTGATTGAGATTTGTGTAATTAAAGTAAATCTAAATACTATAAAACGCAGTGTAGGACGACCACCCTATAGATAGAGTGACGACCTGAAATGCATTGCAGGGAGACAGTGGACGCAGGTGGCTCAGGACCGTTCTTTATAGCAGTCTATGGGGGAGGCTTATGTCCAGCAGTGGACGGACAATGGCTGAAATGATAATGATGATAATTATCATAAGTGATAGTTTCTAAAAATCAAAACTTGTACGGAATCCGGTTAAAGTATTTTTTGTTGACCTTTCATCCACGCCATGAATAAAGTATAATATCTTAATTTTAAATTCAAATACTGTTTAGCGTTTTTATGCTGATGTTGACCAATTTCATACGCTTCTTGAGCTTAAACTTCAGAGCTATCAGATATGGTATGGCAGGAAATGCGATCGTTTAAGTCCTTACCAAAGTAAACGTTAATGACTGGATATAAGGTTTAGTTTAATTAGGTTCGGATTACAGTCGCTGTATACTATTGTAAAAGGGAGTAGTCAGGTATTATTTAGGTGCAAACTGAAACAAATTGTACCAAATATGAACCATTTTACCTACCTACATCCGTTCGTACATTATCACATACGTTATCTACTAATATTATTTGACATTAAACATAATTGTAATGGGAGCTTCGATATTACCTCTGTTAATTACTTATTCCATTTATCCGCCATATTAATTTACGAAATTGTCACATACCTATCTACTCGTTTATTTGTGTTAAACTAATGAAGTTATTATTTTTTTAATGGATGATAATGGAATGGTAACCTCACCTGCGCTAACGATATATAGTGGCAGGGCACCAGTGAGGGATGATAGGAGAGAATGAAGCAGGTCAGTTAGCCCATCGTGACAAATTGAACAATAAATCAATGATGACGGTTTTCAGAGGGAATCGAGTGGAGGTCGACCTGATAGGGTATATTGCTAGCCATGGAGTATTTTCCATTGTTATTATACTTTGCAATAATAAATATAATTGTATTGTAAATATTGTTCTATAATGTGGAAAAAGAACATATCGTGAAATCGTTGCTTTTTGTTTTAAAGATCGTCTAAGAGGCGAATAGGGAAACAAAGTACGACACAACGATGCAAGAGAAAGAAAACTTGTAATAAATATAAACTAATTAACCTCTCCTTCTTTCTGTGGTCAGCGTTATAAATAGTAAGCTAAATATTCTCGCTTCATGAGAGATCTCTACGATTAATGAAACCATTGATAAAATCTATATTAAGAAAATAAGTTACATAAATAAAATATTTTCATATTCTACAGTATGGCGTTCTTTAAAAAGTGTGTATAAGGTTTCATCTTTGTCGACAATGCGCACGTGACACCCCTAGTGTCGCAGATGCCCATAGGCCTATAGGCTTTTTTTTATACAACTTAGAATGGTAAACAAGCTGACGGCCCACTTGATGGAAAGTGGTAACCGTCGTCTATAGACATGAGACATATATAGGCTACAGCAGACGGGCTGTACGATTGATTGCCACCTTCGTGGTGTAAAAAAAAATATTTTGACAGAATATTTTCTTCAAAGAGAATGTTTAGTGCTATTACTTGTACTGTTATTAATGAATCCCACCGGCAGCTTTCAGATTCCTGTACCCTTTCTATTACGTCTTTTAATACTATCGGATATCCGTAATCCGGTATGATATGTATCAACACGTACACACCGAGGTTTGCAGTGAGGCTGTCGACCGATGAAAGTGAAAGGAAACGAGACGACCGAATCCGACCGATCGCTTATACAATAGCACCCACAATGTCCACTGTACACGCACAGCACGCTTAATAATTATGGCTATTCTCTGAGATTTTAGAGTTTACTATTTACAGCGTTATAGAGCGTAACGTTATACAACACACCATTGTTGGGGGAAAGGGATTGTTAAATGGAGACGTTTGCTATATACAACCAGGTCGCGCCATTAATTGAATTTATCATAACATTCTCATCTATCACCCTTCACTGATGCTCCGCCAACGTATCCCATTAGCGCAGGCGGAGTGTTACTTTTCACTCATAAAAAAAACACGTCATTTTCATTTTCCAAAATCAATCAGATATACTATTTTTAATTTAATTATTTAAGATTATACTGTAGGTATTCATCCTGTGACTTATACTATTTAATTTAATTATTTAAGATTTTGCCGTAGTTATTCATCCTGTGACTTTATGATCCCATTCTACAAATATTTTTATTCTATCTCAACCGATTCCTATTCCCTATTTATTGTTTTTTTTTTATTTAACTTGTATACGGCATAACATAATTCTTTATTTGACAAAGTTCATTTTAATTGTATTTTTATAAGAGGTACCATTTCCATATTGAGTACTGAATGCTTAGTTCAAAAAGCGGCAACCCTTCGTTCTTGAAATATGGACACTCTTGATTATAACACTATATATTTTACTATATATGTGTATATAAACATGTATATATGTATTTTTTTTAATGGGTGATAATGGAATGGTAACCCTACCCGCGCTATCGGATGATGAAGCAGGTCAGTTAGCCCATCGTGACGAATTCAACAAGAATTGTTCACAATAGTTTCCAGGGGGAATCACGTGGAGGTCAACCTGATAGGGCATTGCTAACAATCCCTTTCCCCCTATATATATTCATCTATTGGACAACACAATATGTATATATCTAGGTACGGCGTTTCATATAGATAAAATTGTTTGATTTTTGGACCTAAGCACCTATTTACATTAGAAAAAAAAATTCTGATTGACTCTAGTAAAGTCAATAAAAAATATTTGCTATAATAATGGTATTCTGCTTTGATCATTTATATGTTAGATCTGTCTTTTCAATATAAAATGTCTATAATTAGTTAAAAATTTTTTTTTTGGGTATGTGTTTTAAAGCTCTATACTCTTCCACTGGTTTACTTCATCATAAATTAATATTAATTTTGTAACCTGACCGGTTGTGCGGCACTGTGACATTATCAGATGTGTAAAAATTAAAGGTCATTGATCGTAATATCAGTCTTTTCTCATAAAAGTTAATTTTCCGAATTCCACCAAGTGACGTAAGCACCATCCGCATCGAATTATATTTTTTTTCGCTAGGGATACTGTTGAATTAAAATCCTTTTTATTTATTTTTATTACAAACCTCGGAAACTGCTGAACCAATACAGCAATTTTTTTTAAATGTTCTTTAAAATATGATCTCTTATTAATGTATTTTCCGCTAGGAGCGCTGTTGCATTTCTGTAATTAGATAAATAAAAATGAATCGTTAAAGGTATTACTAATTCACACACTTATTTTAGCTATTGAACTATTTTGTCTCTTTTTTTAATGCTAAATTCTCAGTTTGAATGAAAGTGCCAAATAGTGTAATAGTTAAAATAAGGTTTTTAGGAGTTTTGATGTTTCTATTTAGCATAATCATAGAAAAATCAAAACTAGTCATCAAAAATAGTCTAGAACCCTAAAAATTAATTGTATTTTTCCTTAGTCGCTTCTTCTTACAATATCGTCATAATTGTAGAATACTGGCGGATCTTTATATGTAATATTTGTCAGATCCGTCAGTATTCTACGACTATGACGATATGAAGATGAAAACTACACTTTGGAAAATTGTTCCTTATGACAAACAACGTAAGTTTTTTTTTTTGTAGATTAAAACAAAATAAATACAAAATATACCTATCGCTATAATTGTAAGGACATTAGTCGTCTAATTGAAATCACTTATGAAAAGATAAAATAATTAGCGTTATTAATTGTCTATAACCACACTGTTATAAATTTTTTCCCCTCTAATGATGATCTTATAAGATTGTAACTTATTAAAGATACGTAAGTAACAACTTCAGTCTATTGCATTTTAAATCAATGTTCATTTATTAAATATTAAATGAAAATCATTAATTATTTACTCAAAAACATAAAGGGTAAATCTTAAAAATAAATCTTAAAAATCCATAAAATAATATTACATATATTACTTTATACATAATATAATCCTTATATAATCTGTAATAACTTATTATATTTTTTATTTATTTATTTATTTATTTCCAGACAACTGCGATCCATTCTTGTTAGTAAGTGTACTTAAAAACTATGTTAATACTTAATTACTAATAATGATCTAGTCCTCTCGGAGAGCATTTTCACGAGAGGACTATCCAATTTATTAACAAACATGTTCAGGATACTGTTGCTACTCCCGCGTATTCGACGTAAAAACGAAGCTGTCTTTTTTCGCCAGACTGCGTCAAAACTATCTGTGCGAGCGTCGGCAAACATCGCTGAGGCGCTACAGAAGCGCGGAAGCCGCAACAGTAACCTGAAACTATTATTAAATTGGATACGCAAGGCATTGCAAGTATACTGGAACCACTGACTCGCCGAATACAACGATGTACATATATAAATAGTGTTATTTTTACTGCATCTGTACATCGCGCAAATCGGCGATATTGGCTCGGACCGACAAAGCCCTACGCTCCCTCTCCATATCTACATCGTCTCTAAGGCTGGTGGTCACCAGGTGACCAAGGTATTTAAATTGATGCACTCTTCTAATTTATCCAACATAATAGGAGGTATATATGTTGGACACCTGGTACCCGCCTTAAAGACCATGTACTCAGTTTTCTTTACATTGTATATCAAACCGTGTGAAATAGCAATATACTCGTAACCTGTGGTTTCGGTTATTTCTTTTTTTATAATTTGCTGTTTCCTGTTTGTTCACCTGCGCGGAACCTATTATCTCCCATTTCTATAGAAATTTCGAGAAATCTCTTCGAAAATCACACGTAATGGCTGTTGTAGATAATTTCAAAGATGCTCAAGAGTGTTTCAGTAAAGGATGGTGACCTTTTTTAGTCGCCAATGGTAAAAACGTCGTCAGTAATTTTACAGGAGCGTCAAATAGACAAAGGCCAGTCTTGGTTACAGATTTATTACAGAAAATATGCAGTATTTTTAACATTCAGAAGAACTTCCCACTTTGGAAGTCTAAACTATAAATAGCTCTTTAGCTAGATCTATTACATTCATTGATATAATACCATAAGTGTATCATGGCGTTGTAAGGTTAATGACCTATGCAATGTCAATATACTAAAGTAAGGTACACCAGAATAATGGACTTCTGGCTTCTTGCATAACCACCATACCTACCAGTCATAAACTAATTCATAAACTTATGCTTATGGATAAGAGGCAAACGTTTCATTTTTATAACCACAACGCCTTTCCATTCATAATAATACCAACTGCGACTTCTGCCCGTAAATACTTTACTAATAATATATGATAAAAAGAACAAAGAAACCTAGTAATTCTTATAATTATAATATAATGATAATCCACAGTATGTTTATAATGAATAAATAGGTATTTATCTGTGAGCTTATGGTAAAAATGCGCGTAAATAATTGCGTGGAATTGCACCAGCATATTTATGAATATTACAAAAGGTATATTACAATTGTACGAAAATTGTATATAATTTGCATTTACCTTACTATTCATATATATAAAAATCATTATGTATTATTAGTGTTATCAGACAAATATCTATTAAAAATAATCCTTTAAATGATTACAAAATAGAATTTACCGCTTTCTATTGCACTCATCGAAAGTGGAAAAAATCTCTAGCTTATAGAAGATGGTAATTTTTTTTTATGTTAATTAAGATGGTTTATAGTGTGGTAACAAAATAATGATTGTACAGTGAACTCTGGATACTGCTGTCTAAAATCTATATGTACCAAAATCACTATATGAGCGAGACGTGGTCAGAAATATGTAATTTTATGTATTTGTTTTGTCGTGGACAATTGGAAAGGATCTTGTATAAGAGCTCACGTCATAACTGTATACCTACTGCGACGATTGCGGACATATGGTTGGTACCTGTGTTATATAAGTCATTGACGGTCTAAAAAGCTTATCAAAATATAGTATATTATATATTATGACGTAATAATTTATTATTATTACAAAATAAATGTAAATCGTTACACAGAATAGCTGAATCAAATTTTTTTCTAACAATAAAGTGTTTATTAAATTTTTAATGAACTCTTGCTGATATCTATTTTATCTATGCAAAAGTAAGACTTACTTTTTTACACTACATGGAATGGCAATCTAACTGCCAATCCACCTGGTAATGTGAATTATAAATGATAAATGGTATCCATCGTCTGTAGTGTCAACGCCATGGTCAGCACGGAATACACCGTGATGCACATGCGTTGCAATTCGTAGGTTTACTACCATATAAATATTATATACCCTTTAAGTTGAAATGCAAAACAAATATTTTTGAATGACTAATCCAAGGAAATTTGTTTAGTGGTAGCTTAGTGAAACACGAGTTGGACTTGGTTGTTGTATTCAAGCAGACGGTATACAAAGTCTCCTTTGTATGTAAATTAATTTTATTAGATTTAATTGTATTAGAATAATGAGCACTCTCGTCGATATTTACCTTCAGTATAATGGATTATGAAAGTATTATATGCGTACTACTGGTACTACCAGGAAGTCCAAATATAAGTATCAAGGGTATTTCCAAATGTCAATGCGAATAATTAGAGAGCCATTGCGATGAATTTTATATGATTTATTTTTTCTGTGTGATATTTTCTATATTAAAATCAAGATTATTGTTTAACACTATTGACGATAATTTGAATTTAAAATTTAGTACATACATTAGACTTATTTTTTTGCCTGTCATTTTGGGTGAGTTTATTATTAAAACATGATGTTCTTTTTTCGAATGTTCTAGCACAAATATTGTAATACTATGCTAATAGTTCTAATAAATATGCACTATAGAAATACTAGTTAGGTTGGTACTATAAATATTCTGTTAATTATATTTTTTTCACAAAGATGGTCATTACATATATTATTCTAGCAACCAGCTCTCTGACTAGAAGGCTCGACATTTCGTTATTTTTTTATTCACAACATGTATTTTTATGTAGATTACTATCTTTAATGTAAGTATATAGAGTGTTATAAAAAGAGTATATGATTCCTATTTCTAGTTATAGCATTCGAGAAAATGAACTTTGGGGAACAAAGTATATGAGGATAAATAAGCAAATAATGTTCTACATACAAATTTAGGAGACGCCATAGACATTTTCTATCATTATATTTTTATAAATAAATGACTTATAGTTTGTACATAATATTTGTTATTTTTAAAATTAAAATTGTATAGTAGTCTAAAAATAAAAATTTGTATAATTGAATATTTGTCAATCATGATTTATTAGGCATAAAAATATTCCAGATTAACATATATGTATATATTTCATTAATATATTTCTCCAAATTAACACATTTATATACCAGTGTATATTCAGTATGAAAAGTGTTTTTTTCCTGATATTTAAATTTAGATAGTCAATTATTTGTCTTAAAACTTAGAAAAAAGATCCTCCTATATTCACATTGTATTCTAATCAGGGGTGAACAAACCAGTTCGAACAGATGGCAGTACGGATTGTAACTTGTGAGCCAGTAAGTGCGTAAGTGCTGTTGTGACTCTGGAGGCGCGCGGGCGCAGTCGGCGACCGCGCGGCCCCGCGATCTCTCGTGCCTTGTAGTAGTTACGCTAGGCACCGTGCACATGCTTTGAGTGATGCTATCTAATTGGACCACTTAACTTTCATTGGGGGCTCGTCCTCGCGTCCTGTGATTCTTGCGTACACAGTCACGTGACATGGTGAGTAGGATACTGTTTGTATTTTATTTCAAAGTATTCAGCATGCCATTCCTTAGACTTTCAAACATCAGTGATTGAAGTACGAAAACTTGAGTCGAGATTTGAACCGGTGACAGTGCTATTACATCAATTAGGAACCGGCCTTCGGTTGCCCTGTATAAGTAAGTTGTTCCGTGTTGTTTGGAGTGCATTCAGCACTTGCCCCCTTTTCATCTAGAGGAGCTGTAAAGGTCATCTGTGGTCAATAGAATTAGAATAATAATATGAAAATAAATAAATATTTTATGTATTAAATATTGTAACCATTGGTCTATGAATGTGAAAAATAGCGAAATCCTTTAATTTTTTTATTAGCTTATGAAGGCAAACCAGCTGACGGTCTACCTGATGGAAAGTGGTAACCGTTGTCTATAAACTGAATAACATTTCATAACAATAAACAAACAACAAAAAATTATATGACAATACACAATCAGGAGAACATATTTTTAATTTGAGATATTTATTTGTTTATGCACTGTTATTTGAGAAAAAAAATCACATTTTTACAAAACAAGATAGTTTATAAAATATATAATAAAAAATAAATATATTGCAAAATAACGAATAATAGAGTTGTTTAAAAGCAATAAATAATTTATTTTTTTATTTTATTGTATAGAATTAATATATCAGTTATTTTATTATTATGAATATAGAATCGTTTTTATCTTCTGCATCCAAGAGATTGCGTCATTCTACAATGAATTTGATAATAGTCAATTATGATAAGTTTATTATATTTATTTTAAATATTATACGTGCTGTTTTATTTATAAGCATGTTTTATTTCTCTATATCAATAATTAAGTAGTTATGTATTGTTTTTTTTATATAAAATACATATGCATTATTGTTTCTACAATGTAAATAGACCAACAATATATTGATGTGACATTATAAATATGTATATTTTTAATGAGAAACAATCCAGTGTATGTACTTATAATTTATAGATACAAATCAATAACCGTCACCTATCAATATCGCAGAATATACTGTGCTGCCCAAGTGTTTTTCATTCCTGAGTATTAAGGTGTTGTTATGGATTTTACATCGATGATTGCCATAGCTAGATCGCTATTTATAGTTACAGCAGCGACAATGCAATATTTCTAACTCTTGATGGAAATATGTAAAATAGTACCTATATATTTATCCCGAGTCAAGTCATTCAAAGCTCTATAAACAAAATAAATAACAGTGAATTTCATTTACTTTTAACGTGATTTAATAAATATTTTTTTAGATAATTAAATATTTTTTTTTAATTAATCATGTACATATTATAATTCTTATTTATTTTTATAATTTATATACGTGAAGTATAAATTAACCATTTATTAGATACTAATTTGGGAACGTGTTTCTTTTTAAAGATTTACATTTTGTAATTTAATTTATATTTTTTACAATTATCGGAAACGACAAAAACAGAATTTACCAGAGAGAGACTTTGTACAAAAGTCGATTGCTTGGGTACCTCTGTCCCATTCGTGTTTCAACCGTGAAGCAGCTGTGTTTGCATGGCTGTGTTTCGGTTTGAAGGGTGGGATATGGTGAATTTACTTGGTACAGAGGAATAACACCTGAGTCCTCAGGAATGGCAACGCATGGGGGGTATCATGGGCGAAACAGTATACTCTGTTATGTCCATAGTACTGCTCATGTCTATAGGCGAGGGTTACCACTTTCCATCAGGTGGACCGTTAACTTGTTTGCCATTCTAAGTTGTATAAAAAAAAGTTCATTAATTTTTGCATTTTGACTTATCTATTAATTGGCATTTTTTGCGAATTCTCTTAGAAAACTATCAATTAAATATTAAAAAAAAAATATGAATAAAAACCCATTATGAAATATTTGAAGTGAAAATTTCAGCTTCTCTGAACAGGAAATCCTACTAAGTCTGCTCAATCGTTCCGGAAGAAATATAATAAGACGTTTAATTTAAAGTGATGTATGACGTACGTTAACTAGATGTAGTTTGTTTTAACAGAACTTAATAAAATTTTGAACAAACAAATAATTGATATGACTACAAGACAGTCCGTTGATGTTCAATAGTAATACAAATCTATAATTGATTAAATGTTTTGTTACTAATTTAATTTTGGAAGTGTTTCCGTGATATATGTGATAATTTCATCAAAAATTTGTTTTCTTTTCAGTTAGTTCTATTGAAATAGACTATACAATGTTATTGAACTGTTTATATAATGACGTATAAATTTGATTGAATTTGAGAAATAATACATAGATTCACATAATGTATAGGTATACATTATTAACTATTATTTTTAATGAAGTACAGCGTTCGTGATTCACTGTCCATCCCAAAGGTTGACTGGTAGAGAATGCTAGTAGTATTAAGTCCGCCTTTTGTACCATAATTTCTTTAAGTCAATTCGGCTACCTATTTAAATAAAAATAAATGAAATTTACCGTGATTAGTACTTTCGGTAACGATTTGTTTTGTTTATATACTTTATTGCACGTGCTTATAATATGTAGAAATACATATTGATAGAAAAAAATATATAGAAGGCGAGATACGTTTTTTTTTTTGTAATCCCAGAGTAGAGCGTCCATATCAAATGGGTAGTGCGGTGTACGATATGACAATTTAATTATTTTTTAATATATGAATTAAACCATATCATACTTATATTATTGATAGTATAATTAAATAGATATTAAATAAATTGAATTACCATTTTATTAAAAGAGCATTTAATTGCAATTATACACCAAACAATGGAAACACATATTTGACGTCAGTTCCAAACAAACCGCGAATAACAGTGGCTTATTATGATGGAAATGAACATATGTACATATCTATTGACTATATTTTATTATTAGTATGACAATACGAATGTATGACTTAAGATTTTAAATGGACTACTGGTTTACAATAGAGCTGGTGCAAATGATTAATTTGTTCAGGTATGTCAGGTGTGTAACTGGCGTCAGAGTGAATGCCATCGTCACTTGACCGAATGATTTGAGCAACTACCTTGAATTATACAAAGATTTTCATTAGAATTGCATTCACAATTAAAGTGATAAGATTGTATGTAAATCTGTATAATCATGCTCTACAGACGATGTTAAGTTTTAACATAAATCATCGACGTAGAACTAATACTATCGTCATGTTAATCTTTGTACATATGTACATATTAGACACTTTGTAGCTTAACTTAGTGAAATGCTTAGATAATATTATAAATGTTACAATAATTTTTTTTTGTTACATAACATCTAAACAACTCAGTCAGATGTCTAGAAATTTGGTATACATGTAGTATTTGGGATGGAGAAGAAATAGGCTAGTTTTTAACCCGGTCAATCAATCCGATCCTGATTACACGAACGAAGTTGCGAGTAAACAATAGTATAATATGTATATATTTTTACTGAATTGCTATTAATATATCCGGATAATTGGCGCAAAGTCTAAACGGATTAAAGCTAACGGAGTTATATTTCGAGTTTTCATTTTCCTGTACTAAGGCATCATGTCTTATTTCCATAGTCAACTCTTAAAATATCCTGAGAATTAACATGATTAGTTACAGATTGTATTTTGATTTCATTACCATATACATCTTGTACACTTACTTATATAAAAATAATTATTTATATTATTACTTATGCAACAGGCTCCTCCAGGATATAAAAAAAAAAATCATAAACATTTTAATTGTATGTTTGTTGTTAAACGGTGTGGTTATTTTATAAATTAAATTTGCGTGTTATGAGAGATATAGTCGAGACTCAAGGATTATGTAATATTTCGCTTGCTAACCTACTTACTTTAGTGAATGATTATAAACATGTAACGAATACATACTTAACAGATTTCTTTTACAAAACATTGCGGCTAAATAAGTATTAAATACTGTAGTTAAATAATATTATTTATGTAAAGTTTGTCTGTAAGAGATTACTTAGCAATAAGAATGCCTTTTGCACTACATTCTACTTATTCAATATCCATCAATAATTAATATAACATTAGTGCAATAAAGTATTAATAATTAATAATTTTATAATTGCAAAACGTGCGTGGACGAAATGGCGGTCGGAGATTGATGGCTAATATGGAAGGTTGTTAAACTCCTGGTAATAATATTAGTATCAGTTTTCGAGTATTGACAGTTACACACATACTAATGGTAGCGGTAATAAACAAAATACTTTTCGCCTCTTATGACACTAACGGGAAACAAAGAAGTGGCCCATTCTATGCCGAGACTGCAAAGCGGTTTTTTACTTAATCATGTTTAAATGGCTAAACGGATGAAATTTGAATGAAAACTATATCCTAACTTAATACCTAGGATACTTATATACTGATTTACAGTTTATTTAAAAAAAAGAGGATGATCAGATATTTAATATGTACTTTACATGTGTGGAGAGATCCGTGCCAGGCATTTGAACTTTAATCAGTTGTTTATATAAATTCTTATCAGTCACTTATATTGTCAAATTTTGTATAAGTATATAAGTGTATTAGAATATTTTCACCTGGAAGTAAACCATTTTAAGTAAATAACAATACCTAACTGGTTTACAATGAGAAAACGTGACTAATATTACATTGTATAATTCACGCGTACATATACGTAAAAATACAGTAAAATGATAATAATATTATTTATTAAAGAGACTACTTTTGTATGTATCTATGTATGTATGTACTCAGTTTGCATGGCTGTGTTTCGGTTTGAAGGGTGGGATATGGCGTGAATTTACTGGGTACAGAGGAATAACACCTGAGTCCTAAGGAACAGCAACGCATGGGAGGTATCATGGACGAAACAGTATACTCTGTTACGTCCATGCTACTGCTCATGTCTATAGGCGACGGTTACCACTTCCCATCAGGTGGGCCGTCAACTTATTTGCCATTCTAAGTTGTATAAAAAAAAAGATTAATATTATCTTAAATACATTATCGGGACTTGACACGATGAAACATTTTTGCAGGTTACTATTAACTATTACCTACATATGTATATACCTGCTTCTTTATTACCGAAGTTTTCACGTAGTGTATTTCAGATATTATTTACATGGAAAAATTTTTCATCGCGTTATGTCTCGATAGTGTATTTAAAATATGTGTAAACAATGCGAAAGTTTAAAATTCACTATTAATATTGTCGTTAGAAAATATAAAATTATTGCACGTAAATAAACTGTAGAGTCCAAGGATAATGTTTTAGTTCCTGTAAAATTATTATGCACGTCACGCGGCCGGAATGTGCACGTTGACTCTGCCCTTCCCTATTGTTATTGTTTACATGGTTCCACCCATGATATGTATTATATAAATTTTAATTAATTTAATTATAACCATGCTAAGGCATGAACATCGATTAAGTAAGCTTAATCGATGTTATAAATATGTACCTATATATAGTAATTCATCTGAGAATGCAGCAACTATTCTCTTAACAAACAAAGACGAAATCAAGGATATTTTTAATGGGTTCCAATTAACGTTTAGATAATGTCTCTTCGCTTCCGCCAAAATCTCACACAAGAAAATGGGCTACATTTTATTCCTTGGTGACTGAATTTACGTCAGAATAAATAAATTGGCTTGTTTGTATATGTAAATAAAATCAAATTATAATAGCCATAGAAAAGGTAGATCAGTTATTACTTGCAGTACTGTTGAAATGGTGCCTTTTTATAGTGTTAAGAACACTATTTGTGACTAGAACAATGAGACGAACATACGTCACGTGAACTATATATATTCGAATTAACAAAAAAGATGTTGAAAAAAACATATATCACAAAGAATATGAAAAAGAATAATATAAAAATATAAACATGTATACAAAAAAAGAAAACTGCCAACAGCACTGGTTCTTACGTATTTAGTTTCGTAAGAATATTTACTAAAAATGTAGCTACTCGTATATTGGCGTAGTAGCTGGCTATATTAGTGACACGACGTAGTATTTTCTCTGTGATCATTGTAGTATCGAGCTCTCGAGCTATGTACTCGTATGTATAATAGGCAGGCCGTTATATTGGTTATTCCGTCCCCGTGTCAACTGATGTACAGTACATACGTTCCGTTGTTGACGCACATGGACACCTTGACTCATTCGTGTTCCCGATATCTCATTACAATGTCATAAACATTTTTATGAATGACAGTAGATAACTATTAAAAAGCTATATCCAGATTTCATATGGTATAATCTCTCTATTTCGACCTCGATTTTGAATGACTTTGTGCCTAAACTTCGTGATATAGGACTTTGAATAGTAGAATAGAATGCCAATAACGTATCTGATGAAAAATTATAATTATCGCAGCAAATTATAGAAGATACTGTGATTGACACTGGTGTTATGTCTTAGTCTCTTTTCAGCGTCATTTTATCTTCGGATATTGCTGAATCACCAAATAATAATCAATAACTTTTCTAAGGAAACCTTAGATCCTATCATAAATAAACATTGTAGTTTCTATTGAATCAAAACGCATTGTAAACGAATGGAACGGAAACCCGAGGCCAATATTTTTCTTAAATTGTTCCGAAGGGGTATCGATCACAGTATTTTATTTACACTAGTAAGATTCTTCCCAAAAAAGGTTAACAAAGAAGATAATATATAATCGGCTTTTTGGATTACCTCCTGTTATAGTAGCAAAATTTAAAGACATAATTACATAGAACAAAAATAAGAATGTTAAGACTATGTTAGAGACCATTATACTTAAGTCAAGTTTTATTCTTTGTATTGTTGCCAAATTGATCTCAGTATTTTCTATTCCAATTCGATTTGGCGTGCTCTACACAATTTTATGGCCATCACTCCTAACTCCATTTGCTACGCGACACGACAAAGAGCAGGTAATGTGTTAAGTTTACAAAAAAGGTACTAGTCAAATCGTTTTAGTGCTTTAGAATAAGATTTGTTATGGAAGTGAATGGGGACTTTAAAACTTTTCTACTAAATTGTAATATGTTTTGTAAAACTCTCCTAGAAATAATATACACACGTATAGAAAAAAAGTTAGTTGAGTTTAGATACTCCTTATATTAAAAAAAAAACAAAAAACTCCACTTTAAAAAAGAAATGATTTTTAAAGTCTGAGTAAAATATTGGACTGGTAACAAGTAATGTATCTACTTAATTATAAAAAGTTTTCAATTGGCAGCTCGCTTTGTCAAGTACGTACTTGTGCAATTTACCAAGGCTTTGTCCTCTCACTTTTTAGTCTAGCCACTTAAATATCTGTCCAGTTTCGTGAAAATACTAGTTTTTACCCGCAACTTTGTCTGCGTGACCGGGATATGTTGTTTGACCTTAATAAAAAGTAATATTAGGAATATACCAAATTTCATATTGATTGGTTGAGCCATTAAAATGCTAAGAGGTAATAAAAACAAATGACTACGAGTAGTTAATTGATTAGTATTATTTTGTTTAATTCCGCTATAATTAGAATGTATTATAATTCTAATCAACTAATAAGTGATACGGATTTCCGCAAATTAACATCTAATTCAGTTAAATATAACAAAACTCACTCTCTTTTATTTATAATATGTAGTATTTACTAGCAGTTTCCGTTTTCTAAACCACTTTAATTATGTACCCTACATATTAATGAAATATATGGTTCAAATTTAATTCAAAACCGTTTATTGACAAAAGCGTGACTGAGTAGTAAATATTCAAATATTTTATTTTACGAAATTTTATGTCTATAATTTATATTTATAATATTTTATATTTACAATGTTAAGAAAGATTATGGATGTGATGAATACAATTCCTCTGTAAATGTACATTTTTTTTTATTGGTTATTTATTTGATTTACAGGCGAGAACAATTCGACAGCTGTTTCTTCTGGTAACGTTGCTGGGGTGCCAAACTGAATCATCACCATTTCCGCAACTTGCACTGAAGACCCTGGTGCTTGAAGAATTGATACCGTTCAATCCAAACTTTTATCCTGAAGGACTTTCAGTACAATGGGTTTCAGGTAAGATTTTCATATTATTAGTCAGTGATTGAGAAAAGCTATTTATTTATTTATAATTTTTAAACCAGATACAGGGGCTTTAAATGAATAATCTGGATTAGTGTAAATTTCCACATTATTGTTAGTATATAGATAAATAGTTCATCTTTTGTGAAGGGGAGAGAGCGTCCAAGTGGGAAGAAACAGGTGGGTATTGCCAGACTCCTATCAGCTTGAACCTTACGGTGTTTGTTTTCATCTTAGTGTCGGAGCCCCGGGTTCACTTTCACATTAAAGAATGAGATAGAACGAGTAACATCTACTATATTTAACTATTATAATAATAATTGTAATTTATGGGGGGTTCATTGTATATGCACTTGATTGGTATTAATTTTGATTACAAATAATATAAAATCTTCCATACGGAGTAAAATGGTACATGGTGACATAGGCGACATAGGCTTGTTTTCTGTCACGTTAGATCCAAATACGTGTAACTGCAACAGTCGAATAACGTCTCTGCTTATCCCATATAGTGAACATAATACTAAAAGTGTTTATGTTTATATTGCAGATATAGAATTTATACGTAGAGAACCAGAAATTGGGATTGTGAAATACAATGCAGTGAATCATTCATTCGTGACAGTTTTAAACAGGGATGAGTTGGTAAGTATCTCTAGGGCACTGATATATCAATGTAATGCATTACCTTCTTACTATTCTTGTGGGAATTACAGAACATCTTTCCTTACCGAGTATTTACATTACCTACAAAATTCTGTAAAAAAAATCTAATTTCAAGGTTCAATAGCTATCAAGCTATCTATGTGCTTTGACTAAGTATGTTTAAAAAAAATTGTTAATTGAAGTAAACCTAAATTATAAAATTGCTGTTCTAAATACAAAAAACGGCTCTTTACTAAAATATTCATAATTCTGTCTGAGTTTCTAAATTATTAAATAATCTATGTCATCATAATACATATTGATTTGAAGATATAACTAATTTAAAATTTTGTTTTATAAAAAATCCATGGTTTCAATACGAACAAAATTGACACGAGGGATAAGAAAACTTTAGTAAATCTTATTAAATTAAAATCGGCTTCCAAAATTAACTAAAATTCTTTAAACGTACACACACAAAATATTATAATTCAAGTGAGAAACGTGAGAACCTCTTTAACAATATTAAGAAACTCTGTAGTATGTTAAAAAAAACTTTATCATTTTTGTATTTTTTAATTTTTTATTTATTTGCAGATACGCCTGTCTAATTACTCGTTGGTAACATTTTCGAACGATGGAAAATATTTACTGTTAACAAGAAATGTACAAAAGGTAATCTTGTATTTTATTTATTATACAGTTTTTTTTTCTGCTCTGATTTGACTGTTATTTCGTAGTATGAATGTTGAGGATGTAAGGGATAATGTTATAACAAAAGCAGGCGACTTTCTGGTCCCTGACTACCTCAAAAAGCACGAACATCATGTTGACAGTTCTAGTAGTGACTGCCACTTATAGATATGAGCAGTATTATGGATATCACAGAATATACATTCCCACTCATAAGATCTAAGTTGACAGTTAAGTTGAGAGTTAAGTAACAGATTGCACTTGTTGTTCAACCCGTCAAAATTACAATCTACACATGCATAACGACTTACGGCAAAAAAAAAATACTAATAAATAGATTTTTAATAGTAGCTGGTCAAAATAACTACACTCTACTTGACGGTAATTACAATATGAAAATAGGTATTGGTATCAAATAGGTAGGATTGTATTTAAACCAAATTATCAATTTAGCAATATTCAAATATCAGTAAAGTTTTTCTCAATATAAATATCATGGTATGTTTTTTATTTATTGCTCTCTGTAAATTACTATACATGTGGTGTGTAATATAGAATAATGATACAAGAAATAAAATATTTAAAACTATATACCTATTTGCTATCAACTATCAGTAAGATATACTATTTTTAAGTTGGTAATAAAATGAGCGCGAAAACATTTAAAATTTTAATTAAGTTATGCTTATTTATGGTTATTTTGCACATCACAGCGATTTGCTTCGCCGGCCAAGCGTTAAAATAAAGTAAACCGATTTCCTTTTCTTGAAAATAATTTCCTGAAGTTTATACATAAATGTAGCTAATTTTATCTCGTTTATTATTGTCGATTATTGTCGCCGAACAATTGAAAATTTATGATTAATACCATAAAAAAAACTCTTTTTACTGTCGTCAGAAGTTATCTAAGAAGAGTATTATATTCTGTGATACCCATATTTTTGTGTATAGGCAACAGTATTTTTATCAGGTGGACAGTAAGTTTGTTTATCATTCGAAAATAATTGAAATAAAATATTGATAAAACAGGCACATGTATGTCACTATATATATCGCAGTGAGATAACTAAAACTGTGTTATAAACAAAATGTCCTTAGAGATACATGTATATCAAGAAAAAGTTATGAAAGATGAGTAAGAGATGTTTGTAAGAATAGTATATATAACATAGGTAATTAGTAGGTACTCTGTCTACACCGGGAAAGATTTGGCTTGAAGACAGGTAGATACACATACATATATGACATTTGGATTGGAGATAGGTATACATATTAGATAACAATCTTATTATTGGTTTATTATTTTTAAATAAGAATCTTTAAATTCATAAAACACGTGTTTTAACTGAAAGGTCAAGTGACTTTGGGTTTGGATTTAATTTCGAGCAAAGGTCGCATTTATTATACGTTATGGAATGGTTTTAAGTGAAGGTCTAGGCTTGCATAACAATGAGGATCTGTCCCAATGAATCGACCGATTCGAGATCAAATATTGTCAGATATTAAATTAACATGAACATGTCGGCAATCTGGGCTCTGACAGAATTCAGATGCCAATTGTATAAACTGAATATACTGATTTAAATAGATTAGAATTGTATTATTATTACTACACTCTGGATATTTTATATAAAATACCATGATTCTTAGTAGTCACTGACACAAAAAATATAATACTTCTTAATGCGAAAAATTATAAAGAAATTTATAAAGATGGATGTTTATTTCTCTTTCACACAATAAATACAAAGCAGATGTAAGTAAAATATTGTACACGATAAGTTATATCCTAATTTAAAATATAGAATACTTGATATACAGATTCAGACAGGTGATGCTGCAAGGATATAGTTAGTATTATATAAATTGATGATATGTAAATGACTAGGTAGGTACCTGTATTTATAGTACGGTACGATCGAGAAAGAAACAAGAACTATAGTTATCACCAGTTATTAGTTTCATAACACGTCTTATATAGTGTGTTTATAATTTGATTTCAGGTCTACAGATATTCTACCGTGGCGGAGTATTTCGTTTACAATACAGATAACAAGTAAGATTTTTATAATGTCTTTTAGTTTTAGTCTGTAATCTTTTAGTTTTAGTTTAAAAATAGCTATTTTGGACTCGGTTTTAATTAATCAAAGATTCGTGACTTGATTGGTAAGACTAAAAAATAAAAACATTCTTCAAAAAATTGGAATATATTTAGATAGATAGTCCTGTGAATTAAGCGTATTCAGATTTATTGTGGATTTTTATTATTATTTGTTTTATTATAGTAAGATAAAAGTAAGTTTTAAGCATCACAAAAAGAGGACGAACTAATGCATATAGCAAATACAAATACTTACGGTTTTCCCTAGATGCTGAATTCAAGAGCAGGTGCGAACAGTGCCGGCGGTATAAATTAAAATACCAAATTTAATTTATCTTCCTATCTACCTTAACATAAGAAGATAAATGAAGCCGGGGTGGATCGCTAGTTATTTATAATCGTAGAGTACTATCCTTAATCTATGCTCGTAATATATATAGTAAATTATTTATATACCCACCATACTAGTATAGATAACTTTCTATTTTCAAATAGTACTATTTCTTATACTGGTCTAGTAAAGTGCGTACACTTAAGGTAACTCACAGACCTTTTGCTCAGAAGGTTAACAGCTCAATCTTATAACCGCTTATAATTTAATTACGTGCAAGCCATGTTTTTATGTAGCGATATGGGTTTTCCTTGCGTTGAGTGTGTGGAATGCAAGAAAATACATTTTAAACAACGTAATTGAATCGTTGTAGTGCGATGCACAAATATGGATTCCAATGTTATTCTCAAATTAAGTAATAATTCTAAGGTATTTATATAAAATAGAAAAGCTGGAAGAAAATAAAAAAAGGTTTTGATTGTGTCATGGGATTTTCTAATACAGGAATAAAAAAGTCCTATGCCACTATGTCCTTTTACGTCAATCTTCGTAACCGCTCAACCGATTTTAATGAAATTCTGTAAATGTGTATTGTTTACTCCAACTTGAAAAAAAAAATAAGATAGTTTTTATCTCGATAAGAAAAAGTGGACCCGATAGATGGCAGGAGGGGAGCAAAACAACGATTGCCAGGTCAGCTATTTTCTAATAAAGTTTCCTCCCTTATCTTCCTTTAGTGATGAATTCTCAAATTTTTTTCTTAGTAGTTAGTTACATTATTATAAGAAGCTCCGATGTAAAATTTAATTTTCCTAGGCTCTTGATATACGAGCCGCATTGTCTTGAGCAAGAACTGCGATTTTCATACAGTTCAATACAAAATTATACACCGCGCTCGGTTATGGAGTCCGTTGCGCGGTTTTTAAATTTATAGATCGCTTTTACCCATATTTCTATTATGTTATGATATCATTATATATATATATTCAATAAATTTTGCTTGTATAAATATCACGTTAACATTTTCCAGAAAAATATATGTTAAACTCACGTTCTTCTGACACGTTTTTGGATAGAAAATGGTTTTTTTTTTTAATGGATGATAATGAAATGGTAAGCCCCACCCGCGCTATCGATATCGGGGGGGCACCAGTGAAAGATGATAGGTGAGGATGAAGCAGGCCAGTTAGCCCATCGTGACGAATACAACAAGAATGGTTCACGATGGTTTCCAGGGGGAACCACGTGGAGGTCGACCTAATAGGGCATATTGCTAGCAACGGGGCTGTCAAACTCCATTGCTAACAATCCCTTTCCCCCCAGAAAATGGGGGTTTGATCTACCAATTTACAGAGCTGTGCGTTGCATGTCAGCCAATATCAAATTTTTATAGAGAGAAAGTAACAATTGGGCTCACATAATAAATTTATTTCCAGATCTTTAAAATCTATCGGGAATGGCCTTTTACAAGTAGTTGTTTGGAGCAACAATGCTTCGTTGGCTTACGTACAAGACAACAACGTGTACTATGTGCCAGATGTTGCTCACCCCGAGTCGGTGGTCATGCTTACCACCGAAGGTGTGCCGGGAGAAGTGTACTTTGGTGTCACAGACTGGATTTATGAAGGTAAGAACTTATTTATTATTATTTAAAAATGCAATGTGCAAATACGAATAGTCCAGCCCTTTATTGATAAAAACGTTAATTTAATAAACCTATTTTAGTTTTTTAAATGTTTTCTTTTATTCTGCAAAATGCAAAATTTTCAATTTGAAGGGGTCTGACAAAATACTCTAGCAGTTAAAATAGGTTTCTAGAAGGTTTGTTTCTATAAATAATTATGTTTGTATATTGTGTCGGATACCAGCAGCAGGGCAATTAATTTTATTTCCATATAGTTATGGAATGAAAAATTTTTCGTGTGATACCACTAAAAATGTAGAATGTTTTCAGTACTTTTAATTATGGTTTTAGTAAGAGACATAGGAGAACAAAACACACAAACATGTCTATGGTACTGCTCATGTCTATAGGCGACGGTTACCGTTTTTCATCAGGTGGGCCATCAATTTGTTTGCCATAAAAATAGGGAAATTGAAACAAAATTATACCAAACCACCAATATTCTCTTCTTACGAGAACATCTGTAACCTTGACGCTTAACAGCGGGATATTAATAAGACGCCAGTACAAATGGAACCTATGGATTTTTAGTAGCGTCCCATGTCCATAATTCTACAAAATCTCAATTTTCATAGTAAAATTGAGTAAACCTTATCCATTGCAGTATAGATTACGCAACATCTTCACTAATTCTGTATAAAGTCCATAATTAAAATTGGGAACTACTTCATTTTTGAAATCGGTTGACCGAAATAGGTATCTATTCACGATTGCGTAGCATCTAGTAATATTTATACAACTCCACCATCAATCACGTAAAGTTTGCCGTTGATACGACTCGATAAAGATTCTTTTTTGATTGCGCCATTAATGGAAACAATGATTGATTGTAGTTATAGTAATTAAGTCTTGGTAGCAATTCTTCAAGAGTCGCTGTTGACGTGTTTATTGTATCGGAAAACATAAAAGTATAAAATATTTTGTTATATAAAATTAATAATTCGCATTCGAGTATTCTGACACTTCCCTATGGTTGACTGGGAGAGAATGCTTTTAGCATTAAGTCCGCTATGTACACATATTTGTACTAATGAATAAATAAATAAATAAATACATAATAGATACCAAATGTTTCTTGCTTTATAGAAATCTTCATCTGGTTTAACACATCATTTACATCTACATATGTGGTGATATATCGCAGTCCGGACACCAGAGGGTTAACAAAAACCTTCCAAATTCTGATTGATTAATTGATTGTTGTTTAATGATACCATATCGCTGTAAATTTAATAACAATCTGAGATTGATTACAGTTAAGGGAGATTATGGATTCTCCACCAAATGTTTTAGGTTCAAAGTATACTAATACATATCCCTGTCCATAAAAAGAGGATATTAGGGCACCGTTACGATGCTGACTAAGCGACTTGAAATAATATTATGGTTTTTATTCAATTTTCCTATACCTTTCAGTATCTCTGGATTCTTAAAGTGTAGTATTCGTCAGGAATCTATAATGTTTTATAATAGATACAATTTATCTAATAAATTTTATTAATATTGCAGAGGAGGTATTCAACGCAGCAGAAGCTCTATGGTTTTCACCAGACGGCACATATCTGGCAGTGGCATCTTTTAATGATACATACGTCGAGTCAGCGGTTTATCCTTATTACGGGAACTCATCTGATCCTAACAATCAATATCCTGAATTAGTTGAATTCAAATATCCAAAGGTTGGTGCTATTTTATCACTTTAGGAATTTTCTATTGAAATAAACATTTTTATATACATGTGAAACAATTAATTACTGTCAGGCAGGTCGCGCCAATCCGGTAGTTGGACTTTTTGTTTTCAAATTAAATGATATCAATAGTAAAGCAAGAAGGATTCCAGCACCTGTCGATGTAGTTGGAGTAGATCATATACTGGGCAGAGTGGACTGGGCATCTGATCAGAATCTAGTCGTTCTTTGGTTAACCAGACGTCAAAGCGTTAGCATATTGGTAAACTGTGATCTGATACAAGACGAATGTAGTTTGGTGAGAGAGCAAACAGAGCCAAATGGCTGGATTGATATACACCAACCGTTCTTCAACAAAAATGGGACAAAGTTGATTGAAATTCAACATCTTTATGACGGCGATGCCAGGTTTCCACATGTGGGGCGTTTCGATTTTAAGACATTTACCACAGAAGATTTAAGTAGTGGTAATTCAACGGTGACAGAAATTTTAGGTTGGAATCAAGGAACAGATACAATATACTACATAGCTGCTCCAGGACATATGCCATGGCTGAGACAATTATGGGCGACTGAAGCTGATGGTAGCGTTCGATGTATTTCGTGTAAAGAATCAGCTTGCCAATCTGTATCAGCAGCGTTTTCACCTGGTGCAAGCTTTGGTGTTGTAACTTGTAGTGCAACAAATGTTCCACCAAAAATATTTTTCTACTCGTGTCAGGTAAAAAACCTATTAATAACACATACGTTAATATGTTATTAATTAATTTTGTATTTTATTAAATATTTTATTTTTAATTCTGTTACAGGACGACACCTTCAAACTAGTCAAAGATAATTCAAAATTGAATAGAAAATTAAGTGAATACAAATTGCCAATGGCACTATTTAATAAAATTTATCTGGAAAAGGAACATACTTTAGCAAATATTAAATTATCATTACCTCCGGATATAAAGCAGGGCGAGCAATATCCGATGATAGTAAGGGTTTATTCAGGACCTGGTACTACTAGAGTTAAAGATAATTTCGATTTAGGTAATATTTTTATTAGATTTTTTTTTATAATACTGAGGTGGCAAACAAGCATACGGCCCACCTGATGGTAAGTGGTTACCGTAGCTTATGAATACCTGCAATACCAGAGGTAGTACGCGCATCTTGCCATCCCTGAAGAAACCTCTTTACCCTCCTTTTGAAGAACCCCAAGCTGTAGTCTCTTAGGAAAACCTCGACAGGTAGCTCATTCCATAAGCTGAGTGTTCGTGGGAAGAAACATCATTGAAACCGCAGTAGATCTTTTATGTACTTAATACACACTTTTTAATGTTTATAAAAGTATTCTTCTTTTTCAGAATATTACTCATTATACTTAGCAGCAAATAGAAGTTTTATTGTGGCCGCGATCGATGTGAGAGGTTCCGGCGTTCTGGGCACGGAAGCAATGCACGCTGTGAATGACGCTCTTGGCACTGTCGAAATTACCGACACTTTGGCAGCTATTGAGTAATAACATTATACAAGTTGCTTTATTGGTTAATTTGTTCGGGTTGACTTGGGTATTAAAATTATTTAATGCCCGTTAAATATCGACCAAGTGTATAAATTGTGACAAATTTATAAATTATCTAGAACATAAATTTATAGAAAAAAAACTTTACTTGGAAAATTTGTGATCGTACAAGTTTTTAAAAATTTACTTCGTTAATTTCAGGGCACTGATAGGGATGTACCAATTCATAGACCCTAAACGGATTGGAGTATGGGGTTGGAGCTATGGTGGATATGCAACAACTATGATGTTAATAAAGGATGAAAAGAAACTCATCACGTGCGGCGCTGCCGTTGCACCAGTAACTTCATGGCTCTATTACGGTATTTATATGATCTATTGATCTACATCAATCGACACGCCAAATCCTTTATGGGATAGACAGAGACAACTCAGTATAAAAAAAACCTAGTCTTACGTCGATCTGGCGCAGTGATAGGCACGTTGCTTTGTGTAAATGTGGATCCAGGATTTTTTTGGTCGAGCTTAGAAAATTAACATTTTTGAATTTGTCTACGTGTTTCGAGATGTACCCGTCAATATTCATTGTCTAATTGCTCATAACATAGAATATCCTAGTTTGACGATCATGCGTTTGTTGTGATTGTGTAGCATCAATTTTATTTTTTTATAACTTATGAAGGTAAGCAAGCTGGCGGCCCACCCGATAGAAAGTATTAACCGTCACCTATAAACATAAACAGTACATTGAATATAACATAGTATACTGCGCCGCTCATAAAATCCTTCATGCTTTACCATTCCTAAGTACCAAGGTGTTGCTCTGCACCCTGTAATTTTATTGCCATATCCCACCCTTTAAACCAAAACACAGCCATGCAAAATCGACTGCTTCACGACAGATATACGAGTAAAACAGAGGTCACCAAGCAAATGACTTTTGTACAAAGTCTCCTCTATTTTGTTTCAGATACAATATACACAGAGCGCTATATGGACACACCACAAAATAATCCCATTGGGTATCATCAGTCTGATTTATTAGCCGCTGCTGAGAAGCTTCGGGGAAGAAAGTACCTACTGGTCCACGGAACTGGAGATGACAATGTACACTATCAACACAGTTTACAATTAGCTAAAAAGCTTCAGCATGATGATATCGAGTTCCAACAAGTTGTAAGTTTTTATATATATTCTCTACTTAATTAATAGCTTAATTTTACAGCTACTCAAATATTCTGTTTTAAGTTAGGATATAACCTATACGGGTACCAAATTTTATTCAAATTTGTTCAGTAGGATCCATTTATAGATCTAGCTCTGAATTTTCGCATTTATAATAGATGTTGGCATCTAAGGAAACTTAATGTGTCTTGATTAGAGCAATAGAAGTTAAAAAATATATGTTTTTGGATTTTGTATTTGTTTGAGTTTGTTGTATTTGTCTGTTTATCTGTATGTTTGTTACTGCATCAAGCTACAATTATTGCACCAAATTAAATGCGATTACCATAATTGTGTTTATAGAAGTCTAATATAAACTATAGCGTATTTTTTATATTAATAAATCTATTAGATGTGATTACTTACTACCAAAAATCAGCACATGCGAAGTTGTGGACTAGTGTACAATATATGTAGTATAACTTACTTCTATTGCTATTGCCATTTTTATGTTGTGAGCGTATATAGTGGCTTTTTTCGTGTAGTCGTTTTTAAAAGCTTTGTTGGCTCGTGCCAAGCATGCCATTAGGAAGTTATGTTTTATTCGGGCGCCACAGAAATCCTAGCTTATGTGTTGGTACATTATAAAGTAAGTTAATGTTACATATGTGGAAAATTCTAATATATCAATAAGTATGGAACTAAATAGATAATGATAGACCTCATAGATAAGTTGTTTACTTGGATACCTTAATTCCACCAGTGATTTCTATCATAAAGCAGTTGGGCTTGCAGGGCTGTGTTTTGAATTGTAGGGTGAAATATGACGATTATATAAGGCATAGAGGCATTCCATCTTAGTCCACAGAATTGGCGATCCATGAAGAATACCTTGGTATCATATTATATATATTCTATTATACAATATTCTTTGATTTCCATAGTATTGTTCATGTCTCTGAATGAATATATATATGTATGTATGTATATATATATATATATATATATATATATATATATATATATATATATATGTGTAGATTCAGACCAATAAAAAATTATTATGAACCTTACAACAAAAAACACAAAAAAATATTTGGATTCTTGTTGATTTTATAAATATTAATTATATTTACAGAGTTACACTGATGAAAACCATTCACTGATGGGAGTGAGCAGACATTTTTACCACACTCTGGACCGTTTTTGGACTGAATGTTTTCATTTATAGTAATTGATGTTTAGATATTATTATATATGAATCACTATTTGTGTGTGTATTGTGTATGTATGGACGATTTATGTGTAAATATGTTAGTGTTCATTCAAAATACAAAATAATTATTTGTCACTACTCTTATAATAAATTGTTGTTCTAATTCATATCTAAATTTTAGAAAATGATATTTTATAAACATGAGTTTAGTTTATTAAAGGCTGTATCCCATCTTCTATACAAGCGGAGTCAAATATGATTGTAAAACTGTTGAAATAATTACAAAATATTGTATAAATTTTTTATAATTTATTTTTTTGCTAAATTAAATAATTTCTGAAACTTATAATTAGCTAATTAAAAACAGAAACTAAGATAAATAAAGGAAATTTTTAATTTAAAATTTTACCAAGGTCTTTCATTCAACATGTTTTTATTATTCTGACTTAAAGTACCTTTTCAACACGGGAAAAGCTTTTCAGTATTGAATAGAAAATCGACTGAAATAGAAAAAAATTAAGAGAATTTAAACGTGAAGTATTAAAAACTTCCGTATGTAATCATAATATATCACTTTTCTTTCCTTCGTTGTCGTAAGAAATAATTTGGGGAATAAAGCACATTATACCAATGCAAGAAAAATAAAAATAATCATACAACACTATACTAAATCACTTAGTTAGTATGGTGATATTACTGCTAAAGAGAGTTTACTCTCATTTATCATATCAACACTTAACTGTCCACTGCTGAACATAGGCCTCACCCATAAGGGGAGGGTGTTGCTAATAGTTGTTACGCTTGGTAGGCGGATTAGCAACAAACATGAGTGGAACATTAATGTGATGTTATTATTTTTATAATGATGCTAAATAAAAAATTGTTATAGTCGCTCGACTTAATTAATCTCTTCATATGGTGGATAAAGAAAGGATTTACATTAACAGAGTAAAACCTATGAATCGCGACGTAAACTGAGGGGTGTTATAACTTTGACGTGTTTGTGTTTGTCTATGGCATCGTAGCTCTTAAACGAATGGACCGATTATGATACATTCTTTTGTTTGAAAGTTTACTTGATCGATCGATGGTACTTAGTTAAAATTTATTTTATTAAATTCAGGCGTTTTAGGGGTCATTTAAAATTATTAATTTTATTTATGTTCAAATCGCTTGAAGTATGATTCAGCAACAAATATTAAGACATTTGAATATATATTCAAATGTTTTAAAATATAAAGAAAAAAGTGTATATTAAGGTTTCTTCAGGGTCAATAACACGCACGTGATACACTTAGTTTTGCAGGCGTCCATAGGCTACAGTGACCGTTTACCATCAAACGGGCTGTATGCTTGTTTATGATACAGTCGTGGTATAAAAAATATATGAATATAATAAATAAAATTTAACTTTTCCTGACATACTATGATACAATATAGATCATATAAGAAGTAAACTTTAAGTTGATATATCAGTTTTGGCAGTGTGATGGTCTCCAATTTGTAGCTAAAATAAACTTAAACTGGGTCATTTAGTTCTCTGCAACTAACAAAAAATTATTATTGTATATAAAATACGTTAATTCAGTAGGTATCTTTGGTACGAGACAAACCAATTTGTTAGGATAAGTAAATAAATTAAAAATACCTAAATAAAATACTATATATGCTTGCAACCCTATATTCCTTGATGTAGTAGTTTGAGGCATTTCTCGAATATTGCTGTTGTTGTGAACTCATTCGATATTTCACAGAACTATTTCGAATTCAGTAAGGGGAAAGGGATTGTTAGTAATGGAGACTAAGCATCCCATTGCTAGCAATATACCTAATCAGATCGACCTCCTCGCGGTTGCCCCTGGAAACTATCGTGGTTAATTCCTGATGAATTCATCATGATGGGCTAACTGGCCTGTTTTCATTCTCATCGATCACCTTTCACTGATACTCCGCCAGCGTATCCCGTTAGCGCGGGCGGGGTTACCATTCCATTTTCACCCATCAAAAAAAATTCGAATTCAGTATTACATTTAGTTTACTGAAATCACATAATAATTTAGTTTATTTTCTGTGTTTTCTGGCACTGGACTTTGAAGTCGACTAGATTTGAACTCGTGACCTTTGTAGCTATAGCTCGAGTTACTACTATAGTTCTCGATGCTCTCAGAATATTAATATAGAACAATTGTTCTCTCAAAATTTATTAGGATAATACGACTATCATATGTTATAAATATTTATATGTATATTATTTAATTACAAATACATGATTTTTTAACATTTTTCATTAGAAATTAGGTGCTTAGAACACATTTAAGACCGTAGTTTTCATAATTTTTTTTAATTTATGTATGTATTTAATTTTATATGAACCATATCGTCTATGTAAAAATATAAAAAAATTAAACTTCAATACAGATCAGTATATTATTTTATTACCGATATATGAATGTTCTTCTTGTGGTCCCGGCAAAGAATAGGTCACCCCTCCTTTTCCCGTGGGTGTCGTTAGAGGCAATTAAGGGAATTTAATGGTCGAGGGATGGGCAGCAGCGTTCCTCTTTATACATCACCAAAGTCTAACTGCGGTTGTCAATTCGCCTGTCAAGCATAGCAACTATTAGTAAAATTTCCCAATAGGGGAAGGCTGGTATGATGATGATAATATGAATGTTTTAATACCACATGATATTCATCAATTCGTCAACTCTTATGGTGTAGTGTTTTTAACTCATTTTGTTTATAATCTAAAATTTATTATGCACGTTATAATATTGTATCTACTACATAATTAAACATTAAAGTTGCTTTTGTGTTACCAAAACAACGATAACATATAATGTATTTCAAATTTACGAATTTATATCAGCACCCTTTGAAATAAATTGTAATGATTTGAATACTGAAATCGTAATAATTTTATGAATATCAAGTGTATCTATAATGTATTTGCTACTCATAAATAAATATTACTAATGGCCGTACTGAATTGCTTTCCAGCTTTTTCTATAGGCTGACTGTCGAAAATAGTATCGAAACTTAATGTTTTATATTTTTACATAGACATTATGGTTTGTTATATAGTATTTTAGGACTTCCTCGTTCGTTAAAAAGTAAGTCCTAAAAAGAGTAAACGAGAAGAGAACATTGATTGAAATAATAAAAAATAGAAGAGGCAAAATGCTGGGCCACCTTATACGACATGACGATTTTTTTAAGAGCATAATAGGATAAAAGATAGAGGGCAAAAGAGGAAGAGGAAGACCGAGGATTAACTACATGGGACAGAGATACAGATAAAGAAAACACTAGGCGTCATGTCATATAGGGAGATAAAGGATATGGCCTGTGATAGAGCTGGCTGGAGGAAGATGCATGAATTAGTTGCACCGACAAGAGGAAACTCTTAAATGAAAAGACATAGTATTTAACTTAAATACTCAGATACGAAAGATTACAAAAACTACTTCATGGCTACGTGTTCTAAACATCTAACTTCTAACTGAAAATGTTTATGCGACTCTTTTCTTTCCTTGATCTCATAGAAGTAGATCAAAGAGAATATCATCCGTGAAACCTGAATCAGATTAAAGTTGCTTGTTAACAAAGAGTCAAAATTTGAGTTTTCCCTCATTTAGATCTTATTATAAGTTCTGTTAAAATAAATTTACTAATATAAAATTATTGTTTATTTATTTATTTTACACTTATTTATATTTTTTCATTAATTTTTTACTTGATGCAATAAACATCAAGTAAAAAATAATAATTACAGTAAATATTAATGAGAAGTGAAAGAAAAGGCGGCTTTAAATTACAATAATATTAGGTTGGGAATGTATTCGAAAAGAATTTTATTGGTGAACTACCTAATACTTGTAGATTGGCCGGAAGGGATTGTTAATAATAGGGTCTAATAGCCCCATTACTAGCAATTACCCTGTCAGGTCGTACTCTACGTGGTTCCCCCTGGAAACCATCGTGGCTAATTCTAGTTGAATTCGTCGGGATGGGCTAACTGACCTGTTTTCATCCTCATCAGTCATATATCACTGGTACCCCGCCAGTGTATACCGATAGTGCAGACAGGGTTACAATACCATTATCACCCATTAAAAAAATACTTAATAATAGATTAGAGAAGCATCTTTCTCTTTCTACGCTATCCTAATATTTTTTTTTTATACTTAAAGCATGGATATAGAAAAAAAATCTTATTAGATACGTCATAAATTCTGTCATTCAAGATGATATTAGTTAATATCGGTCAGGATAATTGGGAAATTTTAGTAATAAAATATTAATAAGGTCTTTTACGAAAAATGAAAATTTTCAGTAAATATTGTTTTTCTACTATTCAACCTATATGGCCAAAAATGTTCAAGAGATGGTAAGCATAATTATTAACTAGCTAAATTTTAATATGTTAAAGAATTTTAAACAAAATTATGTTAGATAAATTCAGTCGGTCTTTTTAATAAATACATAGTTTGAATTAAAGCATTATAACCTTAAGAAATAACAGTAGACCTAGTTGTAATTTATACTGACTTTCGTATATCAAAATTATAACTGTCGGGTATTGATTTTTTATAATAGTTTTTTTTTTTTTTTATTTATAAAAATACGAATATAATTTTTTATATTTCTAAAGGAAAACGGAAAAAGCACCTGTAGTTTACGATTGTGCTCCTCACCAGGGCGATAAAAGTGTATATGCCGTGGATATCTGCGATGCAAACGAATGTTTTCCAGAACCACGCGTTGTCATTATAGGTGCAGGAATGGCAGGACTCTCTGCAGCGGCGAGGTTGTCTCAACGTGGCATAAACAACATTGTAGTGCTGGAAGCTTATGAAAGGTACATAGTTTAATTACCAGCATACAATGAAGCCACACAATCATTCAAATGTAATTGAATTGTCTCCACCTTCATAAATGTAATTTTCAAAGAATTTTACTTATTACAGACCGGGAGGTAGAATTCATTCATGCTGGCTCGGTGACATTGTTGCAGAACTTGGCTCGCATTGGAAACCAGATAATTGTTTTATCCATCCCGTGTATATGATGTCCGCTTCAGAGATTCCACCACGACCTGGCGTTCCAGGCTCTGAGCATACTCGGGGACTTTTTAATAGATTAGTAGCAGGCAAAATGGCATTCCCCCCGACAATTACGGCATATCACAAATTTCGTCAGATTGAAGAAGAAGCAGCTCAAATTTATTGTCTTGGTGGGAATAAACAGCAAGGTTCTTTAATAAATTTTATGAGTATGAGAATTCAACAGGAGCTACATGAATATCCAGATGAACAACAGCATGATGCAGCCAGAATAATGTTTGGCCTAACACATATGATTAGTGCACGATGTGGAGATGACATATCGATGTTGTGTGCCGATCACTTCGGGTGTTTCATGAACATGCCGGGGGGAGAAGTTAGAGTACCTTTAGGTTTAGTTGGTATACTTGCTCCACTCTTACGTCAAATACCTGAAGGAGCAATTCATTATTGCAAACCTGTAAATTGTATTTATTGGGGAACTTCACAAAAATCTGGCTACCGAGCTACAGTTTGCACTACTGATGGTGACGAATTTCCTGCTGACTATGTAATTATCACAGTTTCCCTAGGTGTATTACATGCTAACTCGGTCAAAATGTTTTGCCCAGCTTTACCTGCTTCTAAAATAGATGCTATGCGTTGTTTAGGGTTCGGCTTTTGTAATAAAATTTACTTGGAATATTGCCGTCCCTTTTGGTTCTGGCACAAAGGGAATTTAAACTTCAAATATGGTCACGAATTGTGCGGTCGATGCGATTGGACAAGAGGTATTAAAGCGATAGAAGCAGTTCCTAATAGTAAGCACGTTATGTGTGCGTGGGTAATTGGCCAGGAAGCTATGATGATGGAGGGTTTATGCGATAAAGATGTAGCTGAAGGTATAACAGACGTTTTGAGGTTCTCTACCGGAAATCAAAACATACCATATCCAGTTACGGTATTAAGGTCACACTGGACCTCTGATCCTTTCTTTTGTGGCGCTTACTCCTATGATTGTCACTGTGCTGATGGAACAGCACAGAGAGCCTTAGCCTGCCCAATTCCTGGGCCCAGTGAACCGATTCCACCTATCCTTTTATTTGCGGGGGAAGCCACGGTTCCTGGTCATTTTGCAACGGTATCTGGAGCACGATTAAGTGGAATACGGGAAGCAGAGAGAATTGTTCAATTAACTTTACAATTCAAAGGGCCACCATTGCCACAAGCAGAATCAGCTGCATCTAAAAATTCCAAGAAATATGAAGTAAGTAATTAATATACTCTTCTTTTTTTCCAATTTAACATTAAATAAATATTTTGCCTGTAAAGAACTTATGGCCACAGATAATTATTTCGTAATGTTACAAGAACAGGAATCAAAATAGACATATACAGAAGTTCTGAACATATTGTTTCCCTTGTAATATTTTCACCCGGAATTTACGTGAGTGTGTAATATCACCCAACCGCCAACTTGAGACTCCCTCTTGTTAGTTTTGAAACTTGAATATTATTTGTAACTTCCTTGATGTTTGTGTTCGCATGCGAGTGTATTAATTGTGTGGCGCCACGTGATTTGCAAATATGTATGTAACATATTTCTATGAAATTCAGCAAAATTCCTATTAGTATGTGATAAGTACTAGAAGTAATCTGCAGGTTTGGAATAGTGTCCTGTGTTAATCTAAAACAATTATTGTAAGTCGTTAGGGTGAATCTGTATAAATAAATAAATTCTAAAATCTTAAAACGGATTCAAGTTCGTGCGTTATTGCTTAACAAATAAACCACCATCTTTGTAGATTGTCATTTCTTCTCAATATTTTATTTATTTAGTTTCAGTCTCTAGTCACTTTTTTACCTATCATTGCTTCTCTTTTTGTTCCATAATGGTTAGGCGGTGAAGAATGCCATTAAATTTGTTATATGTATAACTATTCTGATCATAAACAATGTTTCATAGAAACTTTTCTATTTTTTAAACTTTAAATTATTTAGAATTTGTAAGACGTTTATTATTTTAAAACCTCTTTCGATTTCGCGCCATTAAAAGCCAATAGTGGCCATTTCGAATAGAATATTTTCTTATTTTTTCCTGAGACTTTAATAATTACGAGTATGTAGGTATAAATTTTAGTAATATTACATTACTTCATAAAAAATGCCTTTTCATTTGTAACAAAACTTATGGCTAGGTATATTCTGTTCAACAATATATAAAAGAAAATATAATCGAAGGTATGATTATAAAACAGACACCTTGTCTACACTAAATTTATTTATTTAAATCTACTAAAGCAACTGTACTTGCATGGCTGTATTTTGGTTTGAAAAGTGGAATGTAACAGTGAAATTACAGGGTACATAGGCCTTTCATCATAGTCCTGTGGGGAAAGGAATTGTTAGTAACGGAGTCTATCAACTTTATTGCTGTAAAATCCTATGAGATCGACCTCTACGTAAATCCCTTGGTAACTTTTGTCATTAATTCTTGTAGAATACATCACAATTGGACTAACTGACCTACTGTCATCCTCACCTATCATCTCTCACTCGTACCCCGCTAGCGCGCCATGCCTGCTTGCGCTGCCATTCTATTCTCACTAATTAAAAAAAAACCGTAATTCTCAAAAATGGGAACGTATAAGGGGTACCATGGATATCCATAGGAGATCCTGTAATGTCTATCGTACTGATCATATTCATAGATGACGATTATCACTTTCCAACAGGCGAGCCGTAAGCTTGTTTGCCATTGATTAATATCATAAATAAATTATTGACCAATAAACAGTGAAACAAAAGATGAACTTAATACTATAAACATACGCTACCAGGTAACCTTTAAGATATAATATTCTGTTACAATTCATAAGCTTTTCCCATTGCTATAGTAATATATCAAGCTAAAGAATATTTTCTCATCAAAAGACATGTTATGTTAAGAAATAAGTGCGGGTTTCTAATCCTTGGTTCGTAACCGATGCAGTAAATCCAGTCTCTATAAATGTTTATGTGTGTTTGGTATATTGCCAATTGCTTGAAGAAAGCCTCTATTGTTATAGTAATGTATTTGTAGGCATTTATATGATTTCCTAGACACATAGCAAAATACAACAATTCCATCTCTCCGTATATAACCATAACAATATCGACTGTTAACTGTCCACTGCTAAACATAGGTCTCCTTTATTGGAGGGGGTTTGCCAGTAGGTATCACTTTCACGTTTGGCAACTGCAGTTAAGCTTCGGTGATGTTTTAAAAAGGACGCTACTGCTCATCTCTCGACAATTAAAGGATATCTATCGCTTTCAAAACAAATTTAATGACGTTTGAATGGGCAGTTTACACTCCAAGAGGTAAAAAAGCCTAAATGTGAAACATTTATATCGTTGGGCAGATCTAGAGCAACTTAAAAAAAATCTTAATCTATTTTCACTAAAATAAAAGAGTTCCGCTGTTGAATTCCATTTTACCAAATGGTACGAGTATATAAAAAAATTATGATGACATCGATAATGGAGTTGTTTGTCCCATGGACAGTACGTGTCGCAATGGATTCTTTCTCTACGCCCTTTCAATAATTTGTAATCACGTTATCCGGTGATCAATTTAAAATGCATTTACATAAACACGCCGAATAATCTTATTTGGCTTTTATAAGCTATGAGAGTAATACGAATTTATGTTTACCTTATGCGGTTTACTTCTTCGGAATACATTCCAGAGATTAGAATCGGTCGAATAATGGACTACGGCCCTTATTCTTTATCATTACTGTTTTGCTGTCTCATAATTTTCGATATTTCTGACGTTAATCGTGCCTATCTATTTAGTTCCCATAAAAAGGGCGCAGTTTAGTAAGATATAAATATTGGAATGAAAGAAGAAAGAATACTTATTGGCCACAGGCAATAAATGCGTTAAAAGATAATTAAATAAATAAAATAAAATGTCTATATCCATAACTACATACAGATTAATAAATTTAGATACAAAATAAACTAAATCACATATTTTTAGTTATTTAATATTCGTAGAGAGAGATTTTATTATGATTATTTGTAGTTTTATTTTTAATCTATCTTATTAGTAAAACAGGTAATATAGATTAAAAATTATGTCTGCGGTTACAACCCGAAATCTGTGGTTACAACAAGCAACCGATTTTTAATTATCTAGAGATTATGTTAAGTTGCCACTTTTTCATTATTACGTGAGTGCCCTGAAAGATGCACGGAATCAAAAACATTATTATTATCAATTAAATATCTAATTGTGAATTTCTCAAGTCAATAAAACAATTATAAATTAATAATAATAATAGTCTTAAATTTCAATTCAGAATTAATATAATATTATTGAGAAGAATTGAAGGAAGCATAACTTTATAACTGAGAGTTGTTAAGAAATTTTAAGGAGGTGCTTCATAAAATATGAATATTTGTATGTAGAGTTGTTTTACGTTACCTGAACATGGGAACGCCCTACATTGTCGAGTATTGTCAGCAATCTAATTAAAAGTTAGAAAGCAGAGAAAAGATAAAAAGAGATTCGTTTTATACAAATTATTGCTGATAACGGCAATCAACTAGATCTTTCAGTTGTAGACCTATGGATATAAATATAATTTTAGATAGACACTGCATAATAAATAGTAATGCCTTAAGTTGCTTCCCTTCAGATTTAATACATACAATTATTGCAGTTTTATATCGAGAAATAAGTAAAACACTGTAGCTACACAGACTAGACAGTATCGACTCCACTACTGAGTAAAATGTTATGAATATCTCTGTTTATCACATTTTTCCTACTAAATACTGTATAAAAATTGGTGGCAATAGTACGATGTTCCAGGATTCATAGGATAAGCAACGTAACATACCTATTTTCTTTCTTTCTTTATCTTGATTATGACAGACCGGTCGTATTATCAACAATTTTTTACTAAAATAGGTTGTTATTTTGCAGAAGTCTATATCATTGGTTACTTGATTAGAATTATTTTGTTTAATTTGTTTTATTTTTTAATATAATTTAATTGTGTGTGACTGTCAACACTCGAAGATTGATCACCATTATTACTATTTGAGGTGTAGAACTTCTGACAGTAATTCTGTTTAAATATCAATAATTTGTCTAAATATATGTAAAATTAAATATTAGAATATGTGTGTACAAACAATTCTAACAAATCTTTTTATTCATAGTGAATATTTAAAAAAAATAATTATTGTATCTTATCACAGCATCTGAACGATAAATGTATAATAAATCTAATATAAAAAGTATATATCTCTATAATATACTTTCATTTATCTTGAAGAAATCTCTTATTCAATTCCACATTGCATCTAGACTTTCGCCGTCTAATCCGATCGCACGGCCACAAAAACCGTTTCCCAGTGCCTATAACTCAATTAAGGCGAAGATACGGGTGGGGGCAAGATCTGAAAATCGCCGGGGCCGTCGGCAGGGAGTCGGGGGGCGCCCTCACCCGCAGCAATTTTTCACCAGATCACAGGATGCTGCAGCGCCATTAGTTTCAATAAGACGTTTAAGCACCCGATACACATTGAGTTGTGGAACCTGTAACAGCAGATGGCGCAGTATTATTGATACGAGTATAATATTAAACTTGAACGACACGCTGTTAAGGGAATACTGTGGTGAAATAAAAATATTAGAACTGTTTTCAACCTGCTGTTGTAAGCTCACGATGCCATACTACACTGTACGATGTTTGTATGTTTTTCATGCAAAGATCAATGCAAAAAATGAATTATATCAACATAGTTCTACGATTTAATACTATCACACTACAGGTAGTCGAACAAAAAGGATTTTTTTGTCCGTTTGGTTCTTGACAAATATGTTTGATACAACTAAATTCTTCTGAATACCTTACCAGGAACTATAGTTCTGAACACATTTATTATTATGCAATATATTTATGAAATACTTTGCCTAATATGCTATATTTGTAAGTGAGAGTTAAGAAAATACTTCTGCTCTCCTATATAAGTGGCAAACAAATATATCGATAGATACGTTATCGTTACTATATGCTTGAAAACAAAAGATAGAACGAGACAGCAATATCCTGTGTCTTGTTGCATATGTTAATAGAAAATTATATTTTGGTAGATTACAGTAGTGTATTTTTTTATAAGCATACATTTTCATTATTATGACTTCAGTTCAGCGCAGATATAATATTGAAAATTTAGTTTTCTAAGATAGTCGAGTGGTTTTAGTTTTGAAGGCTTTACCATTCGTCAAATCTACGTTATGGTAACAGTAGATAATGTAATTTGATTGTCACATTGATAGATGCTATATACTGAACCCGCAAGAAAGCTATCGAATACCCTACTTCTTTAGAGAACAAATGCATATATTATTTTGCAGAAAAACGTATATTCTCAATTGGTGTATTATGATTTATAACTCTCCTAGGCGATATAATATCCAATGGTTATCTACATATTGTATAATATGATACCATGGCCAGGCTGTATCTATTATGTATTGTATTGCCAATTCATTGCTTAATATCTACGAGTTATTATTTTTATCTAGCTTTATATTTAACTATAAATCTATTTATTTAACTTTCGCAAACTGAGAAAATCAAGTACTAAAGGTATAAATTTTGTTTAATTTTCTTAACTAATTTATACAAATGTACTTTTTTTTTTGTAATATTTATAATATCATAGAATGTATACTGCTATGTAAGAGAAGTTGCTTAACGGCAGAAACACGAGTGGGACAGAGGTACCCAGGAAGACAACTTTTGTACAAAGTTTCCTTCTAGTTTGGTTGATTTGTTTCAATTCCTTATTATATGTTATGTAAAGGAGAAATTTGTAAAAGAATTATACAATAGATATATAGGTAGATTTATCTTAAACAGAGATGTTTTCCAGTCAAACTAGTTGCTATGCTTATACGAGTACGCTCGTCTCTTGCATACAAGTTAGAGACTTTTGACCCCATACTTAGATAGCTACATTTAGATTAGTCTAGTCTAGACCACTCCAGAATTCTGTATAATTTCACATTGTTATTATATATTTCGTCAATATTTCATTTTACATTTTTGCTACATATTCGAACAAACGTAGTACAAGTTTTTATTTTTGTACCATTTTATTTTCTTTCAAAACAACATCGCTATAACTGTGTTTTACAAATGCAGTCTGCCAGGGCTTATTCTGCAGATTCGCGTTTCGTCCGCATTTATTCTGGTTTCATTCTCTTCCTTATATACCCATCTCTTGCTACCACATCAACAGAATGTGGATGAGGATAATTTTAGAGTTATATATTATAGCCATCTACTCTTTTTCGGCATAAATGATGGGTTCACACACGAGTATAATCACTTATAAAAGCATATATTTTCTTTCTAACGTTTACTAGTATTTTATATCGACGCGGTATGAGTCCATCTTTGCAAAATGTACATCTAGATATACAATTGAATCAGGTGTGGAATTCTTGTAGAAGTCCATATCACTGGTAAATTATTAGGTAGCGGAATTAAACAAAATAATTCTAATAAAATTCCCAGATAAACATTTTTACACAGTTGTTCCATTACGAGTCCTTACCAATAATAATACTGTAGTGGATCTCGATTATTTCCAATCGAACAAAATTGGTAATTCAGTTCTGAAGCTATTCGTAACTATTATATTATCGTCTATAGCTAAATACAAAAATGCAGTTTATAAGTTAAGATTTTAAGTATTAAATTTAGTCTTTTATTCTATAATACATGCTTTGACAGCGAGCAGCATGTTTACCAAATATAGCGACAAATCGCAAATAAAAATAACAAATTAAGACGCCAAAATATAGCAAACAAATTCACGTTTACATTTATAATATTTAAAGTTAAAAAGATTTAAAAAGCACAACGCGCAATCTTAATTTTTCACTTGACATTTATTCTTCAATTCAATGGTAATAGAGTCATTTAGTTCTAAAAGCATCCCTACAAATTTATATTCAAGTTTTTATAACAACTCATAACATTTGCGGATTGCTTTATTGTTCCATAAATCTATCGGAACTCTGAGGCAATTATGTAATTTAGTTTTATTAATGCAAATTATACAGTTATTTTACCAAAATTAATAATTTGTTTTGCAAATTATTATTTTGTTTGTTATGTACGTTAAAACTTGACGGTTTATATTTGTTTATGGCACGCAATTATTTGCCTCCGTGTGTAGCAGGAGCTCGAGGATGAAAGGATTAAGTGAATAAATAAAAAAATAAGTACAAAAATGCAATTGATGTATTGTTTATAGCATCAAGCAAACATTTCTTAAGAACTTTAATTTGAATATCCATTTACTTTGACAAAATTTACCGGTGTAAATTTTATCAAAAGTAATCAGTGGCTCTATCTATTAGAATTTTTTATAAATATAACTTAATTTATTTTATTTAAAATATATAATATACAGTTGGATAACTGACACGTATTACACATTACATGATGAAAGCTAAAGAGAGTCAAAGGGCATTAACACCGTCATCGTCGTAATGTAACACGGGGTAGCGGCGCGGCGCGGGCGGTGCCGGCGGCGTGCGGCGGCGCGCTCGGAGAACGTCTCTGCAGATGGCGGGCTGCGGGAGCACGCAAGAAAGCGTCCAGACAGATGCGTGACGCAGCGCGCAGGACCGGCCCCCCGCGCCGCGCGGTGCGTGCACACTCCCCCGCGGTCGCCTCCCGCACAACAGCTCCTGACAGAACACATCGATTTAGCGTGGTGCGTGAACCCGCAGCGAGCTCGCTGGCCGAGGGCAGGCAGCGCGTGGTGTGCGGTGGTGGTGCAAGCGGTGCGTGGCGCCGGTGCAGGCGGTGCGTGCTGGAGCGCGTGGCGCGGGCGGGGCGGGCGCGCCGCGGCCCGGGCGCCAGTCGCTCAGAGGCAAGCGGGCGGCTCACGTCGCCCAGCGATCTCCCGGTGCACCGCTGCAACGTTGCGGTCGCGATCTCACGCTAAGGTACGCGACACGCGGCCCACAACTCACTGCACACATGACTCTATACACTTGTGCAATTTTAATTCATATCTACGATTTCGTGCAAATTGTTGCTCGCATCCGACCCATCGGCCTCTCGTGCCTCCTTATCAATCCTGCTAACAAGTCTCGAGGCTCGAGTTCAAGTTAATTAAGCATAAACGGTAAGCAACGCACTTACCTGGATGATGTTTATTTTTCTTAGATATCTAATTGATGATGAAAACGGACTTGCGTAGGTAATTTGTACATGATGGCTTTAATTTTTTGAACAGGTAAGTATGTAAGTAATAATCGCGGATAATATAAAAAGCGATAATTTTATATTTGGTGCTTTAATAAAAAAAAAAGATTATTATTTATTATGTCCAAGACGCGTAGATTGATTGCGTTATGTTGTATCTTAAGAAAGTTTTGTCACAAGGGTGCGGAGAGCAATAGTACTGGCCTGTTGCCAAATGCCGACCATGGCGCACATCTCTCAGTGCCGAAATATTTAAGAAATATCAACGATTATGTTTAATGTTAATGTTACAAAACAAGGCGCGTCATGTTGTCGGCGAAAAAGCAGTGTTTTCTTGTTGGCATGTGAGGTGCGCCCTTGTACAATAGTTTCATTGCAAATGATCCTCCCGTACATGACATTTAACCTTTTTTTTTAATACCATGATCCTTAACAGTTTTAAAATAGAGTGTTTTTCATTCTAAAATTTAAATCATCGAATGGATGGAATACTGCAGCCGAACAACGCCATTTCTATATAGTCCTGTAGTCAAGAAGCGCGGAGTTAGCTTCATACACGTGACACTTTCGTGTTGGCACTTGTAGGTTGTGTTAACAGCTTCAGGCGGGCCTTATACCTATTTATTTCTTATTCTCATGATCACAAGAAATGATCAATAATCAATTAAAATGGTTGCAATAAGTAATTTATATGATAACTTAAGCTAGTGCCATGTTACAGAGTTTTATCTTACTTTATCAAGTTCGTTGCTTTTATTTGTCGCAGTGTCCTGAATTTAGATGTATTCAATATACATCAGTATTTAAAATTAGTGTGTTTATATGTACATAGAGTTGTATGTTTTATTATAATTGTTTATTCTATTGAAATCATTAAGTATATGTGTAGATGCAAGCTTTTACTACTATTTTATAATAGGTAATTTCAACTCTAACAGTTTCTATTTGTCAAACTTCCATTTGTTACATTTACATTTTCCACAAACGTACAGGATAGTACCTCTACGTTTGTGGGAAAATAATTTAAAATAATGTACACATTATTTTAAATCTCGATGAAGTATTTATTTGTCTGTGTACACACGAAAAAATTTGTAATGAGATTTTAATTGTATATCGGAAAAAAATATTTTGAATTAACTACAATTAATTACAATTACAGTATTCCACACTGCGCATCTGATTACCAAAGAACGTATAATAAAAATATTTTAATTAGCATTTTATTTATTTATATTTGTATAAAATTAAATGATATTAATTAATGAATTAATTGAATGTAAGCTATGTGCAATCTGAAATAAAGATTTTATTTTGATCATTTATTTTTAAGAGACAAGATCTCAATTTTTTCTTCCATATTACGCTACAAAGTACTATCCTGCGCCACTATCATCCAGCTACTTCTTGCAACTCCCTTAAGATCTTCACTCCATCTCGCGAGGGGTCACACACCGACACTGCGTTTGCCTGCTCGGTGTTGTCACTCAAGAACATGTCTTCTCCGTTGTTCGAGCTATATGGCTAGTTCAGCCAACTTGCAGATTTTCATGAATATATCTGTGGCTCTATTTCTTCTAGATTTCTAAATGTTCTGGTTTCTATCACGCAATGAAAGTCTGAAAATAGCCCTTTCCATAGCTCGCTGAGCAACTTGGAGCATCTTCATACAGTAGTCATCACTGTCATCACTAACAAAACGCACTAGTTAAACACTTTCATCTTCAGACTTTGTGAGCGTTACGTCTTTATTAAGTTCTGGTTCTTTTAATATTTTATTTTAAATCAATTTGCTCAGTTTGCTCCCACTTATCAGACTATTTCTTTGCTCAATTCTCTGATTGCTCAGCAGCCAGATATTGATATATTTAATGATAAAATAGATATATTTTTAAAATGTTGTACAAAATTTGTAAGTTTGTAAAATAAACCTATAGTTACTACACGTTTTGGGAGACTGTAAGTGTGGTGAGTAATTTTCAAATAAATAAATAAAGTTTCTTCCATATTGGTTCCACAAATTGATTTTTTAACAGTAATAAATATTAATAATAGTGACATAGTTTTCAGTGGGAATGAGATGTTACAACATCTCATTCTCACTATATATTTCGTTACATCGTCATAAAAATTTCTTGCCAAATCGATTTACAATCTACGTTCTAGACTTATGTAGTACAATGTATCCAATACACTGATGATGATCCCGGACATACTGACGTATGCACGAGGTGATACGTTATGAATAATTATGGGTTAAGTCAGTTTGCCCGACATGAAGAGTTCACCACGATACTTTTCAGAGGGAGTCAACCTGACAGGATATATTACCAGCGACGAGATTGCTAATCCCTGCTGTTAACAATTTTATCCCCCCTAGTTAGAAACATTTATCGACTATTACCCTTGTAATGAACGTAAGGTTTGAGATGCCCACATTACGCCGAGCATATTTGAATTCAACATGGCAGAAGGCGCGTTTACCGCACATTCAAACTTAGATTGACGAATAAGATTTTAGGTGTCTGCCAGATTGTAACTCATGACCTCTGGAGTTTTCTAATAAATTAAAACTTACATTAGTAGTTTTATACGAAGGATTCACTCCGTGATGAATCTTCTAATGCACACTGAAGCTACAGGAAATTTATTGTTACACATCAAGTGGGGCTATTGCATTTAATCCAGGCAGACCCTCTAATGCTGATTAAGTCATTTGTAACTTTAGAAATTGGATTCTCCCAGAAATGCTAACTTGCACATCTCGGAAGTTTAATAAGGAGCGCCAATCGTCAATTCAGTCAGTTGCTGACGTTTAAGATGATTTGTGAGATGTGCCCAAGTAATGGAATTTCCTTTTTCGTCTAATTGGTAACTGGGCTTCTGTTTGGCTAATAATATTAATCAACCAGATGTCCAATCATAGCGCTAAAAATGGCCGAACAAATTAGACGTTAGTCTAACTCATAGATTGATTTGTTATTTGAAGCGTTTTTTAAAAAGGTTCACAATTCGTATGTTTTACTTTGTTACACGATTCCGCCGTAGATTCTGTAGCGATTTTCATAATTCTTTTTTTTTAAACGGATAGTGTTGGTCCCATATTATGAGAACTATTATAAATTGCTGTTTTTTTGTTGTGCAATATTCTGCTTATTGCAATGGAAACTTATCTACTTATGTATATATGTATTCTGCTTTCTAAATTCACATACATTAAAAATTGTGCATGTATTTTTTTTATAACTTGTCAGTTGTAAACCGATATGGAAAATTCTTTTTTTTTTAACTGAAAAGATATAGTTACGGGCTGGTCCCATAGAAATTTTATCGAAAACGGTTCAGTAGTTTTTAAATCAAAATAACTGGTTGTGCCATAATTTAAATATATTTTATTTATTTATTATATTTACCAACTAAGGGAGTTTGACAGTTTCCCAATTCGCTCCCTTAGCAATCACAGTAAATGATATTTCATTTATTGTTAATATTAACTTAATGTTTCTAACTAGTGGGGATAAAATTGTTAACAGCAGGGTTTTACAAATCCCTTCACTGGTAAATTATCGTGTCAGGTTGACTTCCACGCGGTCCCCTCTGAAAATTTTAATAATAAAATTAAATTATTTGACAATTTCTAAATATTTTATTGCCCTTTTGTGAAACTCGACATAGTTTACAAGTTAATTGTATCTGAACTTGGATATATTATATCCAAATTAAGATATTAGCTTATGACACTATTGAGCAGAGTCAATGCCAGTGCAACACAATCTTAAATTTATCTTTTATTCAACTACAATTCATTACTACTAAAATTGTAAAACGACCTACTCATATACAAAAGTTCTATGGGAACCAACTAAAATTGTAAAACGACCTACTCATATACAAAAGTTCTATGGGAACCAACTAAAATTGTAAAATGACCTACTCATATACAAAAGTTCTATGGGAACCAACTAAAATTGTAAAACGACCTACTCATATACAAAAGTTCTATGGGAACCAACTAAAATTGTAAAACGACCTACTCATATACAAAAGTTCTATGGAAACCAACTAAAATTGTAAAACGACCTACTCATATACAAAAGTTCTATGGGAACCAACTAAAATTGTATAACGACCTACTCATATACAAAAGTTCTATGGGAACCAACTAAAATTGTAAAACGACCTACTCATATACAAAAGTTCTATGGGAACACCAACTTATAGATTTTTTAAAAATCAGTTTAGTAGTTACAATATCAAAATTTGATTTTGCCTTAATTGAAGTCGGTTTTTTTATGGAACACCATCTTAATTATATTCATTTTAAAATTAGAATAATTAGATTACTAGACTATAATTACTAATAGATTAAATTTGGACTTTATTTTTTATTTGATTTAAATTATACTTTTAAAATTTGAGTGTCTTCATTTATTTTTTATTTTTTCGTCAGACGATGCCATATTTGAGTTCTATTTTATTTCATGAGGCATTATTTAACGATATTTATCTACATTTAGTTGGTACTAGTACTGTCAATTGACGATTGCTACAAAGCTAGTTAGAGCACGGGCGGCCACTCGTGTCACCGTTCACATTCAATTATGCCCTCTCTGTGGACCAGTATCAGTGACGGTGAGATAACAAGTCTACCTGAGAAAAGCCTTTTACGTGACGTTTATTAATAGTTTACTTTAATCTCTGTCACGTTATAGGTATTTATAAAAACTTACTTGTTGAAGACGGGAAAAATAAATATACTCAAGTTATGGCTCTGGCTATTACATCAATTATAGTTGTATCAAATTAAAATAATCTCTTTATAAGTAGAATAAAAATAAAAGTTTTTATTAACGTAATTAATTTTTCGAGATTCTTCCAAATAAATCTACTTCATAATCTGGTCTATTATCTCAATCATATAGATATCTCAATCATATAGAGATAACCACCATAAAAATACGTAGTAAACAATTACCCCTTATTAAAAAAAAAGTCCAACCTTTTGTAGCTATTAAACTGTTTTGTCTCTTTCTTTGGTGCTAAATTCTTATTTTGAAAAAAAGTAACAAAACAGTGCAATAGTTAAAATAGGTTCGTAGAAGGTTTTAGTTTTTTTATAAATAAGGAGATTATATTATTATCTAAAAAAAAAGTATATATATAAAAAATAATATCGAAAATGCATAAAATTGTAAAATACGTCGACTGGCCAAGCTGCTAGCTACACCTTTTACCCACATCCCCTTTGAAAGCTAAAATTTTACTCTGGGGTTTTTTATGCGACGCGGGCTTCCACTAAAGAAGAAATTTTGCAATTCCCATTGGAACGGTAAAAAACCGATTCGAGTCGGGCAAAGTTGTAGGGGCGTTCTTTATTTATCACATTATCACTAGCTGTAACCCGTAAATTTGTCCGCGTGAATTAGGATAAAAACCTTTTGTGTCTATCGAGGGTACGCTCTATCTGTGTGCTGCATTATACTATCTTTATTTTACTAATAAAAATCAATTGCTGAATGTATCCAAGCGACAATACAATTATTTTTGTAATCGTTAAGACAATTTGTAATTGTGGTAAAACCAGTTACTTTAATTTCAAATCTAAACTACGGAAATAATATTGATAAAATTTGTATGGGGCCAATTCGTAAGTATATTTATTATATAAAAAAAAATATTTTTTCAAATCGGTCTCTATAACTGGCGGAGTTATAGGATAATGCATGATTAATGGAATGGTAACCCCGTCTGCGCTAACGGTATACGCTGGCGGAGCACCAGTGAGGGATGATAGTTGAATAATGGAAAAAACAGGTCAGTCAGCCTATCGTGATGAATACACCTGGAACTCAGCACGATGGTTTCCAGGGGGAACCGCGTGGAGGTCGATTTGACAGGGTATATTGCTAGCAATAGGATTGGTAGCTCGCATTTCTAACGATCCCTTCCCCCGGAGTAATAGGATAACTAACATAAAAAAAAATACAACCGATTTGAAAACCTTCTTCTTATTGAAATCAATTGAAAATCGAAAAATGATAATTTTGGGTTAAAAATGTTTATTATAAAAATTGAGTGAGGCAAAACACAGTAAGGAGTATATTAAAAAATATTGATGGAATTAACGGATTTGGTCTAATTTTCTTCATTATTATATTCGTGCTCTGTCCGATTGGCAACTAATTATTAATTATTAAGGTTATTATTAAATAATGTTGAATGATTAAATTGTATATAATATTTTCATGATTCTACGTAGTTTTTTTTTAAATAGCGAAGTTAATCAATGTCTTATAATTTGCTTTGTTGAGTTTTAGAAAACATTTTTAATTTGGGCTAAAACCTGCCCGGTTATACTCGTACAATTTTGTTGAAATCTAAAAAAAAATATTGGGAAATACCAAAATAAAAGTGACTACTAACTAAAAATTTAGATACTGTGGTGATTAAACTCTTTAGGATTCAGATAAATTTGTTTACTTTGTATCCTATAGCTAAATCGTTTCGGGTATTACAGCTAAACTTTAGGCATTGAACATTAGTAAAGAGGGATTTACCTAAATCGTTTAGCTAACCCTTTTTTCAGTGTAATTTTTAGAAATTCTAAAACAGATTTGTAATACAAAATTTCTATGGTAAATGAAAAAATTGAAAGTCCCTTAAGAAAATTAAAATTTTACACTGAGGTTCCTCGTGCGGCGTAGGTTTCTGCGCAAGGAATGTTGGAAATCCCACAGGAAAGGTAAATAACGGATTCAGCTCGGGTGACGACGCCGGGGTGATTTTCTCGTTATATTTATACACAGTGAGTTCGAAATTATTAGCACTATTTTAAAGGAATATTCTACTAGTAAAAATATTTTTACTAAAGAAATATAGGTCGAAATATGGCTTCCCTATTACTGTAGTAACATAACAGATGGACTCACCATGTTAGTATGAGAGGTCAATGTGTTTTTTTGGAACAAATGTATTATTTCTTCCACAGACGTTGGTATTGGTTGTATATTTACAAATATCACTTATGTAGTTTGTTATTCCAATAAATAATAATTTCTTTAATAGCATCTTACCTTATCTTAGAAATGCTAATAATTTCAATTTGGCACTATGTATTATTAAAAATAGTAATGCAATAAATTATACAAGTCATATTATAGGCATATAATTTAAATTAATTATAGATAAGTATAGGTATTCAAAATTGCACCTTTTCACGCACCATTAATTTTTTTGTTTATGACTACTCCGTGATTGGCACAAAACATTGACAAAAAAAGTATTAACATTTTGTGAAAACATTAAAGTAGCTTAACTTATTTACAAAAATTTAACATTTATTATATTTGTAGGATAATAGGAAAGAGAATATACTTACGATTTTAAACCTACCATAGATGGATTAGTTAGAGACATTTGTCCGTATGTTTACGATAATGATATCAGATAAATGTTTCTCAGTATGCATACATTTCGCTGAGTACATTAGAATCCAGAGTGACAGGAGACGCCTAAGCCTACCGCCGTCTATTGGATCAATTAGGATCGTTAACATTTATCATGAAACTCTTAAATAATTAATTTATAATCATAGGAATACTACTTTATAACTGTAACTTCATCTGCGTGGCCAAAATATATTGATTTATCGCGATAAAACTAGTCTACTCGAATGCCCATGTTCAATACGTGTTTGCCAAATTTCATGACGATTGAATGAGCCCAAAGTTGCGCCGTTAAAGCATACAGAAACAACAAACATACTTATACATTTATAATATTAAGAAAGGCTATAAATATCGAAAGTGCCTATATTGTATTCCAAACATTTACTATTCTCATCGCACAATTTTTCAAATTTGTACCAAACATCTATCCTTTTTCGGAAAGAGCGAAAAATCACTTTCCATAAATTTTCTTTGTTGCGTGTTCTAATAATATAAGAATTCTTGGCCACAACCTCTACTATCTGTGGAAGAATTGTGATACGACCTACTTCCCGGCCTCGTGGTGAGCTAATATTCAAATAGATAAATCAAGCGTCTAGTCCTGCTTTTTGCTGGCTAAAGATTGATGAGAATTTTTTTGCAAAAAATCTTCGACATGTTGATGCCCGATTATTATGTAAAGAGATCTTTTGTGATACAAATGACAATGCAAACCGGAGGTGGAGCGATCTGGTTGCACAGCTGAGATACATCTACGTATATTACGACTGTATTCGCTTCATTATATCCGTAGCTCCGCGAGTCTCTACGAAATGGTAAACAAGGAAATTAGAGCCGTATCATGTATTGATTTATTATAATAATGTGAAGACTCATTTCATACTTACAGTGAAAGATCATAGAATGCATTAACGAGAATTATACAACTTTTTGTACTTTCGTGATTGTCTTTGCAATTATATTATATTATGCGTACCAATTATATTCTTGAGAATAATATATTCGTGATAATATATATCACGAATCTGTTTTTGTTCACTTAATTGAATAAGATCTTAACTGAATTGTTATTACAAGGAAGTTTCTTCTTCGTCAGTTTTTTCTCTAGTTATCTTGTAATAAATATAGCATAGAACTAATATAATATAAATAACATAAACAAAGCTTCCGCCAGCCAGTTCCTAGATTGAACGAATGCATACTAACTGTACTAAATAAATAAATACCTTTGGACACAGCGCCATCTAGTCCCAAACTAAGCAAATCTTGTATTATTAATATTAAACAAGTGATGGTTATACTTATAATCTTTATAGTAATTATATTAGACAGTAGACACTTAAGAGATAGTTTAAACAGCACAGTGACTAATTATGATTATTTTGATATTACTGTTTCTCAGTTTCTCATTCATAAAATCATCTTTGTTTCAGATCCGCGCGACACGCGGCGTACAGTGTAGTCGGCGTGCGTTATTCGAACTTTTCTCTTATCTAAATTTAAATCGTCAGCTAAAATAGTTTAGACATTACACAGTAATATAGTGCTTCAGATATCAGTTGAATTGTTGTTCTTACATATATAACTAATATTTAAAGTGCCTAACGAGGTTTGCTGTAGTTTTTTAATTATTCATTTTATTCTGTTAATAAATAATTGGTGTTAGATTCACATACAAATACTCGTACAAACGGTGACAGTGGACCGGTATTGAGATATTTCCGTGGACAATAATCATATTGGTGGATAGTGCTTTTTTTAACCAAGCAGCTTTGAAATTCACCGATTATGTTATAAAGGTACGTACCTACTTCATTTATTACTTATTGTAGCGAATTATATCGAAGTTTTGAATGTAAAGTCTGATCCAGAAAAATTACTGCCAAGTCTTTACGGAAGTAAATATATATTTATTTCTCTCACAAAATAACAACATAATAAAATGTACAGCTACATGGGTTACAATTAAAACGATAAATAAATAAAAAATAAAACAAGAAATAAATATATATTTGTGAGAGAAATTTAAAGCAATTTTTGTAAGATACTAGGAGAGAGAAAAACAAGACAGTGAAGTACGTTTGATTTTTAAAGCGTTAGCAGATTTTTTCTTAAGGTCTTTAAATGCTATATTAGTCAAGAATATTAAAATAAAAAATAAGTCTTTTTTTATATTTCAATGATTTAGATATTATTTCACAATTTTTTTCAAAAATCATTTAGTCTAGACATTTAGAAGTTGTATATATTAAAAGACAATTAGACAACGATAATTATATATTTTTAAACGTAAAATCTTATTCTCTTCTTGATAATTTAAATTTTTTTTATTAAATAATTAAAAATTGTGTTATGAAAATATCATTTATTGTACACAAAAGTTAGAATAATTAATATACATAATATAATAAATAAAATAAAAATACTTACCTAACAAGAACTGTGCGTATATAATAATATATATGTAAATATAATGTAAGATCCCGAAGAGAGCCTGGAGATCTGTAGTACAGGTTTCGAACTAGTTCAGATTGCAAATTCTCACAAGTACTAATACTTTAAGATATAAACCTAAATAGTTATGCAGTGTAATGTACTCCTTGTGAATGGTAAATAAAAATTTATTATTATAGTTTCATAAGAGCGAGCTTATCTCTAAAAGAGATTTCTTCCAGCAAACCCAATATGAGATAGATTGACAGTTTATTCGTAGTTACAGGCAACTAACCGACTTAAATGTTATTGTCAAAATAAAATAAATGAAATACTGGTAACTGTAACAAATTAAACACAAATAGGTATAAACATACAAATATAAACATAATAATATACCAGTAATTATATATATACATACATAATATACAAATGTCCAGTATTAGACTGTGTCCAGTTCAGTTAAGAACACAAGTAATCTAATAATCGATAATGCGGTATAATCGTTTATAAACAAAAAATCGGTTATTAATAAATTGATCAATAGTAAGTATTATTTAGAACTCACTATATATACATGCAATCAATAATGTCAAACGTATTGCATTAGTAATTAGATTGTAATTTATGGAATTGCTGCATTACATTAATTATTTACCGAGTTGTTTTTTTTAATGGATGAATTGGAATGGTAACCCCACCCGCGCTATCGGTATACACCGGCGGGGCACCAGTGAAGGATGATAGGTGAGGATCAAGTAGGTCGGTTAGCCCATCGTGACGAATTCAACAAGATTTGTTCACGATGGTTTTTAGGGGGAACCACGTGGAGGTCGACCTAATAAGACATGTTGCTAGCAATGGGGCTGTCAAACTCCATTGCTAACAATCCCTTTCCCCCCTATTTACCGAGTACGTAAAATAGATTGACGTATTTTTTTAAATACTGAAATAACGTTCATGCAAATGAAAAATCATTTTATAAACGTATAGGCTTTATGTGTATGTCGATATCAAAGTATGAGAAAATAAACTTTGTAAATTTACCGATTTAGAAAATGATCTAAATAATTCACTGCTTGTGATTATACTATACTATATTGAAGTGAACCGTCGCTTTGTTTACTATACGCAATGTTTATTGGCACAATGAAGACACAACACGTGCTCGTAAATATATTATTTGACTTATTTATATGTAGTTATTTCTGTATCTGATATCATATTAAAATAACATTATTAGATATGAAAGGTTTTATGATAATTTTATAATTTTTTTTTTTTGTATCAATATAAATTTAACTATTGTTTATAATTTTTCACCTATGGGATAATATCTAAATTAATATGTAAACAACAGTAGATAAATAGGTGTATTTTATTTTCGTCAAATATATAAATAAAAAAAACTAGCTTTTCCACACTCTTCGCCCGTGTGAACGGAATATATTCACTGAAAGGGATTAAGGCGTTGAGAAGTAAAAAGCAAACTCACTTTTGCATTTATAATATTAACTAGGATTATAAAGCTAGAATGATACATTCTGGTATTGTATTATTATTTTTTTTACTTGGAACTGTAACTATGAATAATTGTAATACCATGATAATACGGAATAAGAAAGAGAGATTGATGATAAGTATTCACCTTGTGTACACATGTGTAAAAACCTTTTGGCCTCTATATTAAAATACGAGTACTATATAAATAGTATGCGGCAGTAAATCTCTGACACAAAATTAATCTACAGACTCCATCACCGGAGATTATTATATTATCAAAAATAGGATTATATGTATACCTATTAAGAGACATAAATATAGTATAGAATAGAATCGAATGTGACAGAATCCAAGAAGATAATTTCATAATTCTAAATATTTGATAATTGTATAGTAACTATTATTTTATTTATCTATAACTTTAACTTTTTAAACTCAAAGATGTATCCGTTCTGAATTAAAAAAAGAACTGTTCTGTTTCTCCCCCTCCCCCCTTATTTATCTCCTTATTACAGCAAATAAAATAGAGATAGATTATAGAACAAACGTTTATAATTCTAAAATTATTTCTCAGATTTGTAATTGTCAGTTAAACGCCGTGGGCACGCCGATTGCTATAAAGCCAAGCGGTTAAAAGATTAAACGCCTAAGATTTAATTGGTTGTAGAGATTATTTGATAAGCAGATGTCACAATGAAAGCTTACTAAATTGCTATCTATTTCCTGTGTCTATAATAGAAGCGGAATGAGGGTGAGTGGTACTTACTATTATAACATTGGCCATATTCCAAACGTCGCGACATTCGCCGTGGCCTTCACAAAGGTTAATTATTTTAATCACAACTATAAGTAATAATTGTAATAATCACTACGACATTCACAATTAAGTTCTCGTTGCGATAACAGTTATTATTTTCCAAACATCGCGCAATCTGTGCTGCCGTGGTATTATTACGACTTTCAGGTTATAAAATTGGGTCTTCCCAGTATAATGGCGTAATAAAAATAGAATACACCAAAAAAAGAATAAACCTTAGGACGTCGATTAGCGGTGACGAAGTAAGAATACAATAAATCAATATTCATTTTCATAACTAAAATGTCGTAGAGATAACGAGGTGACGAAGTAATAGTAATAGAAAGTGAAGATTAGCAACGCTACGTCTGACGGGTCACTTGTGCAAATGGGTGTACCTCAAGGATCTATTCTCGGTCCATTTTTATTCCTAGTTTACATTAATGATCTCCCATATGCCATGCAGGATAGATGCGGCATAGTATTGTTTGCAGACGATACTTCATTAATTTTTAAAGTTAATAGAATGACTAATAATTATGACGATGTAAATAGTGCTTTGCGGCGTCTCCTGCACTGGTTTACAACTAACAATCTTATGTTAAACGCTAAAAAAACAAAATGTGTTAATTTCTCTCTATCTAAAAGTTTTAATACTAATTGCAATATTAAATTAAATGACGAATCTCTCGAATTTATAGAATCTACTGTCTTTCTAGGAATCACACTAGATAATGGGGTGCACAAATTCAAAGTCTTGCAGCGATAAAAAAAGTTAGACAGTACACTGATACTGATACTGCTAGATTAGTCTATTTTAGTTATTTTCATAGTTTACTCTCTTATGGAATATTACTATGGGGAAAAGCGGCAGATATTAAGAATATATTCATATTACAAAAACGTGCCGTTCGAGCGATCTACTGTATGAAGAGTCGTGACTCATTAAGAGAGAAATTCAAAGAGGCAAATATTCTCACCGTTGCTTCTCAATTTATATATTCAAATATTCTATATGTTCATAAAAATCTTGACTTATTTCCAAAAAACAGCAATATTCATAATATTAATACTAGATTTAAAGACAAACTTGCTGTCCCCAAGTATCGTTTAGAAAAAGTTAATAGGTCTTTTATGGGAATAGGTATAAAAATTTACAATAAGATACCAAAGGATATGTTGGAATTACCCTTAAATAAATTCAAAACATCTGTTAAATCATATTTACTGAGCGCCTGCATGGCAATAGTTGTTCATGCACTGAATTTTCATTTAATGTTAGACATAGACACCTATATAAATATACATTGTAAATAAACTGGCTTTAAAAAAAAAAGTAATTCAATTGAGTTTCTTGCCAGTTCTTCTCAATTGGATCTATATACCGAACTGGACGGTAGGGTAAATATAAAATTATAATGTACAAATTTGACGTTCATAAGCGGCTAAAATGTCCTACATGAATAAATGATTTTTGAATTTGAATTTGAATTTGAATTTGAATTTAGTACCTACAATAAAACATGACTTCTTTTTATCACCATAACACGCCATATCTTCTCATTTAAAATACCTCAAAATTTGAAGTTAAAAGTCTTTAATCAGCGCGTGCTTTTAGTGATAACCTAGGGTATCGAAACATGGTACTACATGATTGGCCGTAAGCAATAGCTTCAAATTACTAAGCGAGCTATGGCGAGGGCTATACTCGGAGTTTCTTTGCGTGACAGAAACCGTAATGAGGATATTCGCAGATGAACCAAGCATAGCCCGAAGGATAAGCAAGTCGTAATAAAAACTAGTTAAAATACAAATAAGACATAGATACTACAAAACTTTATTTGTGTCTATGTACTGTGCCGACAAGTCGTATCCATTTGGAGCTTCATACAGGAAACGCGCGTCAGCGCGGCCGTGTCTCTCTCAACACGCTGACAGAAATCTCGTTTAAAATAAAATAATAAGCTTGGCCTTAATTTTTTGTATAATATAAATATGAATATTTTAGAATTAACTGCTTTATGTCTTTATAACACATATCTATTTTATTTAAATATACTATTATTT